CCGTCTGCGCCCACCTCCAAAGGTGTCTTCTAGCGGGGGACGAGGAGGGTAATCTTCTTCACCCAAATCCGACAATGCGCCTGGAAAGCAAACGTCTTCTTCAACAGGAAGAGTAACTGTCCGTCGTCGCTGGAGCTCTGGAGAGACGAATTTTTGGGAAGTAGCCGACGAGTTACTCATAGAGCCATGCCCTTCTCCGTCAACATCTATAACATGGCAAGGCACACTGACTGCGCTAGTGTGTTCCGGAGACGTGTGGTCGAAGTCATGGCCACCAATCATCGGGTCATCGAAGCCAGTCTCTGGGCCCGTGTGAGGGCTTCCGGGGACTGAAGGCGGATTGTTAACATCGTATCCTCGTCTTAAGCTACGGGCAGTGCCGATAGAGTACGGAACGGTTGAGCGGAAAGACGATGCTACCGACTTCCGGCCTTCGGGCGAGGGAGCAACTGAATGTTCTTCTGTGCCTGCACTTGTCCCGTACCGCACAAAACTGGAGTTATGGATAGAGCTGGGCTTTATCAACGGTGTTCGATCGTCTTCTTCCTCGGATTCCTCCTCATCCATCACCTGGGACGCGGCAGTAGGAGTTTGGGCTCGAACCGGGGGCCGAGCGGAAAGTTGTTGTGGTTCCGGACGATAGCTCTGCGCAAGCCGGCTCTCCCGACGCGGGCGCATCATTGGCTGGTGTCTGTAGGTCAGTTCCCAACGTCATGGTTAGTTTCTTGTTTTCTCATGTCGTTATGCCTCTGTAGAATAGAGATGCGCAAATCGTAGAAGTGTAGAAGAACGAGAGAAGCCCCCCTTCCGTACCTGTGATCCAACAAAGCATCGCTGTCCAGACTTGTCTCACTCGGGTTGTTACGGCCCAATTGGCCAAGACGGTAAACGGAAGCACGGTGCTGAATCGCAGTTGTACTGGTGGATTGAGATCCATCTCCTCGCCCAGGGGAGACACCAGCTCGCCCAGTATCGGAGTCTGGCCTAGGCGTGTCGGGCGGCGGGGCGAAGGACTGTCGACGGTGTCTGCGTCTTCTGTGCCCATGATGCTTCCGTTTCTTGGGAGCAGTGCCTTCAGCGAGTGGCTCCAGACCAGGCTGTGTTTGCGGCTGGGTGGTTCCACTCGCGTTACTAGGACGTGAGTTGGCAGGAGATCTATCTGCGAGTTGGCGTTCGGCCGACTGCTGTTCAGGGCTCTGCTGGTTGCCGGGATCCATGACAGCGAGATAATCAACGCCAAGGAACAAAAGAGAGGATCAAAGGTCTTGAGTTCATGGGGGAAACATGAATGCAGGATGAGAATCGGACAAGACAGTGGTAACTGGCAGCATCGGTAATGCGAGGCGTGTTGTTTTGCTGAAGGTGAAATGACTGTCGCGATTAAGCTCTCGGCAGTGCAGAACGAAAACTGGATGAGACGCCGAGTTGGCGCTAACGTTGATGGTTTGCTTGTCTTTATCTACGAACATGAGAGAGAGAAGAGGACAAATAACCCATACCAATGAAATTACCATTATCTGATCATTTTGTAACACCGTCTCTAAACTATACATACATGGAACTATATGCTAAAAAATTACTCTGCGCATCGTCATATCTCGTCATAAATCGTCGTTGCCCTTCCTATGCAAGAAGGCCAAACTGGGGAATCAATAAACATAACAGTAAATGGGAAAATAACAAACGGAATGGAATGCCGAAAACAAATGGAACATCGACAAGATATAAAAACATAAAAAGATATGAGATGAAAAATTAGCCGGTCTGCAGACAGGCATCGGGGAATATCAAAAGAGGAAAGAAAAAGATGCAAAAGAGGTAAATGAAAAATATTGTAATTCGAAGCCGAAATTCCTAGGCCAATCTCCTGATTTCCACATTCGCATGAACAGCGGGCACCATATCGAATGTGACGCCTCAGATTACGTTGCCCGGATCCATGTTAATAGACGGAAAGCTTTGCATCGACTGGTTTCCCTGGTCAATGGACATCCGGTCACCACTGAGCACACGTACGACCTTCTTGTCCTTCCCTGGTCGTGCTACGAGCACTTGTGCCGGACACACCACAATCTCCTCATCACCATCACCTTCGTCGCTGCACTTCTTGACTACTAGGGGGAACAGCACAATTCTCACAACTGCTTCTTGCTTTTCGAGCTCTTCGTTCGATGTGGTCTCGCCGCTCCGTTCATTCATGAGCGCGGCTTTGAAGTGAACTTTGCGCGCTAATTCGCCATTGGTATTGTATTCTGGCTGCAACGGTGGTAGCATGATGTACTCTGCCCGTTGGGTGCGCATCTCGATGGAAAGTTCCACTGCTGCTCGCATGACATTGCGGAGAGAATCTACGATTGTACTTTCCAATTCACGAGGAGGCGGGAGTAGCTTGGAAAGGGTATGGTAGATTTCCTGGACAACAGCTTCGGTATCACTGGCTCGTTGTTCATGGAATGCACTTCGTTGAGCAAGTAGCGCTAGCGTCGTAGCCCTCCACTGCTGGACAGCGCTTGGAGGTCCCACATCACTCAACTGCTTCTCCAAAATCTTCAGCTTTTGTCTCTGTTCCCGATCCATACCGAAAAGATACCGCGTAAAGATGTATTCCCAAACCATGGTCATCACCACTGACATGAACACATCTCTCCGTCGAACACGATCGGAAAGGTAAGTATCGACGTCTGAGCCGTCGAGGATCGCGTTTTCGAACCGAGAAGCGACCTTCGCGTCGCGGATTGAGCTAGTGAGACGACATAGTCGCATGTCCGAGAATTTGGAGAACCGCAACACCCACTGCTGCACGTGCTGGCAGAGTTTTTGGCATTGCGCATCGAAGTAATCTTCGTCCCGGAAGACAAGCACATCGTCCGCCATGGTCTCCATGATCTGTATTTGAAGTTCCTTGATTTTGTCCTGTGCATCGGCTAGTTCACCACGTAAATGCTCGATTTCCGCGTCCTTTGATGCCAGAACATTATTTATCTCGTTTTGCACAATTCCCTCCAGCCCAGCGGTCAGTTGAGAGTGTCGATCCTGAAGCTCCCTCAAGCCCTGTTGTGATTCGAACAAGAGTTGTTTGGATTCCGCGTGCTGTCCGACTTCAGCTTCGTGAGAAGTGGACAGCTGTGTGTTAGTCGCCGCAAGGGCATCGTTAGTTTCAGTTAAGCGGACAACCTCTTTCCGGAACCATTCGAGCGAGTTTTTCAATTGTTGTATCTCCAAGTCCTTGTTGCGGATGTCTTGGTCACGTGTCTGCACCGCTTTCTCTGCCTGTCGTTGGGCAATAGCTGAGGATTCAAGGGATTTCTCTGCGGTTGATTTGGCGGTGGAAAGCAGGCGATTCTCTGATACGAGCTGGTCGACGCGAGATTCGAGGTCTTGGAGGTGTTGTAAGCTGCGTCGTCTTCGCACGCTGGCTGGGCGGGTTGGCGACCGCGGGGAGCCTGGTATGTCACCCCAACCTTCCTGCAGCAGGGAATCCATCGGTCAGCTTACCGGTAAGGTTGGGAAAGTACAAGATCTAATCACAGGAAATAGGAAATGAGGGACAAACTGAATAACCTACGTAGACATCCTCCATTCCGCGCACCGCACGTTTCCCTTTATCGGTCAGCGGGTCGTAAGAGCTGGACGAAGGAATCCCCTCCACGTCGAGATCCAGATCACGTGCTCTCGCCTGGGCCTTGCTCGCCGCCCTAAGCTCAGTACTTCTAGGACTGCGGATTCGACGTAGTCCTGGAGATCCACTTGCAGGTACTGCACTGCCCGTATTGACAGGCCAGGTGGCTTCCTTCTGGAATTCAGTTTTTAGCTCATCTGCGTATGGACTACTGGCAGATCGTCCCTTTCCACTGGTGGGTGACTGCTCAGGACGCCGCTTTTTAGGGATATCCAACGTGGCTTCGCTGCCCGGATAAGATAGCCTTGAAGCCTGAGGAGATTTAGGCTGTGGTAGAATGTGCTCCTGCCCAAGTACCAACTGTGGGCTTGCTGAGTGTCGTGCGGCTTTCACTCGGCCACGCGAACCCACATCAGAAATGTCACGGCTCCGTGAGTTTCGTGGAGGCTCCGTTAGAACATGCTCCTTTATCGTAGCGAGCGGTGTTCGTGGAGGTGTGATCACAATATCCGGGTCATTTACAAGTCCGTAGGGCCCTCCAAATATGGAGCGAGGGGGTTCCGACGACGGGGTTTGGGAATCAAAAACCTGCTTTTGCTCTCGCTGAAGGTAGCTTTCTGACAACGTAGTTGACTGTCCGCTAAGTTCACTCCTAGAGAGGTCGCGAATCACAGGGAATTGTTGAGGTTTGTCCCCGAGAGCTTCACGGGAAACCGGGCTAGAATGCTCCACGTCAACTTGCGTCGAAGCAGGAGAATGAGAATATATGGGTGATTTATTCTTTGAGGTTAAATCCATAGAAGAAGGCTCCTGTTTGCGAGTATCTTTGATGGATAGCAATTCAGGTTCGGAATTCTTGTCACTCACATCGATTGAACGATCGATATTCTCATCAGTTGCAGGGCCTTGCGGGATTGGATCGAGACCTGGTGGACGTTTTATGGCATCTTCAAACTTGGGAATGGTTTCGTCATCAACTACTGGCTCGGCGAATCGTGGAAAAGTAGGTACCTTTGTCGAGATCGACTGTTTCCCCATAAAAGAAGTCGAGGTTCCTTGCGCATTCTTCTTTGTCTCTTGTTCGGGGGTTTCATGGGAGCCCACATTTTGTGAGGGCCGTTTTCTAGATACCCGTTCAAGAAACGGGAAGACACTAGCCACTACTCCTGAGGGTTGGGGTTGAACCGGTTCCTCCAACATTCTTGGCGAAGTAAACCCTGTGATGGTGGGCTTTTCTTGAGTTTCCACTGGAGTTGGATATGGAGCTTTTGGTTCATTTAGAGGGACGCTTTGCTTGCCTTTCCGTCCTTGCTCGCGGCCTTTGCCCTTCTTCTCGTGCTTCTGGCCAAGACCCCAAAAATCACCCTCGTCGTCTACGTTTCCAGTATCCACGAATCCTTCAGGTGGTTCCAGCGCTTCGGATTTTTTGGTAATTGTGGTGGAGCGTTCCATTCTTGTTTCAAGTTCAGTCTGTGTTTCAGGTTTTTCATTTGTAACTTGAAGCATATTTTCATCGGCTTCATTTGGTATACCGAGGGAAGTTTTCCTTCTCGCTTTTCCTTTCTTTCCCTTATTCTGTCTCCTGCTGCTAGCAGTCCGAAAGTCATCAGCTCCTGTAGCCCCCGAAGGCTCAGCAGGTGAGTGTGTGCCATCAAGGACCCCGGTCGAATCTATTTTGAGATTTCCTTCCAAATCATGGTCGGCGTCTGACGATTGCGGGGCCGAGGAAAGAGCAGTCAACCGTTCGATGTGGTCTTGTTTTTGAAGAAATCCAGTAACGTCAATGTCTCCTTGCAGGCTCCCAGGTTCGTCAACATCCAATGAAATAGGAGGGAGTTCATCGCTGTGGGAGCTTCCGGGCCGGCGCACCTCGACTTGTTCGGGATTCATGGGCAGAGGTCTACTTGCTGATGCCCAAGACACGTCTGGAATCCTTTTTTCGCGTGTTTCTTGAGAAATAAGACTCGCATTTTCATCAAAATCGCCAATGCTCTCGCCAACCACTACCCGCGCATCTACTGGTTGTTGCCCAAAGGGCTCCTCGCGCGGTTGCGGCTCATCTCCCGAAAGAAGCAGATCGAGGGACGAAGTGTCAGGTTCCCTTGGTTTGGGCTCGGGCTGAGGTTCGTCGATTTTCCAAGCCTTATCTCTACCCCAATCAATTGGTGGCCAGTAATCGTCTTCTTCATTTTGTGGCTCCACAATAGATCTTTCCCCTTGCGGCAGTTCCCCTGGTGTCTCCTCTTGTGATTCTCCCGTGAATTCTTTTATGACTTCGGCTGGATGAATGTCAAGAGCAGAAGACTCTTGCATGTGGGCTTGTTCTGGATGTTTGGTTGGCTTTTCATCAAATTGCTGCTGCCATATGTTTCTCTTTTCCTTTAACAGAGACTTTTCTGGCGGCGCATTTCCTTCACCAACGAGCTTCTGCCCTTCCTTCTCCCCATTGTCAACTTCATTTCCAGTTGCTGATCCAACGTTTACTTCACTTTTTGTTCTCTTCTTATTCTTCTTTTCCTTTCTAGATTTCTTTTTCATTGATGGTTCCTCCCAAACATCATTTTTTTCCTTCTCACCAACAAGGTCGGCAACTTTAACAGGGATTTGGTCTAGTTTAGTTTCGTCAGAAATATATCTTTGTTCAATCTTCGGACATTTGGCGGTTTCATTGGCCTCAGAAATTGCCTTTCGATTATTGTCAGGTGCTTCCGCCTCCGTTATTGGAGTCTCCTTTGCTTGATCGTCTATCAGGGATTCCATTCCAGGAAGATTGGTTTCGCCTAAAGTGCTGTCTACTTCGATAGTAGCAGAAGCCTTATCTTGAGTTTGGGCGGCTTTTGCAGCTTTCTCTTCTTCGACCTCGTGTAGATGCCTAGCAGCAGCTTCCTTCCCTCTTTCTTTGACCTTCTGTCCCTTCTCCAATGGGCTGCGACTAGGTTCTTCAGACATTCCAAGTTCCATACGTTCCCACGATTCGGGTTCAAAAGTTAAATGAGCCTTTTGTTGAACATCTCGACCCTTTTTGTTCTTCTTGCCTTTTTTTGTTGATGCGGCACCCAATTCCTTTTCATCATGCTCGGTCTGAGGCTCGGGGTCGATGTGAGCAGGATGCTCTCCAACAGATAGTGGTGCTGGCCCACCGGGAGGGTCGTTTTGGACAACCTGGGTCTTTTTATTCTTCTTTTTGTCTCTCTTAGTACTAGCGACTTCCCGACGATTCCAGCTCCCATCCCCCTGCGTCTCGACTTTCATTTCCTGTAATTTGGGGGTGTTCAATTCATCCACAGCTTCAGCCGAATCATCCACATACGGCTCAACAGGATTGGCAGTACCTTCCTCAAAAGTGAGATCCTTATTCTTATTTTTACCTTTTTGGGTTCGTTCAATATCCCAGGTATGCCAACTATCCGCCTGCGGTTGCTCTAGTTCCTTTTCCTTTGTTTCAGAGATATTCGCATCATCCGTGGTGGGTGCTAAGCCACTCGGATGGCACTCATGAAGATTGCCAATCCCTTCATCGATACTTGGAGCTTTAAACTTAGTTTTCTTTTTTTCCGTCTCAGTGGATGTGACACCCAAAGAGCACTGGCTTTCCTCCTTTTCATCTAGGGGTTCAATGATCGTCGAACTTCCAAGAACGTTTTCAGTTGCAACTGGCTCTGGATAGCTAGTGCGGGGAATACTTTCTTCAAGACCGCGAGACTTTTTATTTTTCTTCTTGCCCATTTTCGTGATAGGGAAGTCCCGATTAGCAGTCTCTTCGTCGACAATTTTGGGCATCGGCTCCCGGGTCGGCTCCAAGATGGACCCCACTGGAGTTGATAGAGTACTCTCTTCATCTGGGGTGGGAGCCTTCTCATCTCGAGGTTCTCTTTGTTTCTTGTTCTTCTTTTGCTTCCCCTTTTTGGTTGACCTGACACTCCAGCTGCTGGGTTCGGATTGAAAGTTGGGTTGAAGTTCAGGTTCAGGTTCAGGTTGTGCTGATTGCTCAACATCCACGTCGCAGTTAACAAGTTCCGACAGGCTTGGAGGAATTTCACCAGAAACAAGGACATTCACAGAGTGTACATCTATGACATCCCGGCCCTCTATCTCGACAGATTGGGATGATTCTTCAACTTTTAACAATGGTTCTTCCTGGCCGTCCTTCTTATCTTCAGCTCCAGTTGACTCCCTGAATTCTGGTTTGGTGTCGCCGGTTTTGTCTTTCGACGAAGTCGAAATCTGCTCTTGTTCAAAAAGGGAATCCATGGCTGTATCTGCAAGGTTACTTATTTGATCACCTGGCTCATTAGAAGCAATTAACAGATCCGGACCCAAGTATGGAGGCGATACAGCTTCTGCTGGGGGTGGGGAAATTTGTCCTTCCGTTTTTGTCACTGTCTCAGAAACAACTGCTTCAGAAGGAAGTGTCTCTTCAGCTTCTTTTGCTGCTTCAGCTGTTCCAGCGTCTCTTTTACTGGCATAGACAATTTCTGCGGCCGTCAGTTGAAGAGGATTGGTTGGTGGCCTCTGGATTTCTTCGGCAATTGAGGCAGGGCCAAGATTATCCACATACGGCAGAGAGGTATCAGCCTGGGATGCTTCCACCCTGCACGACAATTTCTCGGCATCAGTATCGGTGTCGAAATGTCTAGACGGTTCCGTAGGCATATAGATTTCCGCAGCTTGCAGTAGGGGCTCCTGCGCAATTGCTTCGGGACTATCAGGAGTCGCAGGTGTTTCACTGGTACATGAAAACTGTTCCTGTTGGGAAGGCTTGAAAGGATCCTGGGTGTTAAGTGGTTCAGGTTCGACAGGGGACTCTACAAAATTGTGGAGAGGACCCAGGGCCCGTATTATAGATTTTTCATGTGGCTCAGTTGGGATGGTCGGCGGCTGGCATGTTGCTAGCAATGACTCGGGTAGTGTCGCTTTAGAATTCTCTTTCTTTTCTATCTGCGGAGACGTATTTTCATCAGTCCAATCAGAATGTCTTGACCTTTTCTTCTTCTTTTGATTCTTCTTCTTATTTTTGGAAATCTGAGATTCATTACCGTCATCGTTGGGAGGTGGTGCTTCGTGAGGAGCTATTTCATTGTCTTTGTACGGAGCCTCGATAACTTTATCGGCATCGTCCTCCCATGACCCGGGGATGGAGAATGTTTCCAAATCCTTCTCGAAAGTGAGAGGCTGGCCTTGAGGAGACTCTACCATAAGTGATTCGTCTACTTTGTTAGCAGGAGCAAGTGAAGGTGGTCCTGTGGATGTATCGGGATCCAACTTCGTGGAAAGCTCTGATTGCTCCCCAGAGCTTGCAGCAATAGACTCAACTAGCAAACGGGGTTGCTCATCGGACGGGCTTAAAGGCTGTGATGTTGTCAAATCTGAAGATTTCCGCTTTATCTTGTCTTTTTTTGCTTTCCGTTTATTTTTAGAAGTGTTCGGTGCCTCAGTATCCAAATTGTCAGCGGGGGTAAATGTGGATATCTCCATTTCAGCGCGGAGTTCATTGTCCTTCATTGTGGAAGAATCAGGTGCCGACTGGGGACCTTCGGCATGGAAAACATCGTCCTCCCAAGTGACCGATTGCCGCTTCTTTTTGCCCTTCTTCGCCTTCTTAGACTTCTGAACATCAGGCGCAGGCTTATCATTTTGATGCGGTTCCTTGTTCATAAGTTCATCCGAAGGAATCTTGTCATTAGATGTGGGAGGTCTAGAGATGTCGTCCGAAATTTCCTTATCCATGGCATGGTCTTCACTAATTACCAATGGAGGATCGTGAGTTGTTGGCTCCGCCTCAACCAATGACAATACTGAATCGCCTTGGCCTTGTTTTTCCAAGTTTTCTCGCTGTTGATCTTCCTCTATCAGTTGCTTGCCCTTGCTAGAGTCATCGGATAACCTTGATGGTGCGATTTGCTGCATATCGTCTGGTTCCATGGTCAATTTCTCAGGTTCGCGTTGAGCCTCAGTGCTTCCCTCGCCAACCATGTCTGTTAAAGACCCTAATTGTAGTGGCTGCTCCTCAGTTTCCAGGGAAGCTTTCCGCTTCTTCTTATCCTTTCTTTTTTGTTTTTTCGAGACCTTTATAGACGTGTCGATTTGTGCATCGACTCCACCTATCAGATGTGGTGAACCCTCATTGGCCAGAGTGTCACATGCAGATTCCTTGGCTTCCTTGTCCAACAGCGTTGTGTTAACGTCGTCTTGCACCTGCGCTTCAGATCGGTGCTCATATTTATCTTGAACCAAAGGATCGGGGGCCGAAGCTTGAGATTCAAAAGGAGATTCTTTGCACGCGACTAATTCGAGGCTCTGGCGAACATTACTTGTCTTGGTTTCGGCTGGCTCATCTTTTGTAATCGACTTCCGACCCTTGCTTCCTCTCTTCCCCTTCTTATGTGATGCGTATTCCTCGGTGTTTTCAACAGGGAGTTCAGGAGGAGGTACATGTTCCGCTGGTAGTAACTCAGGCAAGACAGTCGTCAATTCTTGATATACTGGTGAACTATCTCCCCCGACATCAAAGACCACATGTGTAGAAGGCCGCTTATCAGCTGAAGGAGCAAATCGTTGATCAGCAGGCTCCACCAACTCTTCCTTCGGAAGCTCCGTATCCCCGACCTTATTCTCTAGTGGAGGTATAATTCCACGCTCAATTTCTCCGGCTGATTGTAGGCAGGATTCTTGCATCTCCGTATCTAGAACAGGGGTGAAATTGCTCGTTGTCTCCGCTTGATAAGGAAAGCTCGAATCAGGGACATATCCCTCTGCGGTCGGTTCCTCAAGGTCTGCATCCTCGACATCCGGTAACGCTATACTCGTAGGGTCAAACTCCATGGACGATTGTAGAACGTATTCGTCAACAGTTTTGTGGGAAAGATTATTAGTTTGCTCAGGACAAAGAGGGCTCGAATCAGGGGAATATTCATGAATGGGCTCCTCAAGCTCTGCATCCCCGACATCCGGTAGCGCTATCATTGCAGGATCGAATTCATCGATCTTCTGCGGAATTTGCCCGTCAGCCTTTACATTCGGCAGATTGATAACCGGCTCTAAATTTTCTGTCTCGCCGGCTAAACCGAAATCAAGAACACCCTCAACAGCGGTGGGCTCCCAAAGCTTGGAATTATCATCTTCAGTTAGAGGGATGTCAACAAGGCTCATTTCCTTGGTTGGTTCAGTAATATCACCGACTACTTGCTCCGAAAGAGATGCGAAAACCTCTGGCTCTTTTCCTTGGCTTGGAGTTTGAGGTTCGAGGGCGGGCTCATCTTTCATTGGTGGGATATACTCCTGGGGAGAAATTTTTCCAGCCTTCTGCTTTTGTTTACCCTTGCCCTTCTTGTTCTTTTTAGTCTGCGTAGCTAATTCCACCTTGGTGTCTGCAGCCGCCGGGAAATGATGAGATACAAATTCTTCCTGAATGGGAAGTTCTCTAGTCATTTGCGACTTTGGCTCTATTGATTCTAGAAATTGAGACTCTGGCGTTGGCAGTTCAATGGGCGCCGTTTCTTGCTTTTCCTCTGACATTTCGCTTGGTGGAGCCAATGGAACATCGGCACTGTCACTTCTGATTATCTGGGAAACAGAATCATGCTCGCTGCTAGAGGGGGGGGGCGGGCCGTCGGGGGCAGTTGCGTTCTTGCCCTTCTTTTTGTTTTTCTTGGCCTTCTTCGATTTCTTTGAAGCTGGCTGGAAATCATCCATTTCAACCTTCAGGAGTTCTGGTGGAGTGTGTTCGATCGATGGACTAGGCTCTGAAAGGTGGGGAATTGGCTTGGTTGGTACCTCATCTAGAGCTGACGAAGCTGAATCAACAACGGGTAGTGATGGCTGAATTTCTTCCTGTGGCCGTGGAGTTCGTTTTGTCTCCACCGTCGGTTCCAGAGCTGGTTCTTCAAGTAATTTTGGGGTGGCTTCAACAATTGACACGGTCTCCCTTGCGGGTTCAGTGTCTGTGACTGTTTCGGTGCTAGGCGTAATCTCTTGACCAACATTGGTAGCATCTAAGAACGCAGTTTCAGGTTTTAGTTCTAATTTTGCGAGCTGTGCAGCCACACCAGCCGCAAAACTCGCACCTGCTCCAGTGATATAATGACCCATCAATTGAGCTTCAGCAGCAGTAGTATGAGATGTCGACGGACGACTGCCCGGTAATGGAGGCAAAGCATCTAGCTCTGCGGTCGGTGTGAAAAACTGAGGCTCAATTTCAGAGTCAGCTGTGGAAGGACGGCTCTCGGGTAGCGGGGGTAGTGACTCTCTCAGATCAGGCGAAGCGGTCAACGAGCGCGGCAGAGGCGGTAACTCCAAATCCACATCAGACTCCGTAGGTACCAGGGTCCTTTCGTCTCTCACAAGACCTTCCGATGATTGTAGAGAGTCCAGCGCCGCAGATTCCGGCAATTTAATTTGGCGAGAAGAGGGATCAAAAAGCAAATCAGAGGGGGAATGGAACTCCGGCTTCGGTTTCTTCTTCTTCGCCGTTTGGGCTGCTTCTTGGAAACTTTCCGCCGTGGGGGTTGCCTGCTGCGACCCTAAGAAATCAGGATCAGAGAGGGAAGTGTCGTTGGTGTCAAGTTGTAAGGAAAGACCTCTTGTTCGCTTTGGTGGCTGGGCGAACTGCTGTTGAGGATGAACCTGATAAGCCTGAGAAACCTCTCCAGTGAAACCCTCCGTAAGGTCATAGCTGGTCAAATCCTCGACAGAGGAAGTTCGCGATGCTGTTTTACTAGAGGGAAGTGATGGATATGGCTCTTCCGGCTGTTTATCCAGTTTCGCCGGTGAGTGACGCTCCACTAACCACAATGGTCTGAACTCCCTTGAGGTCTTAAATTCCGTTGACCTGGGTCGTTTACTGCCACTTCCAAGCTTCGATGTGGGAGATCCCACAGTGTCCTCTGGCGTTCCTGGACTAGAAACAGACGACGTTTTTCGAGCACCTGGAGACGGTTTCGGTCGTCGGAAATGTATAGGCACCGCAGTCGGTGAAGACATAATGTGGGAAGTCGAGCTTGGATCTACATGTAGCCTTAGCGCTTCTTCACTCCGAGTAGCCGTTGTGGGTGACCCAGGCCGACTTCGCGATTGAGCTGGTGTCAGATCGAAAAGCCTCTTGCCAGTCATGGGAGACGCCGATCTGCTCCGCATCCGGGTCTGCATGAGAGTCGCAGGAGCAGTGCCGCTGGCCGCCTCTTGTGGTTGAAGGAGAGAACCAAGCAACCCCGAAGCACCATCACGCGTCAATGGCATTTCGGGGTGCGCGCCTAAAAAAGACTGGCTTTCTGTGTAATCCTTACTTTCGTCACTGGCGTCATGATCACCATGCCCGTTAGACGTCATGAAGCGCGCGTCCTAGCAACAGAGGGAAATAACCTAGATCAGCATGTACAAAAAAACATTGTTTCAAGTATAATAACCATAAAGAATTCCTAAATTAACATACATTGCTCTTCCCATCTACACTCCTCGCGGATTCAACAATATCCTCATATCGGTGTTTTCGATCTTTCCGCCTCCGACGATGCGGAGATTCAACTTCCTCCATTGCATCCATCTCTTTAGTGGCGTGATCTGGTTCCTCACTCTCTTTCTTCGCCCATTCTCCATCACTACCCCCACTACCACTTAAACCATCATCACCGCCAAACTCAACGCCATCATTCCCACCTTTCGAAGATCTCTTCTTCCTCCGCCTCTTCCCCGACGAAGCGCTTACATTGTCCAAATCATTGACACCAGCCTCAGACTGAATATCCTTCGCTGGTGCACGGGCATCGTCAGCCAAAGAGTCGCGAGATTTGGAAGCGCCGAAAAGCCCAAAGAAACCTCCACCACCACCACCGTGGCTGCTGCTCCGTTTGCTACCATCCTTGCTCTTACGTCGCTCAGTCTTGTCATTATCTGCCATTTTAGCAGGCGCGGACACAGCAGAAGCGGACGTGGAAGGATCCTTCTGAAATGTATCACTATCGCGCTTCGACCGACGCTTTGATTTTGTCTTGGATGATGACTTGGATTTGGAAGACTTCAGAGACTCTGCATCATCCCCTCCTTCCGTCCGGCTCCAGGCAGTCATTGATTCAGTCCCATCGTCATGGTCATCAAGACGGTCGTCATGTTCGCCATTTCCTTCAACGGCACGGACAGGGTCTTCATTGGAACCGTTGATGGAGCCAGCAGGTGCCTCCTTGTCCTTGGGATTGACTTGTCTATCGTTCCCCTTAGATTTCCGCTTCGATTTCTTTTTGCTGGCATTGACAATGTCAAACTCCATTTCAGGATCAGGTTCTACTGAATGACCAGGTGCCTTATCCGCTTCAACTTGCACTTCGGGTTCCAGCTCCGGATCAGGTCCACGTTCAAAGTTATCATTTTTCAAGGCAGCATCCTTGGCAGCTTTCTTCGCCTTTTTCTTCGCTTTCTTCGACTGCTTGGGTTCTTCAGAAAAGTTCCCTGGCATGGAACGTCGGTCTTGACCCTCTGCAGTGGATTCATCCTGGTCGGTTCTAGTTGGCTTTTCCGTCCCTTCGGATTCGCCCCATTCCACGTCCTGCTGCACACTGTACGAAACAGGATCAGTTGCAGAAATGGATTTGTTGGGGTCAGCGACAGGGTCATCCTGTTCTACAGATCTCCTATCATCATCACGATCATCGACAATAGCAAAACCAGTTTCACGATCCTCCTCTTTACCATTGACTTCATCTAAATGGCGCGGCGATCCGTCCTCGGCATCATAGAATTCGTTATCATCCACTGTATCATAATGTCTGGAAGGTTTGTCAGTCGTTGGGGTGGTGTGTACAGACCCTCCCGCTTCTGCTTCTAAAATCTCAAACTCCTTCCGCTCCTCTGCGAGTGGATCAAGCAGGGCAGCTGATTCAAATGCGGGCTTCTCCGCATATTTAGAGGCTTCATCATGGCCCTGAGATTCCCGCTGAGCTGCCTTATCATTCTTCTGCTTCTCTTTCTTCGAGAGTTTTGCCGGCTTCTCATCACTCCTCTCGGCTACCTCAGCAGTAGTCGTCATGAAACCAGCGTCTATTAACTTCCCACTGCGTTCCAGAATCTCTCCTCTATCACCGCCAGTATCCTCGGGGAGCTCATCAGCAGCAACCGCTCCAGCGCCTCCCTCGGTTTTCAAGCCATCATCATCAGAATGCCCCACCTCCCCACCCTCAACATATCCGAAGGTCGTAGTAGAATACTTCCCACCATCAGGAGGGCTACCCCGTCGTTCTAGAATCGCCCCTGCAATCGGGGAAGCAAAATAGCCCTCCTCCTCTGAGCCAGGTGGCGAGTCGCGTTGGTGGTACGTGGGATCCTCCGTGACAACAGCGGAACTGAAGCCTGCCAGCGTCGCTCCAGCAGCGAGCGTTGCAGCAAATTCGAAATCGTTTCCAAAGCCACCGGGGATATGCTCGTGTCGCGGCATTTCCTCATCGACGGAGTCATCTTCAACTTCAGTCACAACATTGGGCGGTTGTTCATTCAGTTCTTCGAGCGGTTTGGTTGCACTATCGTCCCTTTCTTCATGTGGTTCTGGTTGTGATAAGGCTGATGTTGTTAACTCAGGATCGTGCAGCGTGTCCGCAGCTTTAACATGTTCAGAGATGATATCCGCAGCGTCAATCTCACGGACACACTTGTCATCCATATCGATAACAGGATCGCTAATTCGAGATGGGGAAATGTCGCGTTGCGAATCCGAAAGCTCCTTAGGTGGTATGGGTGGTGGCCATCCGCCCTTCTCGTCAACGACAGATGGTGCAATACTCGGTGGCGGCGTAGGCGTTATTAAATTAAGGCGAGGAACAGACCAGGGAAGATTAATTTCAGGCACCCCCTGTTCCGCCAACATAGCCGCCATTTCCCTCTCGAGTCGGACACTCCGCGGTTCGATGAGAATGACATTGGGACTAGGTGGGCACGAAGACTCTACGTCCGAAGTGGAATGGGCAGAATGCTCATCACCGCTAGACCGTACGTCTGGTGGGACGAAGTATTCTGCATAATTGTCATAAACAGGCGATGACCTAACGCGATCAGCCGCTCTTTTCGCAAGGCGAATCTTCGTCGTTGGGATGTCTTTGATATCAAAATCAGGCTCGGTGCTGACAATGGTATCCATCTTATCGTTGCCCTCTTCAACGGGCCCGGCAACAGGTTCAAACCAGTCCCCTTCCTTATCTTCCTCAATCTCCTGCTCTCTCTCACCGGCGTACCCGCGCCTCTCCTTCCTCCTCTTTTCCCGCCGTTCTTGATGCCGCTTCCTCTCATCCAATTCACTTACCAAGGACGTGATAGCCGCAGTACCAGCCACAGCCGCAACAGGGGAAACCCAGGATGAACTAGACGCTTCAGTCACATCGCTACGTCTACCGCTTGAAGTCGATTCACGAGATTTCCTATCCACATTCTCACGCTGGCGCTCACGCTCACGCTCACGGCTCTGTTCCCATTCCACACTACGATCGTCGTCCTCCCTATCCATCCTTTCTTTCTCCGCCAGCACATGTAATTCCATTGCACGCCGTCTAGCTTCCTTTTCCTCCTCATACCGCAACTGCTGGCGCTCTTTATCCTCCTGCTCCTTTGTAAGATCAAATTGAACTTGAGACATAGTACTACGCCTAGGTTGTTTTGGCCTAGGGCTTCCATCGCGCGCGTGCGAAATTGTAGGCGAAGAGTCTCTTCTGCGGGAACTAAGAGGCCGCCCTCCACTGCGTGGCGGGGAATGGTTGTTACCATTGTCAACGTAGTAGTCAGCGTCCCTTGATGATTTCTCCATTAATGGAGCAATTCCGTATCCGATTTTCGATTCAGGGACAGGTACGTGACGATCGTCGTATTCATCAAAAGATCCGGGGAAGCCAGGTTGACCTCCGCTTGGAACATTGTAGGATTGAGCTAGTTCAGCCTGCGATGTGTAAAGTGCTTGGGATAGGGGGACAATTGGTTGAGGATGTTGGATGTGAGCGGGGCCAGGTGCCCGGGCCATTAACGGGGGTGCTTGTGATTGAATGTTTGGTGGAGAAGAATAGTTTTGGTTTTCCACGTCATATAACGATGGGTTTTGCGTGGGTGTTGGGAAAACATTTTGCATTGATGCCAGGCTGCCCACGCTGCTAGGGGTCTGATGTGGTGGATACCCAGCCGTGGACTGTTGAGGGTACCGCCCCAAGTCCGGAGGCTGGTCAGAATACTTTGTAGATTTTGAACTCTTTTTCTTGCCGCCCCACCTCCAACCCCATTTAGAGGTACCCGAGTCGGACGAGAGAGATGGCGCCGCACGTCCACCATAGGCCAACGCAGAATCCACACTAGACGGGGAAGATTCATCGGATACGGATTCCCAGCCATCATCATCAGTCCGCTTAGAAATGCCGATAGGCTTAGGATCACGCCCATAGATCGCATGCGGCGATTGGGAGCTGCTGGTAGAAGAATGGCGGTCACGTCTGCGTCTCCCCTTAATATGCGAAGCCGTTGCTGCAAGGCCCACGGCTGTCGCTCCTAGTCCAAGGAGTGCCGCATCAACATCGTGGTCATCCGTACGATTTTTTGATTGGGATTTACTTTTTGCAGATCGTGGTGATTTGATATATCCCGTCCCGAAGGCCAGATCAGCATCATCGGATGAGGACGAAAACGAAGACGCGGATGATCCTTCAGAGGAAGAGAAAGAGAAGCTAAAAAATCCTTTTGCCTTCTTTTTTCTTTTCACCTTCTTACCATCCACCTTCGCATACAACTTTGGTTTTTTTTCTGATGGTGCACTGAAGAAAGATGTGAGTCCAGCCAAACCGGGTTTACTATTGTTGCGAGAAATATCAATTGTGGATCCGCTCGATGAAGAATATCGACTGCTGCGGGATTTCTTAGAGGATCTGCTGCGGCTTATATGTGATACAGATGATATGACGGATGCAGCACCGGCAGCAGTGGCTGCTGTTCTCAAACCGGAATGTATCTTCTCACGAGACGTAGGTCGGGAACGCGATCGTGATCGCGATTTTGGTCGACCGTTCCCGTGGCGGGATGTTTCATATGAACCATTATGCCAGCTTGCATCATCCTTTCGGTGTCGCGTGTCAAGTCCCATCGGAGAGTGACTGCGAATAGAGTAATTTGCAGGTGGCTCAGACGTACGATTCTTCTTCCCTAGAGATGAAGCGCTAGTACTTGTCGTGAAACTATCAGGTCGCCCAGAACGAATACTATTTAGATCATCAAACTCTTTTTTGCTTCCGTCAGAAAGAAGTGACTTAGTAATATAACCAGCGAGGCCGGCTGCAAGCCAAGATTTCTTGTTAGACTTTGTACGACGGCTCTCATCACCAGATGATGAGGGATATCTGCTCAACTTTTCCACTCTAGTTTGTCTACCACGGTACTCGTCAGAATACCTACGTCTGGCAGGGCGGTGTTTACGCGGGGCATCCCTTGAAGTAGTTCCCGGTTCGAAGCAATATTTGCAAATACCGGTGTATTCGGAGTATTCCTCATACTGGGCGACAGCCTCTGAGTCTTTCCAGAAATTTACAAACTTTCTAAATGGACCATGCTGGCGTTGGTGGTAGGCTAAGGAACCTGGTTGATATGGCTGGGCCGTTTGGAAGGGTTGCTGGTGTACGATACCAGAGTACATACTGGGTCTCTGCGGGGAGACAGTCGTTTGGCTTGTCGATGCGGCATATCCTGCGGCAGCGCCCAGTGCGGCGGCACCTACAATAGGCATGGAATGGTGCTTGTTTGGTTTTGGTGGGCGTCCACCATTGAACAGAGGATTGTCTGGCTGCTGGGCGGGATGCAGTGTTGATTCGTGGTGAGGAGAAAATGGTGGGGAAGTAGAGTGGTGTTCATTGGAACTTCCCATCAATGAACTGATTCCGTAAGTTGCAGCTGCCCCTGCTACTCCCGCAACAGCGACTGACGGTTTTCCTGGCCCTCCCGGTTTGAATGGTTTGGATGGTTTAGGGGGTCTGTCCGGCAGAAGATCGGCAGGTAAGCCGGGGCCATCGGTATGTTGCTGCTGTTGATTAGTAACTTCTGGTGAAGAATCGCCGTAGAAGTCGGCCGCATGACCCACTTGTCCCATAGACGATGGTTCAGCGGGGGGATTTGGCGTTGCTGACGCAGCCATCAAATGTGGTTCAGCTCCAACAATGAGGGATGGCGGATTGGGCCTCACGCCAGGCTGGGTCGCTACTGACTCCCCTTGGTCCCCATAATACTCCGCTGCCTCACCTAGATCTGGGGCCGGAATTGGAACCGTTGGATCCGCTGGTGGCGGGCCGACCGGGAACTGTTGAGGTGGGTAAGGAGAAGCGTGCGAAACAGACATTTGATGGGTATCTAACGGTCCGGTTCCAGGCGCTGCACCAGGAAAGGTATTGTCATGTTGCATAGGAAATTGCATAAACCCAGGCTGAGAGATTTCCGTCACAAACCCTTGATCTCCAGGTGACGACATAGTGCCATCTCGACTACGGGAGTAGTCATTTGGGTTGTTAACAATTACCTCAGACCTAGCTCGCCGGTGCGAATGTGGTTTGATATCCCTTTCACGTTCCCTCTCTCTCCTATACCTTCGATCAGCTCGATCAGCGCTCCTGGATCGCTCGCGACGAGTATTGGGTGCATCGAAGCGCCCATCATCGTTGCGCCCATGTTTTGGCCTCAGCACAGAGCCATCATAGTCCTCCTGGGTTCTCCCCGTTGGATCAGCTGTTGCATAGCTAGACGCCGTTGATCTAGCGGTGCTATCGCGACCATGTCTGCCAGAGGAATGGGCGGATGAAGCAGGCGCGTGATAGTCATCTACGTTTACTCGACCAATTCCTCGATCGTCACCTCGGGAAGTGTGAGGAGTAGTAGTAGTGGAAGACGACTTGCGTCGGGAGCTTGAAGAAGAAGAGGGATGGTCGTGGTCACCTCTGCGACGGCGGGGAGAAGACGAAGAAATGGTGGAAACGTCATCAGAGTCTCTCTGACGGCGGCGGGACTTGGAGGTGCTGGTAGAGGAGACCGGAGGATCGGTAGCCTTTCCGAGCAGGCTGCGCAGCATTATGAAAGAGTGGTGAGTATCATGTCAGTAGGGATTGAGTAAGTTCAAGTGATATTTGGAGTATCGTAGATCCGGAAGATATGGTAGATATGGTTATATATGTCCTCCAGCAGGTGGTTGTTGTTGTTGTTTGTTGTTTACCAGGGAAGCATTTAGCGCAGGATCGATCTTAGTTAGGGCTACAAAACCCCGAACCGAGGAGGAAGTTTGGTTGGCAGATAAGGTGGCTGGGGATCCTTGGGAATGGCCCGTATGGACCAAAGTTAACCACAAATACAGCTATCACTTATGTCGTAAATAGTCATAAACCCATCAGAAGGTGGTAAAACGATAAATATACACAAGAAAGAGATCGGGGACGTGGAGAGGTATGGTGGATGGAGATGGAGATGGAGATGGAGATGGAGATGGAGTGATGATGATGTTGATGTTTAGGCTGGACTTTCTAGCGGCTGAAATGGTGCGTGGCAACGCTGGCCCAGTAACGTGACAAGGCTATGGCTAGCTGGGGATGGGGATACATACAGTGTGGTATCCTCGTGAAGAGGTTTTATTTGAGATTGAATCCAAATAACATAAAGGAAAATAATGGAAATGCTAGTAGAAATGTGAAACGCAACGAATATAATGTTAAAGTGCGCCTTAACCTCCTCGTAGGTATTAAAGTAGGCCAACGAATTGTAAATATAAAAGGCCTTAGGCTATCATATATTCTCTCCCTTTTCCAAATATTTGTTTCCATCCTTGGTTTCCTAGATACTCAAACTGAACGGTGCTGAATAGGTATATGGAAACAAAGACAAACGAATACTATATATCCCTTTTGCTATTGTATTGTCATCCTCCAAGTTCCTTTTTGCCTCTCTCATCTCCCCTCCATGAAGTTGAAATTGCTCTCATGAGTCCTCGCGGTGGAGCCATAGGGAGTAGGAACAAGTTTCCCGCGCATGCTTGCTTTTGCTGTGACAGAGGCATGGCTCGGGGCCTAGAGGCGCTAGCTGTCCTGGCTTGTGCTTTCGCTGGGCTTGTAACCTATCCGGGTGTTTCTGAGTGTGAATAGATATCGTAGTTAAATAGTTTGTTAGAGACCACACGGGCGCACTGCTGTAGCATTTGGTGTTAGTGAAAAGTGAAGCTTCCGATCAACTTTTGTCGTCCTCATTATAAGTGTATTCATTTGATTATCCACTACCAAGGTCAATTACTCCCGATCATATGTCCATCCTCGCAGAAGTGGAAAGGCAATGGATCTCTGAGTGGGAACGACATATTGTTTATCACCAATACCACCCTTTTGATAGTCTGCAGGCATTGGCAAGTTGACAAGAGCCAGCGCAGCAAAGGTTTGTTTGCATATAACTTACAATTTGTAGAGCCATGTAATTTGGTGCTAGCAGTGTAATATCATGTCATCGGCCAGGAGAATTCTGCTGCCCTTCCACGGGTGGCTGATATCAACATTTTTATAATATACAAAAACATCCCCGCCACTCCGAGGGTCCATGGAAGAGAATCTCGAACCCTCGTAGCAACGACTATGAATATGAAGATGCTGTCGAGTATCCACCTTGATCTCCAACGGCTTTGACCTCACTAACTGGCCGCTGCTTCAGGGACCACACACTCCGGCTCCTGAGTGACAAGAACTTGTTTTGTCATGCAGAATCGGAAATCTACACCCCCACTTTGAGCTTTGAGTATGCTATCGATGCGTCAGTTAGCAATTCAGCACCCACAAAATGGGTTCCGAACTCACCGTTCGTCCTCCGCCAGCTTCAGGTTATAGTTGTATATGATGTCCCTGCTCATGGACGCTTGATCATGGTGTGAGAATCTTCAAATCGACAAAAAATTTGTGCATGTACGTACAATACCTAGACATATATACATACGTACAACTCAAATCCTCATATATGGGTACAAGTGTGAATCATGTAGATGCATGGATATATATACTTTGAGGAATAGGTGGCTGGCTACCTTAGGGATTGATCCTTTTGGCGAATTGGATAAAACCTTCCACGGACATTTCGGACTAAGAATTAACTACTGGGAGTCGACGGGGGCCTCCTTGTCCTGCTCAAGCATATTTTTTCTTTAATATGCTGGTGTTTGTTGTTTGTTTATCAACCCCAACGTCGTCTTTTGCTGAGCTATTATGATTAATTATGAGATATCAACAGCAAAGAGAATGAGGACTGGAAGAAGGAGAAAAAATTCCACACAGGAAAGATGGATACAGATGTGCTTTCTCTTCTTGGTCCTTGACAGAATCAACGATATGAAATCGGTCTAGGTCCGAAGTCAGCCTAGATTACCTTGAAAGAAATGGGTCTACCGCTGCCTCCACCAACCATACGGTCTGGTTTTGCACCGCTCTATCGATGGCGTTTTCGGGAAGATGCTTGCTAGCTGGTAATGGGAATTCAAACCGCCAGGGGAGCCGAGGCTTACGCCGTTAATATAATGGCGGCGGTGCAGGTGAGCATTTGACCGATATTGTCAGACTCTCCCGACATTGTTCTCCTTCTCGCGGTATGTTTTATTCGTGTTATCGCTCCTTGCTGAAACAGCTCCCTACTATGCGTTACTATGTTTTCATCTTGTAGCTACTTCTACAAGGTGCGTATATTATTATTATTATTCTTATTCTTATTGTCATATTTTGATCTGGTCAGTTGTGAGTACATCCACAGGAGGGACACTGTTCGCGTTGTATACCTAGCCAATGAGGGGGAAATTGGAAAACAAAAATACCCGCCAAAAAGGAGAGCTAACATGCGACTCCAGCCCAAGACCAACTTTCACGGCCCTCACCAGAGTCCTTTCGCAGCAAAGCTATCGCTGGAGGCTCCAACCTACGGATCCTCCCCCTTGGGGACTCGATCACATATGGCCAAGGGAGCAGCGATGGCAACGGATACCGATTACCACTCTACGACCTCCTCTCCAGATGGAACAAGGTAGAATACATCGGCCGTGAAAGACACGGTTCGATGAGCAACAACCGACATGAGGGACACAAGGGATTTCCCATTGGGGCCGTCGGCAACACCGGAAAGCTAGATTACGTCGAACGCCCCAACATCGTCCTCCTGCTCGCCGGCACCAACGATGTGGTCTTTAAAATCAATCTGAAAACTGCGCCAGAGGTGCTGGGGCGCGTCGTTGACGATATCGTCTCGGCCTGTCCAGATGCCGTCGTACTGGTTGCGACTATACCGCCGTTGCTGGATCGCAATCGCGAAGCGCGGAGGGTCGCGTTCAATGCTGCACTGCCGGCTGTCATGGAGCAGCGGACGGAGGCTGGGAAACATGTGCTCCTTGTTGATTTGGCGAATGTGACTACGCGACACATCAACGCTACTGATGGTATTCATCCGGTTGATGAGGGGTATAAATTGATTGCCGATGCTTGGTATAAGAGTATCGTCCATGCTGATCAGAAGGGTTGGATCAAGGCTCCCGTTGCAAAGCCCGCTAATGGTGAAGTTGATAGAGTAAAACCCACCATCCAAGCAATGCCTATTGTTCCTGGGAGGCCTACTGTTGCTGGGACCTCTGCTGGTTTCTGGTCTCCGTTTAGGATGCTTGCGGCGCTGGTTGTGGTGTCTGTTGGTTGTTTTTGGGCTCTCAGGGTGCGTTATCCTCTTCGGTGGAATAGGAGGAATTTCTGGTGACGGGCTTTGCGTATTGGTGTGTGTTTGATTCTCCCTCTGTTTTATAGTGCAAATGCTCAATTGAGCTATGATCTACATACATCTAGAATTATACTGAAAACACATGAAAAAAAAAGTATCTAAAAATACTGAACGATGTGAGGAAACAGGTAATCTTATATAACTATAACCTCGCAATGTATGAAAAATTACCTGATTGATGTGCACATCCATTCACGGCTCACGGCAACAGAGGTATATCTCAAAAGATATCAAATGGAATACGCGAATTAACTGGGAATGTGTTACTAATACAACACCCAGGCCTAAGGAGCAGGCCAAAGAGAAGAACAACCCAACTATGCACAATGTGAATGCCTTTTTGAAGAATAGCACTGTAGCTAAAAATCCCTCTCCTCGAGCTCCCCTGGAATTTGGACTTTGGGACAAGGAGGCTTTCTGACCAATAAATATGCATGGCAAATGTCCAGTACCTGTCCATGTATGCACATTCTCGAAAATATACATTCTCGAAATCATCAGGTAGGGTGGAGAGCACAGGCACGAATCTGTACATGTCCGGTATATACATATAAAAAAAGCAGGGTAGCTAGTATTCATTATGAGACTGGAGGTGTCACAACAAGCAAGCTGCAAACAATTCCATACATAAAAGAAACCCTTGTCCCGGCCAATCCTCGCCGGTAATTCATAACAGCGATCAAAGCCTGCATAGTGCGAGGCCGGTTTGGTTGAAAACAAAATTTTCCCAGCAACGAGCTATCCAACCCTTTTTGCCTGAAATTTGCTTGCTAACTCCCTAAAGGAAAAGGAAAAATCCCAAAAGAAAAGACATGTTCATACATAGCTCTTCTTCCAAAAGGAGAGAAGAAACAAATCTTTTGACCATTAATTGAGTAAAATAAAATAAAAAAACTGATAAAGGAAGCATAGGCGAAAAAAAGTCAATAAAACTAAAAATGGCTAACGTCAAAATCAGATAGTACCGCCCAAAAAATATGAAGCTAAATCACAAATCTGCCACCGAAGCCAAAGATAAAGAATTCATGGTATAAAAAGAAAAGAAAAGAAAACCCCCTCAATAACAAGTATAAATAATCACGTATGGAGTATAGATGGGAATATGTATAACGAAAATAAAGGAACAAAAGAAGAAAAAAGAGAAAAACAATACAGTTGCAAAAAGCTCCACAAGGATGGAGGCAAGAGACGAGGTGATCGTGATGGCAGTCAAGTCATGTCCCCGTCAGCGGTCGAAAAACTTGTGGTCGGAGTATCAAATATTTTTTGCCGAATCAGTGTCAGTATTTCAGCATCCTTACTAAGAGTTGGGGAAATATGCCGGCTTTGCAAGAGAAAGTTGATCGTGCGGTTAAGGAGCGATCGGAGAGTTTCTCGATCTACGAGCTGTGACAGGGGTGACATGTAGGTTGCGGACAACACGAGCATATTTCCGAATTGACTGTTTTTTCCACAATTTCGTCAGGATATTCCAGAATGAGTCTATTGAAAAATATAAAATGAATGGCAGTTAGAACTGTTTTGACTTACGCATGTGCCGTTCCAAAGATATTAGTGACAACCGGTCGTCCCTGGACGCCATCAAATGCTATCGTACTCTGTATTGCCGCGTCAATACACGCCTGGCAAGCCTTACGGACCTTCGAGTCAAGCGATTTGAGCGAAAGTTGTTGATGATCAGGGAGCATCCCTGGTCTACTGGGAGGACCCATGTCATTAGGGAATCGTTCCATATTTTGTGAAAGAAGAGCTGGGTGAGCAGACGGTGGTGAAGCCTGTGACTGCGAGCTGGACATGTTGGAAGGGCTACTTGGTGCGATGGAATTGGCAGCCCCTGGGAGGTATTTGGACATTGGATGCAGGGCATGGTGCAATAAGGGCCGATGGATAATGTAGCGGCACCCGTAGTACTTCCCGCGCATTCGCGCGATGATAATGTTGTTGGAGGGGGGGTCGGATTCCTCCCATCGCATATTATCTGGCAGTCCGGTTCTCCATGCTTCGAGGTTACAACTCAAGGCTTCTTGTACTTTGGTCGTCCAAGATACTTTTGGTCCCTTAGAATCAGGCGCTGTGGGGCAATTGCATACAATATTAGACTGGACTTTTCTTGTTCTCTGTTGTAGGACATAGGAAACATGAAGATTAAAATTAGAGAACATACACTCAGCTTTGTATAACTCTGTGTGGACGCGATTCAGGACCTTCCGTAAGTGAATTTGCGCAACATAGTAGATCATGGTACGTGGGTCGGGAGTTTGCAGTTCATTTGTACTTATGAAGAGACCGGCGTGAGTGGAAAACCGATCTTCAAAGCGGCTTATCCCGCTAGCAGGAAGATCAAGTTCCGCGAGAATATCGCTATAAAGCATGTGAGCTTTAAAAAAAAAGAAAAAAGAAAAAGGGAATCAAGCAGCAGTATATGGCTATACCTTTCAAGTTGCAAACATGTCCAAAAGGCAAAATTGATCAGCTCCTTCTGGCGCGTTCCATTCGGAATACGATCAAATGTACGGCTAAACAGAGACAGGTCAGTCCAACGAACTCAATGTTTTTACAAATACGATAGCTTACGGTCGTAGAAGAATTTGGCAGGCTCTTGAAGCTTCACATATCCAAGCATGGCTGGAAAAGGGGCGGGCGAGCTGGCCAGTATACAGGGCCGCGAGCAGACAAGCTTGTGTATGTTTCAGACCACCGCCGCCCAGCACATCACCAAGAATATCTGACGCCAAAGCAAAATATGCTAGGCCAGGAATAATATCCAAGTTCCGTTCAGATTGATCTTCTGAGTTCCAGACATCTCCGGAATGTGCTGCACCAGAAAACCTCCGGTGGTGTCCGGCTGAACGTGGAAAAAACTCTTCATTTGGAGAATGGAATGATGACAAACTACCGGAATCAGGTAGGGTCGGGGAGGTCGACATAATGCGTTTGTTTCCGCTTTTCCGGTTCAATGGTCCGGGTATATCAGATTTAACAGCACATATCGAGCCTAAAGCAAGAACAAGGAGAACAATAGCGTTATCCAGGGACTTGTGGATTACAGTGCTGGGCGCACCGGTGTTTTCAGGTATCATTTCTGGAGCTACTTCAAAAGCCACATCAGCAGATCGCTTTCTTTTCCCCTTGGGTATGGCGGCCATTCTCTCGCCATGGACATGTGTTATTTGAGGTGAGAATGACGAGAAAGCGGGTTTGCGAGGGCTGTAGTTGTTAACAAAGTTATAAATCATTTGGTGCAAGGCCACTGCATCAAGGAACGGGTGGAGTGCGTGCATGTTATCCAGGTAACTGTGATAGTAAGCTTGAACAGTTTCTGCGTCGACATTCAAGGTGCCATATGGAGTTAATCCACCTGGATGTTGCTGCATGGAGAATCTATTAGTGTCAGGCCCAGAAGGGAATCCAAACCCCGAGCCCCATGCATTTGCTCTACCTAGAGCTACAATGGTAGGGTCCGGTTCCAGGGTTGTAGGCGAGGTAACTGGGCTGTCTGCAGAACTATCATCGCCTTCACCTCTGCCATATAGCCTGAGAGGACCACGATTTTCTTCCAGTTGCATCACGTAGTCGGCATCGATCCTCTCAGGGAGCAACTTCTGAATAGATGGCCATAATAATAACTTGTGAGCAGCAGTAGTGTGTTCTATTGGAATGGACAGCTCCCCAGCATCAAGGTCCTGCAGCTCCTTAAACTCCTCTGAAATCCGGGTTTCGTCGCCGTCCACAGTAGAGAAAGCCCGATCCACGTCCGCCTCTCTCGGAAGCTCAGCAGGGCCTTGGGTTTCCGGTGGTCTGGCATTTGGTGAGGTAAAATTCGCATTTGCCTCCACTTTTCCAGGAGAAGGCGTCAAATGGCTCAGTTTTCTTGGGGCAGTGGAACCGGCCATAGCATCCATTTGCGACTTAACATCAGCCAAAAGAGTTTTCATCTCATTTAGTTGTTTCATCAACTCTTCTCTGGTAGCTTTTTCTGTCTCCTCCTGTCGGTCTATTCTTTCAACGATGATCTGAGTTGACCTTTCTTGCCTTTGCAAACAGATTCACGTCAGGTTTCTAGGACCTCGCTGCATAATTGAGGAGTATTCCATAAACTTACTTCTGAGGAGGCACATCCTTGTAGACGCAGGGAACATTACTTTCTTTGCAATGGCTGCAAGCTGGCCGACCTTCATCGCATTTCGCTTTCCGTGAACGGCATTGGTCGCATGCCTACAACCCATTAGATGGCTCTAATGAAACAGGGACAAATAGAAAGAATACCTGCTGAGCTCGCGTTGTCCTTCGTTGGCGGTTCGCCAGAGGCAACCCAGCCTGTGTAATAAAATAACTGTTCGTTTCGTACAATCCCGGAGTAGGAGCCATATGGCCTCCAGGGGCATAGGGCTGTGAGGCAGGTATTGGCTGCATTGGATCCCCGTGGGAGTACATCGGTACTCCGTGAGTTTCGCCGTTTGGATGACGCCCATCCGGAGGGTAAGGCATACGTGGTTGTTGAAATTTGTTAGGTCCAGGTGTGTGTCCAGCTTGTTGGGGCGGTGGTTGCGGGTGCTGCGCTTGTTCTTGGGAGCCATTCACAGGCCGATAAGTGCCAGGCGGTGGTTGAGGCTCTGTGGGGGTGTGAGGAGGCGCTGTGATGCTACCAGGTCGTCCATATGTCACTTCTGCAGGGCCATGCGGGTTGGCTCGTGGTGGCGCGATGTAGACAGGCGGTGCACGCGGAGTCTCCCCGTGCTGTTCCGGGTTAGAGCCGTCATAATTATTATATGGGCGCCACCCGGGTTCGAACTGGCCTCGAACAGGGGCAGTCAGGCGATGACCAGGCTGAGATGATGGTGAAGTCCGCGTTTTGGACTTGACCTCTGTTGTAATTTCCATCATTTAATCTGTCTACCAAGCCCAGATCATCTACAGACCTTCTATAACCAACGTCTATCACACTGGAATATCCAACATCAAACACACAAACCCCAGAAAACTGGCAGCATGGTGTATTTACAGAATCGCTCTCGGTGTGAGAAAAATGGAAGGGTCTAGAGAATCGCAGGGACGTCGGGCCTTGTAGACCTAGAATTTTGCTTAAGAAAAACCAAATACTACCGTCAGGCGTACATGTATCGGTATTATTTGATCGGTTGCTGTGAAGCAAAATAAAACTTGGAAAGAAAAAAACGATCAGTCTCTACGTATAATATTGGCCTGAAAGGAAAACGGGGAAACATGTGTTGTTGGAGAAACAGGAATTCTATCATTACCTGCAACAGCCTGACAGCAGAGTGATGAGGAACCCAGAAGATTTGGCTTTTTGACTCCTTGGTTGAGGCTCGGGAAGTTACCCACAGAACGCCGCACAGGAAGCTTCCCGCTTGCCGCTCAATTCCCACAGAAACTGCAGGTAAACAAACAAGAGCCGCAGAACTGGAGACCAAGGATGTCGATTGCGTCGATATGGGATTACTGTCACAGAGGGGTTGGGCGGCAGAAACTCGGAGAGTTGAAATGGAGGGGGATGTGTACCCAACCAAGGTGGCAGCAGCTGGTGAAGGTTAGATAGGGCGAACAGGTGCACCAGCAAAATGCTAAGAAAACCCAGCACGGTCCACTGAAGGTAAAAGGGTAATAATAAGTATCTACAATAGCAGATCACGACAGGAGCTGCGATATCTTCTCTTTTTCTTCCCGCCACGACACAGCACACAGGACCCAGGAATCGGGAGAATAAATATGAAGTCAGGATTTGGGAAGTGAGGAGGAGTTGAGGCTTAAGGAGAAGACGCTGGGGACATATAGTACGATACAGTATAATATAATACAGTATATACAATATAATACAGTGACCGATAGGTCGAAGTTGATACGTCAGAAAGACCCCAGTACGGTACGGTACCTCCATTTTGGTGGTGGATACCATCATTACCAGCGGTTCTTCTGTTTCTCCTGGTCTTGGCCGTGTCAATCGCTGCTGTCAGTTGATCTGTTATTTCTTTTTCCATGATTCTTTTCTTTTCTTTGGTTGCGTTTGGACGTGACCTCTTCTGCACATATTTCCATTGTCGGTATGTATTTTATGTTATTTGTTATTTGTTATTTTAATTTTTTGGCATCCATCCCAGCCCTCCGTCATAATTACCAGACTGTCGGGAGCTTGTTTCAGCGCCTTTATCAATCAAAACTCCCCCTGTTTACTGTCCCTCTTCTGCACCTTGCTGGTTTGGCAAGAAAGTTGGAATTTGACTTTCCAACGGCTAGATGACAGGATCGTTCCAGGGCACTGCCCCAAACCAGCGTTGTCCCGCCAAACTCCACTCTGGAGCCGACCTTCTCCAGGGCTTTGTGTCCGTCGTCCATAGTGAACATCACTAAATGCCGCCTGGGTACGATAGCTTGTGCTTTCGGGGCGCTTCTTGGCCCAGAGCAATGGATACAATATTTCATATTACATTTCATTACACGCATCCCTGAACCATACTACTAGTATTATATTCAATACATTGATACGATCTTGATCTGGAGACTTCGTGGAGACTTCGTTCCCCGTTAGAAAGGGGCTTCACCTTCACCATATCGTCAAGCGCGGTGACTATCCAGATTATTAGTGCTATTGCTTTTGAGAAGGCTTCCAGAAAACCGTTGCTATTTCGAAGCATGGAGAATTTACAGCGTATAAATGTGGATTTCCCTCCTTGGTTTCTCCTGTAGTTGGCGACACACATATTCAGCAACATGATAATGTCGAAATAAGTCATTAAAACAGAACCTTGCGGGGCGTCCTCCTGACCTCCTTGGTGGAGAAACGAGCAAAACAAAAAATAGAAAAGAAGAAAAGAAAAAAAAAGAAAAAGAAAAGAAAAAGAAAAACGACCAAAAATGGATCCAGAAACTCTCGCGTTTCTTATGGCTTGGGCCTCAAGAGCACTGCTTTCTTGCTCAATGATTCTCGCTTGCTAACCACTTGGGTTGACGAGTTGGTTAATACTCCGTAGTAGTCAATCCGTGAGTTATGATCAATAAAAGTGGTAGCCTTTCTGCATGAAAGACGCTAACAGATCCCAGCGGGGAGGTGGGGAAACGAGGCGGTCTGTACCGTGTGGATTCCAAGGTTCTTGCCGCTTGTGGATGTCAAAGGCACAGCACCGAACATACGGTGGTGCATACGGTGGTGAAATGCCTCCGTTGAAAACAGCTTACCAGCCGTCTTAACAAGATTGACTTTGGGGACATTGAAGCAACCAAGAATCCTCATCGTCGCTGGGGTTATCACGTTGAAAGGGGCCGGTCAAGGTGCTGAAATATCCCTGGTTGGTGAACCCAGCCACAAGCGACAAATCACTGTTGACCGTTGCTCGAGCTAAACTTTTGCTCACGGAGGCCATTTCAACCAATGAGCAGAACCATGCTCGCTGTCCTTTTTTGGGTGTACTCGAGGGGCAATGCTTTTGCGATAACGAGTTGTCAACTCAAGGTTGGTTTCCTGCGGTCCCCACCGAGATCAGAACACTAGGAGGCCAGCCAGCGCCCAGTGGAGGTCACTGACAGTCTCCCGGTGCCTTAGGGAGGGTGCTGAAACCGGTTGGAAGATGGACATCTTCACACTGCTTTCTCTTCTCCCAGCTATTCCTAACTTTGGAATTTTGGGCTGAGTGGACGGTATCTGACTTCATGGGTTGCTTGACATGGATAGCCATTCTCCCACATGAAATTTATTCGTATTTCTTTTTCGCCTGTTTTCCTCAATCATTCTTTACCAACCAAGGCGGGCGAATGATATTCAGTCCCAAAACCTTCGCCTTGACATTTCCAGTACTCTCGCCTCATCATGCGCACCAACAGGGAGGAGCAGATTGCTGGTTCTCCCTCTGCGACTCGCTGAGTACTAGCTAAGTTAGCTCGTGCTAGGATAATTAGATAATTATCCCTGGATAAATCTGTTATTCGTTGGCGCCTCGTGAATTCTGCGCCCCCCCAACAGGGCAAAATCTGCTGAGACAGATTTTTGAACGGATAAAATCTTGCGAATCCTTCCAAAATCTCACGCCGAGTGCCAATTTGCTCCTTTTGGGATTCCCCCCGAAAAATGCGGGGCAGACAAGGCACTGCTCAAAATCTCGGGATTCGGAAGGGCACATTACAAGAAGAGGAGATGCACAACTCGAAAGCTTCTGAAGATTGCGCAACAGGGCTTCGTATCTGACACCTTATGAATTTTAGGCAGGGCAAACGCGGCTGACATTTGCCTCTTGAAGCAGCTCCAAATGATCATCCAGTACCGTATGTAGACCGTTTGCCCATGTGGAATGGAAGCGAAGATGGTATCTGACCACACGGGCCCCCGATGAAATCATCATCATAATAAGCCTTGATCGCGATGCCTGCTGGATCCCACAACCCAGGCTATCGGGAACGAACTGTTTTAGTTTTACCCCGATCCAAGCCGCGGACGAATACCCAGTTAACGCCCAACCATCATCGAGTACGAACAAGACCAGACGCAGAGCATGGCTGACAAGAGTTTTTGTTTCTGTTGACACAAAACCGTTGAGTTAAAAAAAAAAAAAAGGCAGTGAAAGGATTTTCCATATTTTTGAGATGTGAGAGAGGAGAAAAGCAATTCTGCTTGCGGTACGGCAACTCCCACACGGAAGCCTCATTATGGAGGAAAATGCAAGTCATCCTCCTGAAATGTGTTCATTTATTCTAAAAACCCGATTCTTAAATGATCATAATGTGGGAATCTGCGTTTGGAAGAGGCAAATGGCTTTTTGCTTGCCGCTTCTTTGCTTTTTCTGAGTGCGAATCATGAAAATTAACAACCCTTCCCAGCTTCTGTACTGCAGATGTCGACTGCCATCTCTTTTTCTTTTTCCCTTTCCTTTTCCTTTTTTCCCTCACTTGAGCGAATTCTGACATGTTCATGATGGATGTCTCATCCCCTTTCTATAAGTGCACTTGCGTATTGTATGGCTCTTTACCATACCGTATCGCCGTACCTGTAATGTATCTTGTATTTCAATACAAGCATCAAAGGTGACACCCCACGTGTTTCCGCTCTGGGCAACTATCAGTCTATCACCTCTGCTACTATCCATGGATAGATCTGAGTGGCTTTTCAACTTGCTCAATCTTCACTGCATAAGTCACCAGCTTGCCCGTGCAGATCTGCCTGAATGCACAGGGCCATTTTAAATGTCAGGAAATATTCTGCATCCCTGAATCTTATATCCAAGTTCAACTCTTTCGTTGTTAAAAAAAAAAAAAAAAAAAAAAAAAGCCCCTCCTTCACAGGCTGGCATCTGAAGCTGAACAGGAACAGTTATTTTTTACTTGCCTCTCCACCAGCTCCAGTTGAAACAAGACACTTGGACCTGGCAGCAACGACGGTGTATGCTTAGTGGGGTATCTGATCTGGATCGGTTGCCGCTGACCAAGCCTCGGGCCAGGCCATTGACGCACACATCCCTGACCAAAAAAGAAAAAATTATACCACGACTGCGGGCCTCAAATGGGACGAGGATTGATTCAAAGATCTCCGAGAAAAAATACTGCTTCAACGGGCAATGGAGGATACCCCTGCTTCTGTTTAATCGAACAGTCGGAGTCGGGGGACAATGATAAGAAAGCCCTTGCCACGCAAGGAGCACACGGCGATCCATAAGAAGATATAAATGATAATAACACAACGAAGCGGCACAGGAATCGATCTCATCTTACACATTCCGCGTTCTTGGGATGATAGTGGCTTCTCGAGCTTCTTTTCTGGGCAGCATTGAGTCTGTGCCGCCGTCGCTGCTGAGCGTTCGCTTGTGACCGATGGTATGTGGGGGTGTCTCCCATGGAGGCGGATGATCAGCCACCCTCATCCCTCGTCCCGGGGGGATGGGTATTTACATCCGGAGGAGGCTAAGCAGACCCAGGCCAAGAGCAACTATTTTACTATCGGTGAAGCGTGTTTTACACGACCATACAAACAAAAATACCAGCATGATTGATCCTTGGATCACTCCGGATTTTGCAATTGCAATGCTATATAGAGGAACTCAACGGAAAAAAATGTACTTAGTGATCACACAATGTATGCAGTAGCGGGTGCAAGGCATGGGTATTTAATTAAAAGAATCGTTATCTAGCAGCCGCCAACCACTATCAGGACCCTGTACTGAAATGGGTGGTAGACACCCCGGGTTACCAGGTTTCAGGAGCATCTGGCATGACAGTTAGATCTCAATTCATGACTTATAAGTCTTAAAAGCGAACTCAAGCTTCTCATATAATTGGCTCAACTCTACGGAATACTCTGTCGAGAGTTAACTGACTATATTGCCTCGCTTCAATGATATATTAGAATATAGGCTCCAATAGCATTTAACATCTATTATGCAGCGCGATCTTTTGGACTAAATGATCAAGGAAACGCTCATGCCTAGCACTCAATCTAAGCCGCTCATGAGACCACAAGTAGATATCCGAGAGAGCTCTGTAGAACTATCAAAGCAAATAACAGGCCTAATGTCCAAAGCTGGTTTTGAACGTGTATAGACTATACCAAGTTAAAAATACTAGTAGTTATTCTTGGCCTCAGCTCTGAAACAATTTCTCGCCTCCCACGTCCCCTTTCTTGCATCCTCTCGGGGCGTCAGACAAGGGGATGACACCACAGCCCTGGTCGGCGGGTTCGGGGAACTCAGGAAAGCCTTTCCGGAGCTGGCTTGTGCATAATGGCGCGTTTTTAAAGGCAAACTTCCAAGGCTTTACGGAACAACGAAGATCGGGTGTCTCTTGCACGTTCCTCTTCGTGCCTGCTTATACTGTGAGCTGCAGAAGCACGATTTGCACGGCCTTCGTCAATATCGATATAGATAGGCACTTTCGTCGTCGACCGCAATTGCCCTGTTAACGGGGGTGGTATTTGGTTCGTCACGTCCTCGTTCACCACAGCAAACCAATTCCAGCTACTTTTGTTGTCATCACAGCAATTATACGAGGGGAAAGACAGTATAGAGGGATAGCCAAAAAAGACAAGCAAAACAAGATGAATCCGCAGAAGAGCACCAGCAGATTCCTCCCCTCATTCCTTATTTGCTGATTCAACCTTGGGTGGGGTCAAGGCTCAAGCATCCTCAGCCTCTTCGGCTACGAGATACGCAAAATACAAGAACGACGACGAGAACCACGTCATGTTTTGGAAGTAGGAAAAGCCAGCTTCAGGGATTGCATGGACTGTAATACTGGGTGTCCAGTATGTTTGGGATCTTGCATCTGTGCTGCGTATGTGGGTATTTCTGCAGGGGGGGTGTATGTCAGTTCCATGATCCTTAATATGACATATGCCCCTCCGACAAATATCAATGGGGCGTTCCGTTGCCTTCTACCCATTTCTAACCGCTTCGATAGAATTTATGTAGATTCCTGTGGGCTTGAGTAATTTGAATCAAGGTTCCTTGAGGGCAGGGCCATGGGCCAACCAACCGTTTGGTGGCAACCCCTATGATCGTACCCAAAGCCATGGTAGCTTTTCTTGGTTTAACTCTCTTCAGGCACTCGTACCTGTACCCATAACCTTGTATTTCTGGTGCATTTTTATGACTCTCCCCCCGCCCAAAAAACAAACTCGGTACGAGACACCGTAATGTCATGTACACATCGCTAACTATTCCTTCCTCTATTTGATTATTGTGAGAAGGATAAGAATGGATATCGATCGCTGAGGGTTCTTTCTAGTTGCATGGGTTCGTGGGTGGTGCACTGACCGCCACGGGCATAATTGACAAAACAACCGAAATGATGCATTAACTTATCAAATCAAACCTCTGCTAAAGGGGTTGTGGATGCTGTGATTGCGAAAATCCCCATAAATACTCTAAAGCACATAGATATGTCAACAATATTAACAACTGAAAACCCCAATGGAGATAATAGAAATTTGCACTCCAGCTCCTCACTTGGCGCAAGGGAGAAACTCTCATATGAACTCCATCATGGTTGGAAGCCCTGGCTGGCTGAGAGTTACCGTTCCCCGCAGCATTTGCAAGAATAACAGCAGGAGATGGAGAGAGTGATCTCTTCGGATCAATTCTGCGACAATGTTTTCTTTTCAATTCCACACTATGGGATAAATAAAGCTGTAGATCCAACCCCAGATGAAGGACAGCCGTGAGTAGCCAACCGTTGGCTCGGCTCTGGCGCTGGCTATCACCAATGCCTCCCGTGCGAACCAACTATATATGGGCCGACCCGTTTGTTCAGATCACTTGGACCAGAAAAAGGAAAGCGAAAAAGGTCAAGGTTCGGGAAAAATTGAAAATATGACCAGTCTTGCGTGAATAGAACAGATGCTCTGACCGCCCCCCGCCCCCCGCCCCCCGCCCCCGTAAAACAGCTTCGGGTAACAGTAATTGATTTTTTCCTTTGAAAGTGAGAAATTCCCGATCAATGAAGTCTCATGTTTTGTCAAATTCCTTGATTTTGTCAGTCTTTTCCCTGTTGGATACATGCTCCACGTCTCCTACGTCGAATGTCCTCCGTTGTCCCCATTGCCCCTGGTTTCAATCCGAGACGAAGGGTTAACGTCAAGTTTCATTCAAGCCTGCAAACGTCAGTATCCTCTCGGATACACCTCGCATTGGCTGCTTGCATGGTTCGGGTGGTGGCGCCAAAAGACGGGTCACCCCATATCTGGCTAACATTCCGTTCTTGAGCGGCAGGATATGGACTTCGCTACATTTTTGATTGGGCAGTTGCCTCCTTTTTCCACCGCCAGGGAGAACAATGTTTTGGCTCCAGGCAAAGATCGGTGAACTCTCGGGGTTGAGTGGACAAAGCGGCGTCTCAGCCAATTCGGCTGCCTCGTTTTGAGCTCTTTGATTTGGATAGGGGAAGGACTGGGGGAATCCTAATCATACGCGGTAAAACCAACAGACACTACTTCGTATTTCAACTATTGTTGGAGAAGGTGGAAAAAAGCGTGCTATGACCCCTCAATCCAGTACTCCATAAAGCGATATCATTGGAAGAATCGCTGTAAGATAATCAAAAACAAGTCCCCCCCTTTTTTTGTGGGCGATCTCGAGTCCACCATTCTGGTCGCTGGAACCAAGGTCTGAACTTTGAATTTCCCTCTCAACAAGCCACAACCGCGATTCAAGGAGAATTGGTAATTGACATAGTTACTCCGTACTGTGTAGAACGCAGCAACTCATCGTTTGGGCATTCACACATCCGCTAAAATTCATACGGCATAGTGTGTATACATGGCCGTAAAAATCCAGGCTGCTTGAAGAATTCTTCCCGTTCTGGGACTTTACTTGAGCGATATCTTCCGTGATGAAAATCCAAAGGCCTCTCTGTAATATGTCATTGCTCAGAGGCACGTTGGTGCCCGGTGACCACTATAAAATGGATTCTCAGAGGTACGATGAATCAATCAATGGCTGACCAAGTTCCAAGGTTTCCCATGGATCAACCCCAATGGGGCCAGAAATATTTTCTCAGATCAAGGATGCAGACGTCGTGATATCCAAATGCAAATGTCAACGACCTTCTGACGACTAGGTCAGCTATTACATGTCCTGTCTTCTCTTATTGGAGGTGCAACGCACAACCAAGGCCCTGCCTGACGCCATTATCGAGAGGAGGAGCATGCCATACCCCTATTTTCATGGTCTTCCCAGAGTAAGGATTCTGGTGCTACGCTATTGAAACCCATGGATGGCTTATTGAACAAATCCCCCAAGTCATACCAGAATATGTTTCCTATGTGATCACCCACGTTGTCGGTGCTGCCCTTCCAGGGGCTCATTTGAACAGGATCGATCACCCTATAGCGTCGTCAGCCATTCCCGATTTGATTGTTGTATACCTTCCTCAAAAAACGAAAAGGCCTCCGAAAATGAAATACAAGCTCATCAGCATGCTTATTCCCTTATTGATGTTGTCGGGCGTTCATCACACATATCTGCCAGACATCTGTGTCAGGGGGGAACATTCGTTGTTGGAGGACAAATTATGCGAAACCTTATGTTCACTTCATGGATAAATATATTTACCCAGGAGAACGCAATAGTCTTTGGAAAAAATGTTGGCCCAATGTTGTCCGATGGAGTGGCAGTTGACGTACCTTCATGGCCTAGAGCTTCCCACCTGCGATGGTAGTAGGTACAGTACATCCAGTACAAGGGGAAAAGCGTAGACTAATCACCTCCATAGCTACCGTGGACACCTACTTCCAAAACGACAGCAACTCTGCAGCACCCATAGCATAAATCTAATTGACCATTCGGTACGAAGAGTATTGGCTGGTATAGGAACATGTTTGCCCCGTCAGAGAGGTTTCACGAAAGTGTCAACCTGATATGATTTATTTGCTCTAGACGTCGCTCGACCATCATCAGCTGGCACTCCCTATACAACCACAATACCTGACATTTTAGTAGCTGTTGGACTAGGATATGAAGTTTTGTTTGTAGATGAACTTATTGCTTCCGGCATATACAAATGGCTGAATATTAGAACTATTGCATCCGGATAGATAAATTAGAACCGAAAGGATATGTATAGAAACGGTTTGATTCCCTAGATTACAACTCATAGTCATATGCGAGGGATATATTATGAAGATGCTTCGAGCAAGTATCGTCGAAGGTTAACAGGTGACGAAAAAAAAAAAAAAAAGAAAGAACGAACGAACGAAAGAAAGAAAAGAATAGTGCAGATAGCTAATCAAAAGGAATTACCGCTTTGAAGAAGATAAGGTAAAGAGAATAATTGGGTAGTCTGTTTTGGGGGCGTCTAATGGAAGCACAAACAAGGACGATAGGGGAGATATATATAACGAAATAGTAAAATGAAAAGGTGCCAAAAATAAGAAAGCAAATAAACAGAGAAATAAAAATAAAGAAATAAAAATGAAAAAAAAAAGGTCCCCTACTCGGGCTGTTTTTTGTCATCGAATCGTATACATGCTTGAGAACGCCTTCTTCCACTTTGAGCACTCCTTCCATACGTATAGAAATCATGGGAATGTCGCTATGTTTTGGTACCGGCATACTTAATAATAATAAAACCGGACCAGAATCGAAGATGTCTTTCATTTTCATTTTTATCTCATAAGCCAGGAGAAAAGGGCCCAAAGGCCGTCCAAACCTTCTAGCCTATCACTCGGGTTAAAGAGGTCGAACCATTTGGTTCGACGTAGCCGGAGAACGTACCACGGGGTACCAGTGCTATCTCTTGACGGGTCGGAAAAGTTGCCTTTGTTACCTGTAAGCCACTCAAGGTAGGTGGAATGGACGCGGATGTGGACGATTGAAAAATGGTGGTTGATCGAGGATACCATGAAAATCTGGTTATTGTCAGTCTTGTATACAATACGAACAGACATAGCGCAACGTAAAACAGTGGAATTGGGAGTAAGATAAGAGATGACTAACATCATCAACAGGAGAGTCTTTGTCTTTCCCGATCTGCTTGTATTTCATTTTCTTGTCCCACAAACTTGGGCCAGGTTGCAAGATTTTCCATCTCTCAGCAACGCTCAGCTTTTTTGAGCCGCTGGGCCCATGGCGCCTAAATGGAAGTGAAGATCTATCATATCTGGATCTTTTATTTGCGGACGGGACATCCGTATCGGGAGTAGGTTCCTTGGGTTTATCGGTATTTTTATCGGCCTCCGGGCCAGGGTTATCCGCTCCACCCCATCGTGGCTTTGTGGTCCACCATTTTCCGTCGCCAGGTCGCATCTCCGTTGTGCCTTCTCTTGCTCTTTCTTGTGCGAACAGAAGCATCGCAGCAATCTCGCGTAAAAGATCACATATCTCCACATTTCTGCTCCCGGATGCGTTATCTTTGTCATAGAATAATGTTTCGCTCCTGCATTGGACAAAAACCATGGGTCCCTCGAGTATACCTTTTCGTGCAGCTTGTCTGTCCTGGGGAGACCGCGCAACAACAAAATTTTGGCGGACCGGGAAAAGCATGCTCTTAACTTGAAGGCGGGGCGGGAGGCTTGGAATGGTAATTTGACATCCAAATGCCCATGCAACCATTTCCACCAAGCCACGGAGGGTTTCTTCACGTAGATCATCTGGGCATTCACGACCAGTACCAGTCCTTCGGCCACAATACATTGTTTTTGTGTGCGGTCCTTGAGAGGTCTCGTCACCTGTGTCCCCAGTCTTTGTTTCCGCACTGGTGCTCGTTTTGCCCTCCGGAACGCCAAAACCTTGTTTCCCCGCCACTGGTGGGCTATCGATATGCATTTTATCCGGATACTCGCTTTCTTCCTTGGAGGGGTCATCAACTACAGGACGTTCAAAGAATTGATCTAAACTGGTGTCCCAATATTGGGCTATCTGGTCAAGGCCGGCCCAAAACTTTCTGCTCTGGGTGAGCTTGATCTTCTCACGTCCGGGTAGAGGGGGTAGTCGCGAAACTGCCCGAAAGGCGTCATCATTATCATAGAGAATTTCATCTTTCAGAAGATCATATCTCTCTTTGCTTGGAAACGGGGAGCCGTTGCTCATTAGAACGGGAACTGGCATCGCGTCTGTTCCTGACGCTTCTGTGGCTGAGGGTTGAAGCGTCCATTGATAGGGAGGGAAGGTCTTCAAAACACCTGACGGAATAATTTCTGATATGGGAACATTGGATTCGGTGGTAAGATTCAGAGACTCTATGTGAATGGGCGAGACATCTTGGGGCTTTTTAATAGCGCATAGCAACTTATAGAAGTCATCGCAACTGTCCTCATTGAGTGCTTTGGGCTTTGAATCAGGAAAGTAGTCAGGGAAATCAAGAGGTGTTGGGGAGGCCGGGGGGTTTCTCTCCTTTCTGGGGTCAATGTTGATCGACGGTACTGGTTGTAGATTGTTAGTCCTGTATCCCGCATGAGCTTATAAGGATGCGCATCCAGAGAGGAAAGAATTTGGCGGGGAAAGAAACAAAATAATAAACCTAAGCCTGAGGACAGGGGTGATTATATGTTCAATGGTAGTGATAACAACCCAACATGAACATGGGACAACAATGAAAACAACTGGTTTGAGCAGGGAGTTTTCGAGGGTAGGGAGCTTGATAACGCGGAAAACAAATGCGTTTAATCGCCCTTCCCTTGACATCGATAATGTGCGGGAAAAAAAAAAAAAAAAAAAAAAAAAGGGATCATGGAGGAAAGTCACTCGTCAGATCGACCCTGAAGTAGACAAGAGGGAGTAGAAAAAACGACCCCAGGACAGCTCGCAGGATTGTTATCTTTGTGCATCGATATCATTCGTGTTTATTGGGTTGGAACTTATGGAACGTGGGTGCCGTGGACTTCTGTGTAAGCAGCCAACGAGAGGTGCGAACAGAGAATTAAGAAATGGTATCTTACGTAGGCTACCTCCCCACGAAAACATGGTGATAGTTGATCGTTGTGGATGTCTCTTCGGGGCTGGCGATTAATGTAATGGTGGCGACCGAGTTGACAAGGATTTAGCGGCTGTTTCCAACCTTGAATGACTTCAAATATGGCTCGCCTGTCTGTGTGGGCAGGTATGGCAGCAGATAGAAGAAAGCCCCATATGGACAACGGTGCGGACAAGGAATTCAGGGAATGCGGGAAGCTGGAGGTTGAGGCCGATGTTGAAGGTCGACTGGGGGGGGAACTCGAGCGCTTCCAGTCGTATCTCAAGACGATAAAAGGCGGCAACGGAGGGGTACAATTAAATCATCCCGACCAATCCACGCTGCGTTGAGTAGAGACGATCCCGATTAGCAGGCGGACTGATTGAAAACTTGCTACTATGGTTTTCCTCGTGGGAATTTTTTTTGGTCATGGCCAATTCCCTCGTTCAGTGCGCTTTGTGGGTGCGCTTTGTGGGTGTGCTGGCAAGAATGACTGCTGTTAGATTGCGACGCCTGAGGCTACTGCGAGTTTTCGCCAGGATGACTACAAATCAAACCAGTTAAAGCGTTGACTAAAGCGGAGAGGCTAAGGGAAGCACTGCACGGAAGTGCGGGTAAGGAGCCTGTTCGGTCGAACTTCGTTAGACGCAGTGAAAATGACCTATCATGCTGGGGAACAGGACAACGGTCAAAGGAGCTAAGACAACAAGCTGCATGTCTCCAATCATTTCAGACGACGAAGAATGATCGAGATCCAAGGACAGAGGAGAAGACACTTGGAAACGAACCATGGGGAAAGCCTATTATTGTCCAAGTACAGTATACTACTACTACTCTACTACTCCCCATGCAGTAGATTGGTTCAAAGCAAATCAGAAATTTCGGATCTCTTTGTTTGTTCCATTCCGTAGCTAAATTGAGGGAGTTACATCTTGTGGCAACTCATGGCCTTTGCCAATCTAAGTATTTCTTTCATTTTTCACAATTATCTACTTAATTAACTTCGTTAACTAGTTAGTTAGTTATCAGCAAATATTTTGACAAAGCAGAGAAACTTGAATAGCTACAAAGGGATGCAATCCAAGCCAACTAATAACGCCACTTTCCAAATAGCGCCAATCTCCACCAGAATGATGCGCTCGTGGGGTCATTTCTGGTGGAATGCAGAGCATAGAGCTACTCGGTTAGGCGCGTCATTTTCACGATGGAGACCACACCGAGAAAGCATCTGAAGGAGGGTCACCTACTAAGAAAGCCAATGTTCGGCCGAAGCGAGGTGCAAGTTTCAATTGTACTATGGGCGAGGGTTTACCGGGGGATTTCCATAGAATATCCACATTTTGCGAGGCCTCAATGCTTGTTTACGGGCGATCCTAAAGAGTATTTTTGTCCTTGGGATCAAGGAAGAGGCGGGGATCAAACGGAAATCGTCAAGCCCTCGGATATCCTCCAGGCGGGTTGGCATTTACATACCACAGACCACAGGCGAGCCCCGACTTCTCGAACTAGACCACAACCACCAGCAGGTCAAATGGCGGGGCAGAGGCTCATTCATTGCCCACGACCAAACCCTTGGTTTTACCTTGACTTGTCTTCAACCCCTTCAAACACTCGACTCCTTGGGTGTCTAACTGTACGAGTATCTCTATATCTCTTCCCACAGTCCACCGCTTGGGATTTCCAGCCTGAAACCACGCTATTCCTTTTTTGGCCCTGCTGGCCTGAACAGGAAACTGCCTAAATCAACCTCTCGCTGCTTGAGCCTCCTCCATGTTCCACATCTCCAACTTCAACCCTTTCTTGACTGGTTTTTTTTTTTTCCCTCCATTGACCGGCTTCTCCTATTTCAGGCTCTTGGAACTCCGGATTTTCTGGCCCCTTCGGTTTACTGTCTTTATAAACTGATGCAGAGATGTGCTTACTAAAAGCGGTTTCAAAGGATTGAGATCATAATCCGGCTTGGGTCTTCTATGTCTCATCTTTTCACTAGTCCTCAGTGTCATGACAGAACCTGAGGCTGACCGTCAGGTTGACCGCCCCAGCTGGCAATGTTGTCACTGAACCCATAGTTCTCCATAGCACTGTTCCCCATGTTAGAACGGAGGCTACTTAATGCTCTGTTATTTGCCTTATCCTAGGCACTCTAATACAAGAATGACCGTCCTGGAATATAGATCTTTATCCTCGGCTTAGGACGTGGTACTTGCCTCTAAAGCCAAAATGAAACCTCCATGATTTTCTAGGATCCCGGGAGATATATGGAAAGACAACACTGACCTCGGCTTGAAAGCGCCAGAATATACTCTTCGATGCAATATTTGAAACTTTGCAGCATCATCTCGATCTACATATCCATCTGTTGGTATCAAAACACAATATCACTAAATTCAGAAAAGAAATAATACTCCGTTTATTGTCTGCTCTCACTATCCTATATACTTCCACGCATGGAGTTGGTTGACTCTTTTTAGGTCATTTATTCGGATATTAACGAGATATCCACTTCACGCTGGGAGTATTCTAGTTTTCCAAACCAAAAGCTCAGCGTGGTCGCCCAAACAACTGGTTTTTGACCCTGTTTATCGCTTCGCTATCGAGAATGTAGCGTCTGTCTGTGCGCTAGGGGTGGCCGAATGGATACGGCTTTTGTTCCAGCAATGCTTGCCAAAGCCATTCTGAAACTGTGATATTTGTCTGGGGACCCCATCGATAGGACTTGAAGGGTGTGAACTTGACAGTCGTTCTTCTTTTCATGCTGAAGTATTTCAAATGATTGCGACATACATACCTACGATTCGCTCCATCCATGCTCTATGCATGGTATTTACGTGTTTTAGTTTCCAGTGTAGCCAGAGGCTGCTTACTTGTCTGATTCAACATGTTCCGTATGCCTACCTTCTCTGCCTCTGCTTCGCCTTCATCTCTCACCAGCCCCATTTTCTTCGATCCCCAGAGTACAATGTTCCTATGTGTCCGTCGCTCGTTCCTCTCTATTTTCGAACATTCGTTCATCCCCTCCTTTTATTTACTCACTTATTTACCAAATTATTTCTTCCTAAATTCTTTGCATCCCAGGGAGTTTGAATTGGCGTTTATGCAATAGTGATATCGACACCGTCGCTGAGCCGCGACATTGCAATGTCGAAGTCGACAACAGCCTTCAATGGTAGAAGGTTCTCCGAAGTTAGCCGTGCCCATCATACCATCGCTGGGGCTACAACTACGATTAAAACTTCCTCAGTTACTCAAATCGCTTCCATATCTGGAAACTATTCTTTTGTGCAAATGTCCCGCAACTCTAGCTCTCCAGGGACTCCTGTATCAAAAATGCTCCTCCTTTCTTCTCATCGAGTAAATGCTGGGATCGCTATAATTCCTTCGAAACCTAACCCCTCAAGAACGGATCGAGTTCCATCTTCCTCCTTACAAAACACAACGCAGACATGGACAAGTCCAGGTCTAACTGGAATAGATATGTCAGCGCACAACGATATGGAGTCCCCGGTTGACAATCTGAGCCCTCGTCAAATGGGTGCGATCATCGGGGGATCTGTCGGCGTCACCGCAATAATTCTGATTGCAATCGCAGTATTTTTTGTGCTCCAACGGAGAAGACGAGGCCGATATGCCGTGAAGCGGATGACCAAATTGAGCTCCGAAAAGAAGGGCAAAATTGGCAAAGCACGTCAATTATCCTCCTATGGCCTTGCCCTATCAACTAATCAAACCAGTACTACGGATGTGTTCTCAGACAGTCAACTTTTATATCATGGAGCTCCGTTGCCTATTAGATTTAAAAGGTCAAATACTCGCAGCTTCTCATATAAGATTGAGCACAGCAACAAGTCTGCCAGTCCAACTTTTGCATATTGCGGTTCTATAGGACGCCACAACAATAGGCACCTTGGGAAATCAAGTTTACCTGGTCAATCAAGGCAACCCCGGCACGAGGTGTGGCGTCGTTCTTTTCCGCACCCGAACTTCCGGGAATCGGTCACTCGGAACTCCAATTGTATAACGTCAATAGATTTCCCCGACCCGCTCCTTGACTCGCCTCGAAATTTAGAGTTGGAAATTTCTTCCCAATGTCCTTCAGCTTCTTCTCATGACCCCTTTTATCAAAGTGCGTCGAAAAGGTCGAGGCGATCCATGAGTGTTTCGTCGATGCCGGGCAACGGTGGTGGGACCACAAACCTTACATCTAGCGAAACCTCATATCTATCTCTAAATTTTTGTTCTGCGCAGTCGGGGACACAAAGCCCAGTTCCCCTCCACATGCGGAGGACGCATTCCCGAACGCCTTATTCTCGTCAGCGAAACGATTCAGTGGCATCCCAAATAGAGAGGGATTCCGCCAGCAGCGGCAGTGTGATCATCCTTCCCGGGCGGATGAGTGCAGCCTCCTCTGAAATATTTGACGCTTCCGCATCTGATATTTCCCTCTGGCGAAGGAACCGCTCTCCACGAGAGGACAGAATTGATACTCGTAGAAGTGACCCTTTTGATCTCGAAAGCCTCGATTCCAGTTCAACGGGCGATAATTCGAATTTTTGAGCAGACGGACACTTGGGATCCTGTTGGCCCACCACGGGACAAACGACTAATTTTAAAACGGAGTTTTTGAACATAAATAAGTTTTGCACTCATTGTTATACCCCTGAAATGTAGGCGATTCTGCACAATTTACTTTTAATGTTTATCTTTGCAAGTGCGTACTCATTTATCATCTCGCATTCTCTTTCCTAGATTTGCGATGACCTAGTTGATCCAACCCTCTTCCTTGCCTCCTGCTCCCTGAACTAAATTCACACTTCAAACTACCTTCCCAAGAGGACGGTATATTTGGCGGCCTTGGTTCATAATCATCCTTAGCAAATTCTCTACTTTGTTTCATCCTTTTTCTCCTTTCGGTCGAGGCATCCTACGTTTATAAAGCGGCTCCACCCATTCCACTTCCCTTCTTTCACAATATCCCGTATAAATTAATATTTGAATTTGTTGCACCGAAGACATGATCCCTGTTCGTCCAAGGTAAGGGGTGACCGGGGATGGTGAGCGAGAAGCTTGCTTAACTTCTAATAGAGTATATGTGGGCTATGAACCAGGTAAAAAAGTAATTGTAAAGCGATTGATGTATAGATATTATTCTTGATATGACCCCAGCAAAAATGAAAAGGGTGAAAAAAAGAGGGGAAAAAAAAAAATCAAGACGTATTGGGAGAAAAATGTCGTTTTTGGGTATTATTGCATTATTTTTCTTGTCATTTCGAGCGCTAGGTATTCTTTTCTTCTTCTTCTTTGGCCATCCTTTCTGTATGGGAGCCCCACCGGCGCTTGTAAGGCTGTCCAATCCAAGTAGGTGATTATTTCGCCTCCTTTTTCCATTTCCCCTTCCTCCTCTTCGATCAGATCAGGGAACACAAAATAAGGTCCGAGGTGAAAAGATGAGGGAAATACGAAGAGGAAGGCGGGAGGGAGGATTATCATGAGATTTTGCTTGTTAGCTTTGCAACAAAAAAGAAAGTGAAAGTATGAAATGACATAAGAGAACAAAGCCCCATAGGTTTTTTGTTTTTTTTCTCTCTCTCTCACGCAATCACCTAACAAGGAAAATATATAAACACCTCCCTAGTATTGGGCCCATGGAAAAAAAAAAGAAAAGAAAAGAAAAGAAACCATAAAGAAAAAGCATTTATTCCTGTTCCTCCTCGCCCTCTGCTACAAGAGCGTTTCTCTTGGCAGCGATACGCTCTTGTCGTCGTTCGCGGGCAGCCCGGACCTTGGCGCGTTTGGCATCCATCTCCTCCTTAATTGTGCGTTCACGGGCCTTCTCAGCCTTGGCCTTGTGGATCTGTTGTTAAGCAAATAGTTAGTCGTGAATCGTGTATAGATTGTATTTTTGGATAACTCCAAGTATAAACTAAGGGTGATTTTCGCCTAGGTCCTTTGTCTCATGTTTCTAGGAACAATCACAACGCGTAAAGTTGCACATATTTGTGGATTTGATGGGAGGAATGCTTACATGCTCAACAAGAGCACGCTTGTGCTTGAAGGTGTTACCCTTGCTCAAGTGGTATAGCTCGTGGTAGAGGTGCTTGTCGATTTTGCCAGCAGCGCGATATTTGGCGAGCAGACGGCGAAGAATTCGGAGACGGCGCATCCACAGGACTTGGCTATGAGTTAAGAAAATTGACATGTCAGAAACATAATCCCAAATACATTCGAGCAACGGTCCTGTTTTCATGTTCGCAAGTCCCATCCAGCATCAAAAGTCTATTTGACTCTTGCTGCAAATCTCTCAATAGCGAACTCGAAGAGTCCAATTCCCCCAACCCCCAAAATCCCAAGGAGGGAAGAATTTGACAAACCTTGGCATTCTGGCGTCCTTGGTACCCTTTCTCTTACCGAAACCGCGATGTCGTCCGATTTTTCTAGCCTCTGCGAGCTCCCGGGCTCTGGAACGTGAGTGCATGGTCACAGGCTTGTGGATGATGAGGCCATCGCTCAAAAGCTTGCGGATGGTCTGGCGGGAGTTGGCGGTGGAGATCTCGTTAACTTCATTGGGATCGAGCCAGATCTTGCGTTGGCCGCAGCCGACCACGGAGGCCGCCAGGCGCTTCTGGGTGCGAAGGTTGACCCTGCCATTCTCAAGAAACAGTGGTTTTTTTTTGTCAGTCAGAAATTCTCCACTGGATTTGTGGATTGTGCATGCGCGCTACTGGACAGCGGACGGATATTATTGCGTTCAAATTTGCGGAAGCTGGGCAGAATGGTGCTGCGGAGACTCGGAGTAGATGAAATAGGGGTGGCCGTGGGAGATGCAGAAGGGACTTACATCTTGATGCCGGATATTATCGATGGTCGGTCGTTGACGGATTGGATGTTCGAATTCCCACAATCAATATTGACGACGACAGATTTGCGTTTGGGGTTGGGGAAATGGACGATTAGCTAAGCAGGCAGCTAAGCGAGCGAGAGCCCGCACTTAGGGCTTTCATGCGCTAGGCTTTATTCGGATGCCACGGGCTTGGCAATATTGACAACTTTATAATGCGGCTCTTAGTTTCTGTTGAATTGAGAGGAGCGGAATATAGTGCATCAGATGAGATCTATTAGATATGATTTTATCGCATACAAAAGTGTAGCTGATAGGGACGAGCATATACAAAAATGGTGAGTGTATTATTCAGCACTATAAACAATCAGCATCAGTCGTCGCCTATCGACTCCTCCAGGTCAATTCTTCCCACACTCCAAACCTCCTTTTCATCCTCAAGTTCATCACTGGAAAGTCCCAATCCCCCCTGGCCACCTTCAGCCTCTCGCCTCTCCCGAGCCTGGTTTGCAAGCTTCAGGGCAACGCGTTTAAAGTAATCTTGCATGCTCCGTTTCGTGCCCGTGGGCAGCTCGGCTCCTGCGCCATTCATGTATTTTTCGAATACAGTGGCTCCGGATTCGACTACTGAAAACAGCGCCAAGAAAGCTGCTTCCGCGGCCAGTTTAACCGGTATCACAACATCCCGCACACTAGCAAAGACGTATGGCGCCAGGAGAGGGAGATGAGGACGAATGAGCTCCGGATGCAGACGGCTGACTGTTCGAACAATGACCAAAGCTATCCGGCGAGTATCCGTGGGCCCACCGGGCTTGATTACATTGGCAAGAGCTTCTACTAAAGGTTTATCTGTCTCAAAGTTTCGCGTTATGCTCTCTGATAGAAGATACTTGCCTGCCGCAAGAACGCTGTTATCCGATATGAATGTCTGTATTAACAAATATATTAGCTTCCTGACCCTCGATTAAGACCGCCCGTGTTGTGCTTACATCTTTGTTCGAAATGCCATTGGATATGACTGATGGGGTCTCAGAAGGAAATTTTTCTACGAGAAATGCTGCAGATTCCACTAAAAGCGCATTGAGGTTAAGAACCGAGGAGTGGGATAGGTGAGGCGTGAGGGCACGGCTCCTATCGATATATAGTCAGCCTCTAATTGATACAGAATTAAATTTGTAGGTTTACGAAGGTGTAATTACTTTATCAGTGGAACGGCAGCAGTAGCTGGAATAGTTTTGACAAGAGCGCCGAGAAGCCCGGCATTTGTAGTATTCATCGCATCTGTTAAGGATCAGTATCAGGGCTCGGACTCTACCAAAAGACTGGCTTCGGAGACATACCATCTCGCTCATTGGACTCATCGTCAATAAGAGCGAGGATCGCATTTCTAGATGCATCACTCATATTTTTACCCGCTTTGCTTACAACTTCATGCAATGCTTGAAGCATGGCATTTCTAACACCAGAATCGGAAGTTTTAGAACCAGCGACAAGCTCTAGACCACTATATTAGCAGGTTATATCATGTTGCTGACTAGGATAAGAGCTTACCAGCTATGAGTGGATCGACTCTAGGCGTTAATGTTATCAGGATTCCTAAACCTTTGGCAGCTCTCTTTCGTGATACATCACTCGAAGTATCTGCCAGTCCTCTGGCGAATGTCCGCTGCAGTTGCGGCAAGAATGGTTTCACAAATAGAGGTATCTTTTCCAGAAGCTTGTTTAGAGCTAAGAAAACGGCGCCTAAAGACATATTGTTAACATGTAGTCACAGGCCTATCAGATTGTCAAGATAACGTACACTTGATATCTACAGATCGCTCTGAGACAACTCTGATCAATGGACCGGTGATTTGAGTGACATATGGTCTTAATGCTTCCGCACTTGTCCTGTCTATGATATCGGCAATAGCAAGTGCAGATTGTACACGCTGGTCCACATTTCCATTGAGAAGCCCTTGAAGAAATATTGGGAATATCGATCCAATTCCTTTCGGTAAGCAAAATCCTGGAAGATCAGATCCTGGAACACCAACTTGCCGCAGAACTTGACGCGTTGGAATGACCAAAACTTCCATTTCCTCCTTTTTTATGTGTGTAGTGAGTTGTGTTAAAGCATCCCATGCTGCTGTTACCACGCCCTTATCGTGGTCATCAAACGAGATAAGCAATACGCGAATCAAATCGGGGTGGTAACGGGAAATATCGACGTCTGAATGGGAGAAGAATCTCCCTAAGCGGGTGGCAGCATTTGCTCGTTTGCGATGATCCTCATGCTTCATCAGCGATAACATTACACTCATTGAAGCGTTTAGTCCATCATATTCATCCACAGATTCCAAAATAGTATCAAAAGCTTCTCCAATCTCATCCCTGAGCTCATCATCTTTGGTGGAAACAATGGTATCCATAAATGCATTTAATATGGCAGGTAACCTTCGGGTCATAGAAGAGCTTGCTACTTCAGCCAACGATGCTAGAGCCTTTGCATTGAATCCGGAGATAGGTGCGGTCAATAATGTTGGAATGAGATTGGGGAGTATCAGGTTGGCTCTCGTAGTTTCCGTCAACAGCGTCAAGAGGGCAGAAAGCGCTTGTTGTGCATCGGCCTCGCATCTAAGAAGATGAAGTAAATTGGGAAGAACCTGGTCAACTACTCGTTTGCCTAGTATATGTTGCAGGGCATCAAACGCGTCGGCTGCAGATTCACGCACGGTCTCGTCATGGTCTACCAGGGCAGTCCGCACAATCGATATGAGAATCTTCTCATAATCTTCTAGTGATTCAGCTGAAGCGGAGATGGCGAGCTCTCGTAATGCAATACAAATACCTTGCCTTGAGTCCACGTCCGTAGATGCAACCAGACCGGCTTCCAGCGACGGTAGCAGTGTTGACAAGACCCCTTCTCCGGCCTTCTTGATAAGCTCGCCTAATGCATTTCCGGCAATAACCTTCTGTTCCATGTTGGGACTTGCAAGCCGGCGAATGATGAGCTGGGACAGGGTAGGTACAAGTTCTTTCAGGGTCCGAGGGGTGGCGACTAGTGCTTTCCAAACCGCTATTGCTGCACTTCTTACCAAACCGGAAGTGTCACAACGACAAATGTAGAGAGAAGAGAGAACCTTGTTGCGTTTTTCCTCTCCCAATACTTCAAGAAGGGATTGGCCAGCTTGTGCAGCATTGTCTTCTTCGTCATCATCCTCTCCTCTATTTTGGATGCCAGTGAGATTGAAGAGCAAGTCGCCAACCAACTCCACGGAGCTCAGCCTAATGCGGTAATTGTCATCAGCTAAGCCTCTCTCAAGTTCTGGTAATAAGAGGTCAATGGATTTGGTGGCGAAGTTTTTCACCAGGAGTCGCCCGGCACGAAGGGAAGTCTCGCGGATTGCCTCGACATCATCTGCCAAACCAGCGAGAATAGGGGGAATGATTTTGTTAAGATAAGAGGCAAAACTGTTACCAAAACAGGCAGGAAGAAAAACGAAAAGCGACATAAACCCTTCCCTGACTGACGCCTTAGCACTTGACACATTTTGCAAGATAGTAGGCAAAGTTTCTTCGAGGCGCGAAGTACCCAATCCCGCAAGTACTTCAGATAACGCTTGAGCGGAACCCAGACGATCACCAGCCCCAGTATCTGATTTGAGAGTGGTCATAAGGCTTGGTATAAGGTCTGGGAGGGCGTCTTCGCCGAGTTTTTCGATAAGAGAGCCAAGTGCTTTGGAGGCCGTTGCACGAGTCGTCGGGACAGGGTCAACGATGGCAAGTTTCAACCCAGCGACTAATATCGGCAAATGTGAGATAAGATCTTTACGTTCTGTGAGATGAGCCAGACTGCCGATAATCTGAGCTGCTTTCTTTTTGGTAGCTGACCGGTCCCCAAGTCCACGTTCGAGGATTCGCACAACCAGTGCAAGGGATGGTGCATCCAAGTAATGGATGAACGACACCTTTATCAATGCGTCCAATGCTTCGTCGGTATATTTGGTAGGGTCGCTAAGAGCTCTGAGAAGAACACCAACAAGACTCTTCACCTCAGGGTTGCTGATCACTTCCCCAAACCGCTGAAGGCTCCGGTTTGCAGAATTGCGAACCTCCTTGTGACTGTCATTTAGGACAACTGTGAGAGGAGGGATGATGTCAGGGAGACTAACGGCAAGTTGCTGAGGGTCAAGGTATGCCATAGCTCCCAAAAGGTCGCAAGCTCCCTTTTTGCTGCGCCACTGCTGATCGTCAAGCCCGTCTAGAAGGGTCGGGAGGATTTGCTTGACACCATAAGAACTCAGATTTGAAAAGCATGTTTTAGCAGCATCTAAGCAAGCATTGCGAACATCGATGCTTGGGTCACCAAAGCTGCTCAATAGCTGCGGAACGATTTGGATAACGTATGGCTCGAATATACGCCCTAAGATCAACGAGAAGAGTTCGAAAGCCATAATGGCACCTTGTCTTTGATTCGCTTCCTTCTTGTTCTCCAAAGCATCTGTAAGATGGGCCATAATACGATATTCTCGGAATGCCGATACTCCTTTCCCGCCAACAATACCGGCTAAACCGTATGCTGCACCGCGTCTCGATGCGTATTGTTTTGAATGAAGAAGTTGGTCAAGCATATCGCGGATATAAGAGCCCGTTTCTGTGCTCGAGAGTCTGATGACGGGGGGAAGGCACTCGGCTACTGCGAATTGAACGGTTTCAGATGGGGTGGATAGAGCGGCAAGGAGTTTCCCGATAACGGTGTCGACCCGTTTATCTCCTGGCCTCAGGTGGCGAGCTAGGGATCCGTATAAGACTACAACAGCCTCGTTGAGCCAATCCGATTGTTCACTCGCTTTATCTGACGTTTCTAATGATTGTTCAAATAGTTGCATCAGTTGTTCGACATTTTCGGCGCCTCTCAATGTGATAACAGCGCTACCACTTTCAGCCATTTGGCGTCTCACGAAAGCACTCTTATCTATTAGCGGGCCCTCATTGATCAGGAACTGAAGTAGTGTGACGATTTGGTCTTTTTGAAAACCCTTCACCATTGCCCCAAACGCCAGTGCAATTCCACTTCGAGGCTCCCATTTGTCTTGCCCATCAACTTTTTTAGGCATGCCGTAGGCATCTTTTTCTGGGGCTTTAGGTCTTACTTCTTCTCGATATTTCGACTGTAACTTTGTAAAAATATTAGTGAACACTTCTGGGCTAACTTCACAAGCATGGGCAAGTGCTCTCGCCGCTGTCCCTCGAAGTTGTGAGTCCTTGGTATCAAGATATTTGATCAAGAGATTTGCGGAATTTTCATCAACATCGAAAGCATTCTGCTCCCAAATGGCCTCCGCCGTTTCTCTATTCTCCGCTACATGGTCGTGACAACCCAGCCAGATGTACTCCGAAAAGTCAAGGTCAGTAAGATCCATCTCCGCCAAGATAGCCTGGAGCACCGATGTTCGCACTGATATCTCATGGACTATCGAAGCCTTGAGAATGACTTCAAGCTCATTTCGATCGATGTTATGGGTTATACACCTGCAAAGGTCAAAAAAGGTGTCTCGAATGATTTTATAGTGTTGGGTATATTTCTCCATAGACGATATCAAAGTTTGCAAAGTCTTAATGCGAGGGAGTCTATTGTCGGAGACTATTAAGATTGTAAGCCATCTAATCCTGAACCTATAAATGTCTATGGAACTTACACGAATTTGTGTGGAAAGATAGAAACTCGAGAGCCAGTAAAATTTGCTCTCCTTTGCTATCTTTTGACTCTTCAATTCCATCCCTATCAAGTACAATGAAAATCAAAGGGAGGATATATGATAGGGTAGCAAGATCAAATGGTCGCTGTTCTGAACCCAAACGAAGACGATAGAGAATTCTTGCCACAAGTTCTACAGAGATTGGTCAGTTGTAAGTATTTAAAATCAACCATTTGTGGAAACACACCCCCTAGAGGTTCATCTTCTAATGCCGAGTCTAAGTAGGTTCTCCCGAGTGCTCGCAGCGTAGCTATTCCAACAAATGGTCGTATTAACCCAAGCCTTGAGGAGATTCGATTTGAACACGCAACGTATGCCAATGAAATGGCATCCGCGACTAAGGCGCCGGCTCCAGCTTTCGCCATGTCCGTAAGGCACCCGACAGCGGGGTTTATCCATGTCTCAACATCAGTTGGGGGACCTCGGGCAAGGCTTTCAACGATTCCGGCACCTCTTTTGATTATTTCTTCCTCTGTTTCAACATCTTTTCGAATTTCAGCTTCTTTTACCAACTGCACATTAACTTTTGCCTGTTCATCTGCAGTCAACTTTTTCTCTTGTTGGCCTCGCTTCTGTGCAACTTGGGCCCGCAGCTCTTCCTCCCATTTCAAAGTGTCCGCATCCTTACCCTTGCCTATAACAGGTTTAGATTTCGTACTCAGAACATCCACAAACATAGTTCCTTCAGGTGTCCGGGCTATAGCAATGTCAGTTGGATCAAATTTCAGTATTCGCTTCGGATCCAGATCTTCATGAATTTGTTTAATGAGACAGGGAATCATGATATCGGGAGCCACGAAAGCTAAATCAGCTGCAGCGCTCCATGCCGCAGATTTTCCCCTGGTTATCTGTTTTCGAATTGGGTCCTATCAAAGTTCAAGTTAAACACAACATCGCTTCGTAAAGCATTTTTTGAAACGACGTACAGTTATAGCGTTTAGGATCTGAGACATGCACTCTTTGTATTTCTCATGAACCAATTCCCTCGGATCTATACCGGTTTTCAAAACAACGTCAATCCATTGTGTCCCTGGTATCAACAGCGGCCGGCAGAGAACGAGTAATTCAACAAGTTGGTCTTTGAGAATTCCATTGGTTATTTCGTTTTCAGGGTAACGTTCAGAGGGTGAAAGGCTGATAGCTTTGATTACAAGGTGAAGTTTTTCATTTCCAGTGCATGCACTGAACGAAGCCGAGTCTTTATTGGAAGTATCCAGAGAATGAAGCCAATCCCACAATGTAGTTATCGCTGTTATCCCAACAAGGGCTGGATTCCCACAGCAGCATTGTTTGAAAGCACTCACTACATGTCTTCGGACTTCTGGAGGAGTACTAGATGAACAGATCATGTAAATGAAAGCCTGTCCCCATGCGTCTCTTGCGGCAGGGTCTCCAGCCTCAAACACCTTCGATCGAGCAATTGTAGACAGAGCACGTGTTTTCCATAGGAAGTCATCCGCTGAAGTCAGTTTCGTGTAGATTTTAGGATTCAGAAGGAACGAGGGTTTAGGCGATATAGAAAACGATTGCTGGAGAACCCTGTCGTACGCCAGTAACAAAGATCCATTCTTATCTTTTTTATTTTTGAGTCTGCTTGATAAAGCAGTCACGACGAAAGCTATTGTAATAGCCCCACTCTGAACCGCAGGTAATGGGTTAGCGGCTATGTCATCAAATGTTTCCTGAAGTCTGGCAACTATTGCATGTAAGAAATCCATTTCGAGGTTAGAACCAAATAACTGTTCATCCTCCAAACCCCACAAAAGTTCTCCAACGTTGACCAGCCACAATTTGCGGAAGATTATTCGTTTCTCACTGCAGCCTTTCGCTATAGCAGTGAATATTTCCTTCCCAACAGGTGCTGCAGCGCGAATGAGGAAGGCAAAATGAAGGCAAAATGACTTAATCTCAGGCTCCAAGGCAATTTCACTAGCTTCGCGGGACAAGGCCGTGACGAGTCCTTCCAGTATAAATTGAGATGTATTCGTGGAAGGTGGAATAGCCGAGAGTATTTGAACTTGAAGGCCACGCTGTTCGGCGTTGGTAATTTTCTGGGTTTTGAGCGGTGCCACCACTTCTTCTACTACCTTCAATAGCCAGTGTTCAGCCCTACATCTAGAAGCCAGGCTTTCAAAAGCTTTGACAGCACCAGTTCTGATAGCTGGATTTGTGGTCTTGATATTTGCTAGGAGTGGCTTGCAGAAACGAGTAAAGAATATTTCCGATATGTCGACCTTTGAGTGTATTGAGGAGGCAAGGGATGGTATAACTCCGCTTAAAACTATTTCAGGAGCTCTAAGGATGGCTTTTTCCAGGGATGGCCAGACATTAACCTCAAGGTCTTCAGCAGTAGCGAACGATATAAAGAAATCGTGTAATCCTCCTACAATATGGAGAGGTAGAACTGTCCTCGATCCAACAATCTCCTTAGCATAGTATTGAAGTATGCCAATCTTTAAATCTTCCAGAATCGGTTTTCTATTAGGAATCCGGTGGCTGACCCCAGCTACGATCCCAAGAAATGGAGCATTTCTTGAACCCGAGATGGCATCACTCGTCAACAGAGGAATTGCCCGCCGTAGGATCTCCTCGCCGTTTTCCTCCGGGGAAAAAACTGCTCGCAATGCTCGTCTGGTCACGACAACAGCTGAGTGCTTCACGCTTCCTTTGGTTTTAGTACGCAAACAAATTTCGATGACCTTGGCATCTGCGGATAAAATCTCTAATACAGACTGAGTGGAGTCAGGCATCTCGCTTAGGAGTTGTAGTAGCAGCGAACACCATTCTGCTAAAACAAAAGCATTCGTAGAAGCTATTGTCGACTTGGAACATTCTTTCTTTAATTCCTGAATGAAATATTGAAGGTCGAGGTTTGCGGTTGGAATTCGAAACAGCGCACCGAGACATTTCTGCACTGCTTGACGAGAGGCGCGGTCAACGTAAAAGGGATATGTCCTGAATAAAAGCTTCACAATTGGTCGAAAGAGGTCCTGCGAGATTTGGGATCCTTCAAAATATTAGCTTAAATCGTAGAATAATGCGATAGATAGGGAGTTCTTACCAGACAATTTCTCATGTAGCTCATGAAGCCCATGGCAGCGACGAGCTGTTGAACCCGAGAGCACCACTCTCTCCAAATTTTCAAAACAGCCCTCGCTCACGTTGTTCCTTTCAATTTCGTCCATGTCGCATGGCTCTCGCGCATGTTGGGACTAAAAGGAATCAATATGGAGGTGATTGCTCACAATGTAGGCCCTCCGTTGTTCGTCAGTTTCGGGAGAAAATAACGGCGGCGGTTTTTGTGGGGAGTTGTGACATCAGTCAGCAAGTTTGACAAAAAATCACACCTCGGCCAACAACAGGCACAAAAATAACATCCGATTGCGTATCCATGTACAGGTTTCTCTGCCATATACGGCGGCTTATTGGTTTAATTTGTTATTCTCTATTAATTCCCTTTACTATTTTATGCAGACTTTATATCCCACTGAGCTCTGATCTATAAATTTACGTCACCGAGAAAAAAAAAGGATTTGCCCCACCATGGCCCCCAACAGGAAGAAGAGGAAGCCTGCTTCAAATCCAGCCAGAGGTTTTACAACAATCTCAGTACCATCGAAGCTAAAGGCGCCTGAATCTTCAACATTATTGTCTTCCGCCAGTGTGCCAATGGAGCGTCAGCCGGAGTCACGATCTCAAACGGCTTCTGTCGGGGCCCAAGAGCAGCCTGAGCTTCAGCAGCTATCCCCAGATGAGCTCCAAAAGCACCTTGAGGATGCTGAGCTACAGCTGCTGGTGGAAAAGTATGGCGCAAAATGTAAGAATGACTCTTCTCGCCAAGTACTAAAGTTGGAGACAGAGAAACGTATCTTGCGGCCCCAGGCTTCAAATCTAAGTGTTACGGACTGGCTATCTCCCGAAATTCTCAACGAAATTATGGAAAAAGAAAAACTGGAGATAAATCAATACCGTGAGCAAATCTCTAAAGCTGAAATGGAAGAGACCCAGATATGTTCGGAGGAGGAGCTCTCCATAAAACTTTGGACTCTTCGAGAGTCGCTTCTAGGCTTGGGCTTTACACAGCTGGATGTTGATGAAGCGCTGAAGGCTACTCTGAAACTTTCTTTCAATGATTCAGCCGCTCTTAAGGACATTGTATGGGGCTTAGACCAATCTTTAGAGTGGCTTGGGATGAGTTGCGATGAGAACGATCTGCCAGCATACGACAAGCTTCGCAATAACGTCTCGAAGATTGCTACCAAAGATGCTAATCTCCAAACGAGTGAGCCTATCATTTCACTGTACTTGTAGAGCGTCCGCTAAATATCGATAGGTAATGCAAGCTCTACTCCATCTAGCACTGGTTATAATACATCAAGTGATACTCGCCCAAAGGAACAGGGAATTCAAGCCAAAACAGGACTGAACCTAGCCTGCCATAGCTCTGATGAGTCTGACTGTGATCCGGATTTTCTTGTTCCTAAATATGTTGAAATCCAAACGCAACTTTACGTGCAACAACCAGATTTGTTTGACAAGGCGAATAAGAGGCTAAGAAAAGGGGTTTCATCGTTAACACTGGAGAATGATAAGACTTTGGTTAACGCTGCTAAGCTTAAGAAAAAACTTTCAAGGATCGAAAATGACATTTTGTTCGACCGCGATCAGGCAGAGAATATGTGGCAAAATAAACTCGCTGAGTTAAGAAAAGATACCGCGAAATTCTTACGGAATGCCGTCGCTGAAGAACGGCAAATTGAGCCGCCTCCTGCTGAGTTGACAGACACCCAAATCCAGGACGCCTCTGACAAACTGGCCGAATCTATATGTTCAGGCTCAAATGAAAATGATGATATGTTAGGCGGTTTGTTTGGTGCTGATTTGGAGGGCCCTTCGGCACCGTCTTCGAGTTCTGGGGCAAATGGCAGCACAATCATACGCAATAGGGATTTTGGAAATCCAACGGGCATGAACCCACGACGAGTCCTCGAGGAAGCGTGCCGGGCAAGGTTTGAGAGATACCTCTTTTGTGCGGTTTTTCCTGGCTAACTTTTATCTAAAAAAGGGACTCCGGGTGTAAAATATATTACAGAGACATATCACCGGCGTCTTTCTCTCATCGCAAAGAGATTGAAATTAGATGGTCAAAGGCACAGGATATCGCACCGCAACCACCACTGGGTGACATATCATTCAGAAGTGATTCGCATTTAGTATACGCATCTATGGCCTCAATATCCACTCCTACTTCCTTACAGGCTGAGTCTTACATATCGACTGTGGCTCTTTTCGCAATACTTTCTCATTCTCAGAAAGAGAATAAAATTTACATGAAATTGCCTGCCGTGTGGCGGGATCTATGGGACGAACTTATTCATGTTAAGAAACATTATGAAGACGAAGTTGATAAAGGAATTCTGAAGGGCATTCAAAAGCTAGTCCAAGAGAAAATGTCAACGCAGGAGGAAGATGTTATTCTTTTAGGAGGTTTTGTGAAACGGAACGGTGGAACCAATCCTCCTATTCCGCGGGAAAACAGTGTGTCAAAACAAACTGCCAAGACGCATGAACAGCTCCAAAATCTCTGGACGCAAAGATCCTCAACATCTTCTTTCGTTTCTATGGAATCTTTCCGAAAGACGTTGCCCATATGGCAGTTCAAAGACCAGATTTTAGACACCCTTGCAAGCAATCAAGCAATAATTATCTGCAGTGAAACGGGGAGCGGGAAAAGTACTCAAGTGCCATCATTTATACTCGAAAAGGAACTGCTATCGGGCCGTGATTGCAAAATTTATGTCACCGAACCTCGACGAATTTCAGCCATGTCCCTGGCTAAAAGATTGAGTGACGAACTCGGAGAGGATAAAAACGCTGTAGGGACAAACCGCTCCCTTGTTGGATATGCTATTAGATTGGAAAGTAAAATTTCAAGTTCGACACGACTAATATTTGCGTATGTATAGCCTACAGTGTAACCAACCATTTTCTAATAAGCTTTTGCTAACAAATTCTCCAGCACAACAGGTGTTGTGGTTAGAATGCTAGAGCGTCCTAGGGATTTCGAGGATATTACACATCTAGTATTAGATGAGGTACACGAACGTACAATTGACAGCGATTTCCTTCTAATTATTCTCCGCAGGCTGATGCAGGAAAGACCAGATCTGAAGCTTGTATTGATGTCAGCTACAGTAGATGCCGCACGGTTTTCAAAGTATCTCCATGGCGCCCCTGTATTGGATATTCCGGGTCGGACGTTTCCTGTTGAAGTTAAGTACCTGGAGGATGCTATCGAAATTACGAAGCATTGTCCAAACAATGATGGACTTTCTGCACTAACAGACGACGACGACGAGTTGCCAGACCAATCGCATGACAAGCCTACAGGAGACTTATCATCCTCTTTAGTTGGATACAGTAGGCAAACCCGAGAAGTTGTAACTGGAATTGATGAATATCGCCTAGACTACAAACTCATAGTCAGTCTCCTCTTAGCGATTACAACAAGAAAGGAATTTGAGCAATACAGCAAAGCCATTCTCGTTTTCATGCCCGGAATGGCAGAAATTCGGCGACTCAATGACGAAATCTTATCCGAGCCGTTATTTAACAAAAGCGATTGGGTCATACATGCGCTACACTCTTCCATTGCTAGTGAGGATCAAGAAAAAGCATTCCATATTCCACCTACAGGCGTAAGAAAGATTGTGATCGCAACGAATATCGCAGAAACAGGTAAGCCCATTCTCTTTATTATCTCTACTCTCAACTAATTTTTACCAGGCATTACGATTCCCGACATTACGGCGGTTATTGATACGGGCAAAGAAAAAGTTATGCGGTATTTCTCAACTATTCATCCTACCCGATCAATTACTTCAAGATTAATGATGGAAATAGGTTCGATGAGAAACGACAGCTATCCAAATTAGTTGAATCGTTCATAGCGCGCGCCAACGCAAAACAACGTCGAGGGCGTGCGGGTCGAGTACAGAGAGGCCTTTGCTTCCATCTGTTCACAAAGTTTCGACATGACAAATTGGTTCGTTTAATCATGTCCTTGTCTCGATCTACAACTTAAAACACCCACTTATATTAACGACGATCAACAGCTTGCAGATCAACAGACACCTGAAATACTCCGGCTTTCGTTACAAGATCTCATCCTTCGGGTGAAAATATGTAATTTGGGAGAAGTCGAACAGACACTTTCGGAAGCCATCGACCCTCCCTCACCCAAAAATATTCGCCGTGCCATCGAAGCTCTTAAAGAGGTCAAGGCATTGACGAATTCGGAAGATTTGACTCCACTCGGTAGACTACTTGCGAAGTTGCCTTTGGACGTCTTCCTGGGCAAGCTCATTATATATGGGGCTTTTTTTAAATGCTTAGACAGCGCTGTTAGCATTGCCGCTATTGTTTCATCTAAGTCTCCATTTGTCAATACGGTTGGCTCTAACACACAAAGGGAGCTCGCCAAACTTGCGTTTAAACGAGGTATTACATATTCTATCATGAGTATTTTATTCTTAATATTCTAATCCCCGAGACAGGAAACTCCGATCTTCTTACTGTTTATAATGCCTATTTATCCTGGAAACGGCACAGAAGTACTCCGGGAATGAGTGAACATGCATTCTGCAGGAAAAATTATCTAAGTTCGCAAACCTTGCAGAATATCGAAGATGTGAAAATGCAGCTCTTGACATCAATTGTTGACTCGGGATTACTCAATCTTGATCCTGCAGAGACAGATTCCCTTATTAGGTTCGCACAGTTTTTCTGCTAATTCTTACTCATTCGTCTCTGATCAAGTCTAACGTCGACCAAACGCAGAGCTCGCTTTACCGGCCGCCAACGCCAATTCTTCACCGTACCCAAACGGATGGATATCAACAGCGAAAATGACATAATCGTGAATTCAGTCATTGCGTGGAGCTTCTATCCCAAATTGCTTATCCGCAATGGAAAGGGTTGGAGGAATGTTGCTAATAATCAAACTGTGTCCCTCCACCCAACATCAGTGAACAAAAAACCGGACGCTACATTGAAGTGGCTTTCATTTTATCACATTATGCAAGCTGGTACTCGATATCTAAACGCCCACGAAACTAGCCCCGTGGAAGATTTTGCAATTGCATTACTCTACGGGGACGTCGAGTTCAAGGTAACTAATCCGCTCCTGCTTCCCGTTATGCGTCCTTCTTTCTCTCCCTGCATTTTTCATTGCAGATGTATACTGGCTTTTTCCCACTCGATTTACTAACATAGAACGAAAGTTATACGCTGGAATAATTGCTATAGACGGCGCGCGCATTCGATTCTCTGTCAAGGATTGGAAATCAATGCTCGCCCTCAAAGCACTCGCCACTAGAGTACGAAATGCTTTATCTTTTGCTATTCGCAATCCGCACAAAGAATTGAGATCTAACCAGAAAGGGTGGGTTGAGTTATGGCAAAAGGTGTTTTCAGAGGCAAAGGAAAGAGAGCTTCGAAAGAATCGTTCTTTGTTTTGATTTTCTTTTCCAGATTTTGGTAGTATAAGGGAAATCTTCTTAGGATGCATCGACGGAGGAGTATGTACAAGTTGGCTTCATTTGGCTGACAACGCCACACTGATGGGATAGTTGCATATTTTGTCTTGTTTGGATGGAGGTGATCTCTCGAGGGTGAATATTTGGTCGGTTGTTATATTTTGTGATAGTAATATGTCCACATAATTGAAATTAGTGCGACATTAACCCACTCATTATTGGATGGATGTCAAACAAATGATTCTATTCTAAAATATCTAGCATGGCTATCCATTCCCATATCAGAGTAACCAAGGTGGCTTTCAGGGCTCATAAACCTGCTGCGCATGACAATGAAATCGGTTTCGTTGAGTCACATAACAAAAGATAGGAGAGACGTAAGGCAATGACATATCAAATGCACAAGAGAAATGAACTCTCTAGAATCCTGGGTACGGTTACAATTCTCGTTGGAACATGCTTAGGACACTTCTCTGTTTATCCGGCGCCATGTGCAAAGTTGCAAATCGAGCCTCTGGGAGGCGACATCCAGCTTTGACGCTTTCCAAAACCCTGGATACGTACAGTCGTTAGTCAACATCTTTTAGATATCGAAATGGCTTTTACGATGAAAAGTTACGATTGAGATGAAATGTAAAGCTCCAGATAGATATGTGCGCTTCGGTTGTATATTAGGGGAGAGGTGGGAAATACAAACCATTCAACACCGACAAACTTCAAACCCTTTCTACCCACTCGTTGTATTTCACGCTGCAGCTTCGTCGCTGCAAGACCTCCGCCAGCACCACTTTCGTTTCGATTGTTATTTGGCCTTCCGAGAATAACATGAGTAGCTGTACGTCGAGCGAGAGCGAAAGTGACATTTGCACCATTTGAAACGAGAAGATGTTTGAGTTTATGATCCGAGATGAGAGGATAAGTGGAGCCGTTGACATAAATGGTCAAATTAGCAAATATTCCCTTGGATGCAGACCCTGGAGATTCTGGCTGAGGAGTCATATGGAGTTTGGTTTGGATAGACTTGGGAATCGAATTGGAGACAACTATTTCTAATTCTCTTGCTGCCGGAGTGCAAGATGTGATAGGTTCAACTTTTCTCCCTGAGCCAGCAGTATCTGAAGTATTTTGAGCTTGATCTCGATGGACCGCCGGGCAGTTCTTCTGCCTTTCGCTTCCCAGGTCATCAAGAACAAGCGCTCCGTTTCCTTTGGTGATCGGAATCTTGTCCCGTTCTGTGGTGCACTTCGTATCTGACCTCCCTTGCACATCTAGTCGCCTTTTCTTAACACCGCCCATTAAATTCCTTATATCTCCAATCCGCTCCTCTCTCCGTCTAATGTCATCATATTGATCTGAGGACACCCAGTCCCATTCGCTATCCCTTCCGCTGCACCCGCCGCCGCGACCGGTGGTATCTCTAAATTGCTTCCCAAGTTTCCGAGATAATACCTCTTGCCACCCGGGAGAACTGCTGCGAGAATGTTCAGCCCGTTGATGTCCCGTTGATACAGAATTCCAAGGGTCAAAGGTCCCAAGAGCGGTGACCGAGGGAGTGGTTAAGATGTCACGGATGGAAGAGGGTAGATGGCGCTTATTGCGGGACATATCGTTTGCCCTTGCTTCGAGGTTTAGCACAATATACTACTACTAATAGTATCGAGGGAGATGGAAGAGTTCATTATATTGCTGTGGCAGAGCCCTGCTATATCCACAAAATCAAAAGATAACACAACCTCTCATTACCTACATAGTAGGTACGCAGGAGCGTTGAGTAATAGCGAAGCTGATATGTTTCCTGGTTGTCGGCCTTTTATGTGGCGATGTTATCGTTTTTCCAAAAGTGGTTTAGCTGGTGGTGATCGAGCTGATAAGATCTGCCTCTGATTAGTCATGCATATTATGTTTCCGAACCATCTGTTCAACGACAAAACGTTGAGAAAACTTGTCTGAGACCTCGGCACCACAACCAAAGCGTTTGCGTCTATGCGCGTCGTACCTGCTTCATGCTTTGTCCGGATGCACAGCTTATGCATTTCGGGGCCAGCGCTGTTCGGTGCCGATATGAGCTAGATGAGCATACCACCCAGCACTTCGAAAGATACTAGTATTAAAGTGGGATATGTCATATCTCAATATCTCACATTTGATGTCCCTGTGTTCCCTTGATAAGCAGACAAAAGCGAATACTCGGCTACCACCCAAAGCATATTCAAAATTTAAAGGGAGTTTGGGATATTGCATTCCAAGGAAGCCAGGTTGATTGAGCTGTCACGAGCTCGTCCGATATGGTAGAAAAGGCGCAGCCTAAGACATCAACAGAATATGAGCGCCTATGCTGGGCTGAGGGCCTCTTGCTAACTACCAACAACTTTGAGTTCCTTGTCTGGCAAGTTCTCTATTTGCGTCTCAACACCCTGCTCATGACTCAGAAGTGATCTGAACTGCTTTACGTACCCAGGTCCGGACTGTTCTCTTTTGTGTTGTCGACTATAAATTCTACATCATTCTACGCGCCCATGATTGGTGACAGGTCCTGTGCTCTTGATGTGATCCCGTTTTGGAGCAAGAACTGGCTGAAAAGGATACTCTCCTCGAGAACATGGTGGTGTTGAACGACAAGAATTTTCATGTATGTCTAAATTGCATGTGGAGAGCCTTTGCTACTAACAAAAAAGAATTTCTATGTGATCGACTGTCCCCTATTCCGATTCGCGACTCGCAGTCTTTGCATTCCGCAATTGCAATTGGTGATTTGTCCAAACTAGCACGTTACTCTCGAAGGAAATATGTAAATTGGGGGCCAACCAAATTCTGGCGGCTTATCATCGATTTTTACATACCAAAGCTGTTTCTTGCCAAATACCTTTTGGTTTTGGATTCGCATCGGTCAAAATTTCCATTTCCACTCTTCTTCCCATCAGCAGCCTTGTTCCAGTGATATCATTTGGTACATGCATGCACTGTAAATCCCTGCAGCAATGAACAAACAATACACCAGTGAACCATGGAAAAATTCCTTCTTTGCCCACCACAGAAGCTTTAACAAACATTTGGTATTTCCCATTCGAAACTGATGTCCTCTCCCAGGCCCCAGGGAAGAAAATTCAATAAACGGAGCAGCAATGCAACACAAGTGGCGTTTTCTGTCCCATAGAAACTAGAGGAAAACAACCCAACTTCTTCTTCCCGTTCTTTACGGGATGTTTCGTCCTTTCCCTTCAATGGGAGGGACACACTACGTGGCACCTGTGAGATGGGGGCATTTTTGCCTAGGCTACCAGTTAACCGCACCCTGTATGTGGCTCCAGTGAAAGCGCTAATCGGCATAAAGGTTGTAGCCAGATATTATTTCCATGTGCTGGAGATGGCTAAAGCAACAATGGGTTGGTGGGAATACATGTACGACATGAATATGTTACCTCCCGTTACCTTGGCGAGTAACCCACCCAATCGGGCAATAGAGTGACTTTCCATCTCGATCTATGATCGACCAACAGAGTAAGTTTCGGCTGTGGTGTAAAGATATCTATTTTCTAACTTTTTTCGCCTCGGCAAAAAAATCTCCCTCCCAAGCCTATTTTTTATTCCCGGTTCTCCTGCTACGGTTGTCCAAGTCAACAAGCACTCGCGAGTTCTTCAGGTAACTCAAAGAGTTTTCAAAAATCGGGGAACCGTGGTTTTGCTGGTTTTCTCAAAATCGGGTCTGGGTCACCGATACCTTTTCAGTTCATTTCGGAGACATATTTTATCTATTTTGCCCGTGTGTCATTCTCTACTGAGCTGTTTGGCATTCCCCATACTTCTTTAAATAGCCATATGGCGGACGAAGAGCGTCGTACGCACTCCTGTTCAACTCTGATAGTCGATTCATTGCTCTTTGGTATCGATATTTATATTCTTTTTCGCTTACGGAATTACATTTTCAAACATCAACCAAAGGCAATAGGACAGCATATGGGTGTATAATTGCTATTGCAACTCTTACCTGGCATTGTCGGGGAAGTATGGAATACAGGAGTAAATCCATCCACGCAACAACGGACACCGACCTAACATGCAAACGTGGGCTGTGTACGAGCATATTTCTCTGTCCTTTAATAATAGGATAATAGTATGTTGCGGATAATATTATGCTTTTGATGGCTATGGAAGTATCATCTCCCTACGCGACCAGACAATTGGACCATTCTGGAATAAGACATCAATGGGAAACAAATGCGAAGTGACACTCTGTGCTGTTAATATTTGCAGTGAGTGAGGCAAAATCAAAGAGGAGTTCCTGGGGATGCCAAAGTAAGAATAACCCATATTATCAGTGGCAATAAGGGGAAATAAAACCATACTGCATTGTCTTCCCCTTGAGAGCCCCCGCGCGGGAGGTTCTGAGCGTCACGCAACGCCACGAGGCAGAGTCTGTCAAACACTTTTAGCCATCAAGGCAAAAGGCGTCTGTGTTCAAAGTATATGTGTATACATGCAAGTGTGCAGAAGAAACTGATATACACATTTCAAGCATCAGACTTTGGGTATTGACAAGAGGATACAGAGTGATGCTTTCCACCCTTTCAGCACTTGCAAAGGTCCATTGAGAGACATCTGGCGCTATTAGTCATATTAAATCCGTCATTTCAGACGACGTCTCCAGTCACGAAACGATGTGATCGTGGACGTAGAAGTAAAAAAGGAATAACATTGAGAAAACTGTGCCACAAGGACCGCAGGTTGTCGGAAAACAACAACTGAAGATTACCATATCTATCTCACTTTATTGCTCCAGTTGGCAAAGATATACAAGTTTGGTCCAAGCTGAGAATGGGTGGGGACGGAAATATGCATTGATAAGGGGTTGTGCGTCCATAAGACGAAGGACTCAGGAAGCAACAGGCGAGTCTTCATTTTGCAACTCCGACCTCAGAAGTACAAGAAGCAGCGGTATCAGAACAAAATTTTATCCAGAACTTCTCGTTAACACAACACATATATACACATTATGTATGATGGTTGACCCATTTCCTGGAAATTAAAGCTTGTCGTTCCTGGCGGTCAAAAAGTCACACGCACGACACGCGACACGCGACATGCCCTTACGCCTTTGATTTCCCTGTGTAACTAATCACAGCATATACCTCTTCCTACACGTACGGACGAGGTACTGCTCGTGTTGCACAGGCTCGGATCACTCTTCAACAAAAGCCGAAATAAATGCAACGATTCACCACCAGGCTCCTGTCAGGCTGACCAGCGGAGTTTACCAACCGATGGCATTAAACCGGACATTTCATAAAGTGGTTTGAACATCTGTACCCCATACTCAAGCCATGAGGGATGTCCTGGAATCTCACAAAAATTAGTGACGGGAGACGAAGACCCATCAGCCAGACCACTTCAAGTTCGGAAAGAAGGAGGTGCTGGGGGCCATTTGGCACAGAACCGGGATATGGCCCAAAGAGGACATGTTCGGAAAAGCCAGTCCAACCCGAGCGGGCACTCCTGTCTTGTGATGTAACTCTTGTACTCACAGCTAACTGCGATCTCCGAATATAAAACGCAGCTCCGTCAAATAATCCAATCGCGTGAATTGAGGGTATTTTGTGGTGTTTTCAAAATGGTCCCTGAATATAGTCCTTGGTGAGAGTTTCATTCTGTGTTCTAGGCAGAGAGGGAAAGCTAGGCTGGAGATGGTTTGGCGTAGCTGGTGGCTCCAAGATAGGATCCGTGGCGTGGATCCGTTCTGTCGCTGCCTTGTATACTCGCATATGCATGAACGGGTCGATGCAGCTGAAACGGGGCAGGCCATCCACAAGTGAGCTATGATTATGCTGGTTCTTCAAGTCTTGGGCCAGTTGAGAAGGGACTAAAATCTGTACCACATCGGGAAGCAAGGGCGGTGGTGGGATGTACTGGTGGTGGGGTCACTAGAGTGCGCCAGGGTCTTGGACTGGGGAGTTGAGGTACTGTACAAAACCTCGGAGAGGTCATCAACAAAACCAAAAAACAATAATCACGCAGTGCTCGTGATCCCGTAGTGGCTGGAGGTCAGCGGCCAAAAACAAATATCCAAAGTTGGAAGCACTTTCCTTGATCGATGTCGATATTTGTGAAGCCAGGATCGCTTTGACCATCATCTTGCGAATCGGAGGCGAGCTGATCGCCCACGCTAGACATCTAGAAGCACTTGAGTAAAATATCCAACGTGGTTGATTTGTTCCGTTGGCTGATGGGCGGCGGCGCATTATCAGATGATAGAGCCCCAAGCCGCAAGTTGCCCTTGCAAGTAGCACGACAAAACAGCGCCAAATTCCAAGGAAGATAAGCGGCGATTCTTCGGGAGACCAGTTGGTGGAACCGTGCTGGCAGGTGAATAATACCAGCCAAGAACATCCTGGGACGTTGCTAACGGGCCAAGCGACGCTTGGTGGGCAACATTCAGGGATAGTATGATGGTCAGAGTGTCACATACGTGGTCGCTTCCATCACCAGTCAATCAAGACCAGGTGCTGCGATTGACAAGCCCAGCTTTCGGGCTATCCCAATTCAGGTAGCCTGTTCGCTGGCGATCAACGAAGCCAAAAAATTATCCACCATTCTCTGGTCCTTTGTTCTCGACTTGTTGCTCCCATGATTGGAGGCAGCGTCATCTTCGCTCAAGGCCTCCCCTTTCATCCGGCCCGTCGATACATGAACCGCTTTTTCCCTCATTGACTTCACCCCTGGTTGTTGTGTGATTTGTTGTCGGCTTGTAATTCTCGCCCAGCCGCCGCCAAATGGTGCGGCTCTGGGCTGTTTAGAGACTCCAGACCCTCTTAGTGTGCTGTTTTGGTTAAATCCCCTGCCCCAGCATCGTGGCCCTGCCTCTTCCGTCTCAACTGCGCGTGCAGGACTCCGAATCCAACACTTGTTGACTTTGTGGAAAAGAAATTTCCACAATTTTTCTTGTCCCCGAGAATCCCATCCATATCGTCTCTGAGCCAATATGGCCATTCGTAAATATTCTTGTCGAGTCAAACGCCACGAGTAACCGAGCGACTATTACGATCGGACCGGACATTGAACCCTGAACCCTGCCTTAGAAGTACGCAGTAGTGATTTCAAGGCTCGGGGTTTGATCCTTCAATAGCGGGAATGACCAGCTTGCTTGCTTTGATCGCAGAGTGGAGTCTTTGTTCCTTGCGCAAGGGAGCCAGTCAGTTGAACTGTATCCTGGAGCCAGCCGCCTGGAAGCCATGGACTGCAAATTTCAGTATGGGATTCCAATGGGTTAGCATCGAATTGTATTTACCGTCCAATACTGCGACAAAGTCTTCACATCATTCAATGATAAGAATCCATCAAACACTGAATGTTCGAATGCTATTGAACAGCTAATGATGGGTGCAGACCGGCTGGTGTGCTTCGTCGATGCATCGTATCTTACCGATACGCTAAAACAGATATTGATAAAATACAGATCGTATTTACGTCATATTTTACCGAGGTAACTACTTCGTATTGTTTGTTATTTTGGTACTGTACTGGCTTTCGCTAGAGTTTTTTTTTTTTTTTTGAAATATACGAGAAAGACCATATCACACTTTCATGGGAAGTGATCCTGGATTGTCAATGATGGTGCGGCAAGTAATCATACTTCCCAGGAAGCTGCCGCAGTCTCTGTATCATTAGTAAATCCCTTTGGATAAGCCTATAGACGACAGGTTAACGGTCAGAATAAAGCGACTTCAACTTTCTACACCCGGTGTATGTTACCATTGTAGGAAAGAAGACGAGGACACACCAGGGCTGGAGTTTAGGGAACTGAACCTTCCGCGGTTCCGTGTTCTTCATTATCGTTTCTTAGAATCTTGCAACCAGAGGGGTAGTCAGCGTGGGTGCAACGATGATAGATGATGATAAATTTAGGCGGGGCATCATCAATTTAGTTTTGAGCTCCACCTTATGCCTTGAATTATTGACAGGGAATTGTGATCACGAACAAGCAACGAGACTCCAATGCCCTCCCAAAAAGATAGGCTAGTAATCGAGTACATGATTACGGGTCTTCTGCGTTCGCTCTCGAGGTCGGATGTTTGCGCGGAGGCAGAATGTCTTCCAGCTCTATCCGCTCACCCATGAGAATATCCTCGAAAATTTTATGCTCCAGAGATATACAATCCATGGAAAGAAAAAGCTGCCGAGGCTCAGCATAAAGCACACGGACATTAGAATCCGGCTATGCTGTGGACCCCATGTAGTCGATCGCTCGTATCCCCAGTGGATACAGTTGGTGCGAAATTACTTTCCCAAACAAAGTCTTCGCTAGATTGCAAAGCAACTTCAGCTCTGATGACTGACTAACCTATACGTCACTGAGAACTTTCCGCTGCTCTTCATACGAACTTCTTTCCAGCATGGCTTTAGATGACAAACATGAAAGCTTGAGAGTTCCTTGAATGGCAAACTAATGGCTGTTCGTACGGGGATATCTCACCCAGAGGCCCAATGTCTGCACCTGCATGCATCAATGCGGTCATCACTCAAGCCTAAATCCAGTATCACACTTGCGCTTACATACCCGACAACCGTTGCAGTCAGAGCCTCCACAAAATAATGCAATGCGAGGTTAATTCTACTCCCTGCAGCTGACAGGCAATTCCGGCGGGCTCTTCCAGCTTCCCCTTGCAGCAGCGAGTTCCTTAGGTCCTGGCGATGCCACAAGGATGGACGAGACGGAGCCATGTGGATTGGACCAAACAGCCGATAAGTAGGTCAACTCAAAAATAATCATACCAACGAACTTGCGGACGGTTCACATGTACTGTACATCGTACTGTACATGTGTTTCTTCCCACCACGGCTTATGAAATCGTGTTTCCGAAATTGAATGCAGAAGAACACGATATTTTACTTAGAGCCTCTCAAGCCCAAGAAGCAAAAAAAAATATTAACTAAGTTGTTGTTTCTTAACTCCATTTCCTCGACCCACGAACAAAGGGAAATCAGCAATATTCCCTCAAATCATACCTGGCTAGATAAAGTGCGGATGATTGATTGCCTTAATGATCTCCACTTGAATGAACTACAATGTGTATTTTCTTCATTCTCATTTACTCAGAACGTGCTGCAGCACTACCTCGTGGCTATCTATCGAAACCTTCCGACTGGCCAGTTTGCTCCACATTGGAAACATGTACCTCCTATCTGTATATCCTACATTTATAAAGTTGCTTATCTTGGATGTGATTCATTAAGCTGGTCCCAGTTCCTTTGCCTACTCAAGTTATTTCCCTATGGGAACGTTGGACCGACTTGGTTGATAAAGTCTTTGACTGAATCTGTACTGATATTTTTACCTGCGCTTTGGCATATGCATATATGTATTGTCCATGCTCCGATAACGATCTCTCGGATTAGAAAACCCTCAAGATTTGGCTTCTGAAATTATTCCTCAATAATCAGTCTCGCACAAATTGAACAATTCAGATTGGAGTATATGATTAGATTACCCCTGGTTGAGCATTACGACTATCACCTCATTACAAATAGGTACGGTGCTTCAGAAGTTTGGGGAATATGTTAAAGTTTTTTTTTTTTTTTTTTTTTTTTTTTTTTACAGTAGCAACAACCAGGCACCATACATGACCACCTGCATAGCAGAATGGCATTCTTAGAAAATCAGTCATTCGGTTCATACACAAACAAAATCCAATCCGGCTGAGAGCCATGGTATGAGGAAAATGCTTCCGTGGAATAGGAACATACTACGTAGTTAACCTAATTCTCTTTTGAAAAGAATTAAGTCGTATCAGTTTCGTGCCGCCTCTAGTCCCAATTGAAATATCAGGTCAAAGGGACAGCATGGCGTCTTTTCCAAAAAAAAAAAAAAAAAAAAAAAAAAAGTGAGACACGCTCATGCAATCGTGAACAAAGAAAATGGGGTCGCCAGGGTCGATCTCAAGACTGGTTGGTCCTGGGAATTAGGGTTAGGGCTCAATCCCGCTCGCTTTGGTTCCCCCACCTCTCTGGCCCATGGGTATGGTCTTCCTATACATATCTGACTCAATAAAAAACAAAGCCAGACTTTGGGAAATTGTGGCAACGGGAAGTCCCGCCCCGGGAAGATGGTCTCAACCAAAGATACGGAATTTATATACTCAGATTGTGGGGATTGGAACGGACCAAAACCAAAAGGATGGAATATGTAAAAGTTAAGTACACTTTTTGAGTTTTGCCGTAAATTTTGTGCTCCCCAGTCAGTGCATTGTTGCATCAGCAACATACATATTAAATTCCTTGATAATAAAAAACTTTTTGGGGTGTAAGTGTGCTATATATGTTCACCACCCATCTCCAGAAAAATGATTTCGACCACGACGTTGGCAAGGATAGTCTACTGGTGTTTAATTAACAGTACAGGCTTTCAATGCACGCATCCATACCCCTCTGTACGTCTGCGCTGCAGTATGCAGGCTCTTCTTTGAGGGATTGCCGTAATTTGCTCGTGTGGATCTTTTCACCTTCGTAGGTGGCGTATATCATTATTGTTTGAATGGTTAACACTCCTGTCAACCAGATAAGATGCCCTTGTGGCTTCCAATGGAGAACAAAGCGAACCAGCTAGCCCAGACGTAAACGCGGGCTATTGATACTAGAAATTCCATGCTACCGTGTCACGGAGGCCACTTTTGGTGGCAGCGAAGGGCCATTTGGGAAAATTCCTTTACTTCGCCGTTCTGATTTCTTTCGCAGTTCGAGATCTATGGATTTGGTTCTACCCCGGATTTACAAGACACACGCGTACGGCGTATGGAGTAATACTAATAGCTGTGCCCGTTTCCCTACAACCATCCGAGATTTGCGAGGACAGGACCTGAGACCAATTTGCAGGGACGTATTTTATATTCCGTTCGCAAAGTACTGTGCCGAAAAACGATTGACGTATCGGTACTGTATCGTTTTAGCGCGGATTCTGGTGACCGTGTTGTAATTAGTTCTTGGTATGGAAAGAATGGAAAGTTACGCACTTCGACGAGAACAAAAATAGCATCAGGCGAACCAAATATCAGAGAGAATATAACCTCAAGATCTCATTTCAATGATCGCGTTGTCTTAGGGCTTTGTTACACATTGCGGCGAAACGGATTATTATGACAATGACTGCTGGGGAAGGTAGGGACCAACCCAAGAATCGAGAAGTAAAAAAAAAGGGTTTCGTGCTTTTGAAGACCATGGGGTCAGGATTATCAGAGTAACAATGCTCCGGGACGTTGGAATCCTTAGTCAGGCCATGGACGGAGCCAGCAAAATCCTTCGCCGCGGACTTGGCTTCCTTGATCCAACTGAAATCCGTTCCCCTCGACCCAGACCCGACTTTCAGATGAGTTGGCGATGCGATGTTTCAAGTTTGACAGGCCGCCACACCAAGTAACTAACGAGTAGCGCAGTTAGGCCGCTTTAGGGCCATTCGGTGATGTGCTGGCGGCAATCATATGGCCTGTTTTGCCGCCCATTGTTAACTCGAATATGGAGCGCAGTGGCTTCGGAAAAGATCATCATGCTATGGGTAATCATCTGCATCCCTTCGGCTAATTGGGGTCCGTTTGGTGGGCAGACCACTCTATCTTTCCTGTTGGAAGCTAACTTCCCGTCTCATAACGACGAGGATGTACCAATCAACTCTTTGCCAAGTGCTGATAAAAGAGTCCAACCAAACCAATTACATTACCGTGGGACCTCCTGGGAAAATGTAATGTTTGTTCCTTGGTCATGGAGAATGGGAGGAAACGCTATCAACAACGAACGAATAACAACGAAACCTGCCCTGTAGAGCCTTGTTCTGTCGTTTCTTTTTTTCCATCTTTTGTTCGCCGGACTAATTGCTCGTTGACCGCCTGTTTGAGGGTGACAAGCTAAAGAAGCCTTGGAAAGCCAAAGGCAAATCAGGTCATTGAAGAATATCGAACAAGGCTGAGCCTCGGACAGGCCGTACTTGCTTCCCCATTCGTTCGCAGGAAGAGGCTGGCGGCTTTTGGAAATAGCGGTCATAGGAGGTTCCCGTGACTTCCAAGGTTAGGTCGTGTGGCTCAACTTGATACAACTACGTGAACTTTCAAAAAGAGGCTTGAAGAATCAGGATCTGGGGCACAATGTCGTCGTCATATGGCCTTGGGCAAGTATGGATCGAGTGGTTCTAGTCCGTTGGCAACTTGAAACTCACCAGCGGTGAAGAGAATATTTATCCCTTTTTTCGCAACTTAAACGTGGTGACACGGCCTGGGAGCTACCTCTTCTTTTAATAGAAAGCTCCAATAGCAGCTCCTGTGAAGCGCATAGGCCCACAACTATCATAAGATCTCCCCTCCACACGAGCCTTGGTGTTGCCGCAGTGTGCTTTGCTTATCTGCATCAAGACGCGGATATGTAAGTGAAGAAGCAGGTGAGAGTACAATCCACATGGCCAAATGGAGCTAACTCTGCAATCCAACACAGCAGGCAGAGATGACGGGCAGGAAAATAAGCTCACACTTGATGGAGAATTAAAATATTCCGCGAGGAATCCCCAACCATCCGCTTCTCAATCCTTCCTGGCAACGATGGCTGAGGATGGCTGAGGCGGTCAATATATGAGGATGAATCTCTTTACAGGTGACGATTTCGGAAGCTGAGCTTCACGTTGGACTAGCGAGCTCGCAATATTTTATGTTTGAATGCGTCGCGCGGCCCGGTGCCCGGGCCGTAGCGCAAGAGTTGTGACCTTCTGACCTTGTTTTGGAATTTCGATTATGCTGAATGAATTAAGGCAGGAACCAGCTTACAGCACACAATTTCCTTCGCCAAGTCTACGCCAACTTCAAAGAAAATATCCATGGATCATTTCCTTGATCAATTGCTTGCAAAACGTCTGCGAACGATTTGATAATCCCAGGTCCGGGCCTGGTTGATTATTTGGAGACGCTCGGGTGATCTTTTAGGGGCGTATCATCCGCCCCTAGCTTAATGCATTGATCGTCAGATTTTCCACTCCAAATATTTCCCATCATCACGCAGAGGTTTTTCAGCTCCAAAACCTCTTTCCATCGCTCAAAAGAAAACAGAAAGCCGAAAGAAAGTGGGAACAAGAAATGTTTTTCTGCACTACATTCAATCCGGTTCCGTTGACGGAGGCAATTTTCCCCCTTTTCTTTCAATTCTAACTTTCGAAGCACCTCTGCCTCAGCTGATGTTTGCTTCTTTACACTCAAGAACAAGTTATAATTCCCCCAAATTGATGGCGAGCTATTTAGTATTATTAACAATAAAGCTTCGGGTTCCATTATTTCTCGGCATTCTCAATTTCCTGGAATGTCCTCGACTTCCCTCAACATGCCTTGGTCGTAATCATAAGCTGGTGGCTGGTGGTGTCCCCACATTCCTTCCATCGTGCCACTTCATCATTGTTGGAAGCGGGGAACGGAAACCGGCAGCGAAAAAGAAGAAAATGGGAGCAGGCAAGGATGTCAAGCAAGCCTTGAGTTCAGATAATCGAGGAAGTATTCCTTCATATTTCTGACACTCCAGTTTTCATGGATGTATGGAAATAGGTAATTTTATGGGGTGTAGCTAGTTAGTTTCTGATTCGCTTGACAACTAACACAGCGATTTAGGATGAGTTGTCCCTCCTTCAGGACGAGGACAATTTCCTAAACATGTTACCCCTCCTTTCTTACTCTCCAGACGGGATTAGTTCTTGGCTTGCGCTTTTCCTACCTAGCTTTAAGCCAGGAAGGCTCCCTGGGGCTTGAGCCTTGCCCCTGCTAATTGCAAGCTTGGACCCAAACCGGCCTGTTTAATTAAGCGCCAGAGATCTGGTGACGAGAGGGAGAATCGATGCACCGACAGTGACCTCGAGACGGAAGGTTTCCCAGAGCTCTGAGCGCTCGTTTCCATGAATGAATCAATGGGAGCAAGTTTTTCACCCCCGACGGGCGAGTGTATTCAATTGGACCACAAATCAACATGTATCTTGTAACGCTACAGTAAATTGCTGCTGTATGGTTACATAACGAAACACGGTACCGAACATTACAAGCTTGTAATATAAAATACGGCGTTGTTCTGTTCTCTGGATTCAATTTGATCGACCCGAAGCCCTAATTTGCAGGCGTCCAAAGACCAAGCGAGTTATTCTTAGCTCCGTTGATTTGGTTCAACACCTTCACAATTCTGAATCATAATCCTTTCAAAGAAATCAATCGCGTTAGTAGAGGAAAAAAAAAATAAAAATAAAAAATAAAGAATAAAAACAGTCACAGCCAAGCTCTGCATCCCGGAGGAGCCTCAGGACACGCCGACACGGGAAATAATAAACCTTCTTTTTCAACCAGTTAGGGTTTAACCAGTCAGAAGGTCTGCTTCTCCAACAAATCCAACATCCGACATCCCAGTCACACTAAAACTCTCGGTGATACCTTTATTGGCTGGCTGGTACGGACACCAGGGGATCTCCTCCGTGCCCAAGAATGTGGCTGTTCAAAATGGTTAGCCTGGATTGTCAGTTGAAGCTGGAGGAGAGGTTAGGTATGTGGAGCTCTCTTTGCCTCTCATCGAATTGTGTCGTTCATGGAGAGAGAGCTTCTCGAGGAATAAAACGGTGATTCTTTTTTGCAGCACGTATTAAACAGTTCTTGCATTCGGTGATCACTTCTTCCTAACATATTTGGCATGTATTTTGAAGGGTGAAGGGGGTGCGGTGTTAGGAAAATCCAAAAGTGACCGCGTTTTTACCCAACAATAAATACCTTTCGGTTTTTGTGCAACCAGACGGTTCGATAACAGAATTACTAAGGAAATCGACAAAAGCAATGCTCAATCGCGGGGCTTAATGCTGTTCATTTCGTTCTGTTCCTAGCTCTTTTTCCTATTCTCTCTCTATTTTCTATTTAATTTTTCAGCTGATATTATTCCCCGAGATCCCCGCGACTGTCCGTTGCCAAATATGCAACATCTTCGATCCCAAGACGTATTCTAACTGCCAACTGCCGCCCGTCCCTACATCCCAACGATCCGGCATGGATATTTGAGTACCTACATTAGGCATATGTATGCGCACAGGTATAGATATCCATGGATTTATCTCACCGTACATTCGAACGACCCGTGGATTACCCTTCAAAAAACGGCGAGGATGTGTTCGCTGAATCACCCATCAGCTCAGGCGCCAAATCAGAGACGGCGAAGTTAATCATCCAGTGACTCAGGGTCCAATGTCTAATCCCATGCAAACACATGAAAAAGACACCTCAAAAATTTTCCGAGCCATCCACAGCTGGCCGTGACTGGCTGTGCGATGGAGTTAGGATATACTAAGTACTATCCTCGGGTAATTTGCCCCGTTTGAAAATTACTCTTATCTTTTTTCTTTCACTTCTCCATTTCCATTCTTATTGATTTCGGCGTATAACCTTGTCACTATTTGATCAAGTGGCCTACTGCTGATAGATTTCCGTATGTACCAAGTACAGATCTACGCGCTCTTTCACTCCCTCTTACATATTCATTCATTTATTCTTTGGTGAGGGAAGATGGTCTCTGGTGTTCATTGACGATTGTACCTGGTAGACCAGAACCCACAGTGCAACATAATAAAATGCTTGATCCTTTCTGTCACTCCCAACCAGCGTGCGCCCTACGAAGACTGTATTCTTTCTTCTGCAGTGGGCATACGAACACGCATCTATCTGCATCTCTTTTGCCGCCACCATTTTCCGTCTGGGCCCTTTGCCGCAAATCCGTACGTACTGTGAGGTCACTTACATATTCAGGGTCCACTGGTTTCCTCGCCTATCGTCTCTTCTATTTTCCGCAAGCAAGTTGACGTAGAGATTTTTTCCCAGGCACAGCCGGCATCTACAAGAGAGCTTTTGCTTCCAAGGAAGCCAGCCAATTTGTCGATCGGCTCTTCTCCCAGTATTGGCGCTCCCAGAGTGTGCTCTCCAGCCTCGTAGAATGTTCTTTGTTCTCAACTCCTCCTTTCCCGGGGTGGGTGATCCCTTTGATGAGCTTTGCAAAGCGCTTCTAGATCCATTCCAATGCCTCTCTTCTGCGTAGATCTTACCTAATGGGGGTATTCACTGGCTATGTGGTTGGTTAGTTACCCAAGGTCCCGTGCATGTACGGATGTATTCACAGAACATATGGAAATCCCCACAATCATTGACAACTGGTGAAAAAAAATTTTCTAAGGGAAAAGAAAAAAAGAAAAAGAAAAAATCCCAGTTCTGTGGAATTCTTCAGCTGCGCAGAAAGGTGATCCGACAATAAGGGGGAGAGAGGAAAGATGAGAATACGAGAAGCGGGAATATACCTTGGTATTGGGACCGTTCTTAATTTTTTTTTTTTTTTCTACTTGAATTCTATATTTACATATAACTACCCATACGAACAAAGGTTTCAAAACAAGGACTTCCACGTTTGACCCATGAGGGAAAATGCAGAGTTACAAGTTTTGCTTTTACTTGGGAGAAAGCGGCGCGGAAAGGAATTGTACGTATCGAATCCATGATAGTTGATTGAGGGCGGGGAAAAAAGGGAACAAATTTGGCCAGAAGTCTTGGTTGGTGGGTGCGAGAGAAGAAGCCCTTTGGAGACTCGGTTCAGTCCGTTGCAATTAGCTGGCCGGATATCATTGATATACGGTTGAATCAAGCCTTCGGTGGCCCCCCACCCCCCCGGATTCCAAGCGTAGGTACAGTGCATGTACAGTACATCGACATACATTGCTCATGCGAGCGATGGCTATAAATACCAGTACTACCACGAGTACGTTTTCCATACTAGTATCCAATTTGCGGGATCTGTACAAGACGCATGCACAGATTATCCAAAGTCATATATATATATATGTATATAAGTATATGTATATATGTATATATGGGATGGACATGCGAGGACAACTCTGCTGCATGAAACATTCCCAGGGGTTTCTAACGGTCGAGATGGCACAGCACCCCGTAGAATAAGAAATCAGAAACGAAACGATGAACAAGCTGTTGACAAAGACAGCGGAAGGACCCCTAACTTCGCCCTTCAGTGGAAGAGAAAAAACTGGGGAACAGAAACATGGTACGTACGGTAAAAAGCCCCTACATCGCTTCACGCAGCCTTGCTGGGCCACGTCTTTGAAAGCTTGTTATTCTCAGCTGATGGGGAAAGAAAAAAAAAAAAAAAAAAAAAGGGAAGAGGAGGAAGAAGTGTCGAACGCTGGATCCACTTGCGCTTCATTTCCATTTCGGGGCATGAATCTAGATTTTTATTTATTTATTTTTTTGTCCCCTTTTTTCTTTCTTTTTCATCCAGGTGTAAGTAAAAGAGAAGAACGAGGTTCGGTGTAAAAATATGTCTGTTACGATACTGTATTGTTAGTTATCCAGGGTGATCGAGGATGGGCGTATGTCAGGTACGTATTGTATTATGGCCGTATCATATCAGAGCCATACAGATTTACACCAAAAAAACAAATACGTCGTATATTACAGCGCTTCTTTCTTTCTTTCTGTTTGTCAATGGAAGTGAGAAAGAGTAAGTACCGTTCTGGAATGACATTAATGGAATTAATGGAATTGCAATCGACACAGCCCAAGAAATGGGACGAGATCCATTTATCCATCTGTCCATCTGCCCATCTCTATAGATATAACTATGGATGTCAGGATAATCGTTTATTATTTAGTCCATTCCTCGCCCTCCCTGACCCCGTCCCATCATCCTCCGCGTCCATCATTCTCCGTCTTGTCCGTCTCTTCTCCGTCTTGTGCCCCGTAACCCAGATCAGATATAGCTTACGGCCCTTGTCCTGCTCCCTGCTGCTGGACCAATCCCGCAGCCGCCTGCCCAAGCCTCATCCGATCCCAACCTCCCCCCCCGGCCTGCGGAAAACACCTGAGGTTGGTAACTATTGCTGGTTTTGCTTTTTCTTCCCTTTTGGCTGGTTCTTTCGGTTCTCTGTTCGTCTTTTCGTCCTTTCGTCCCTTCGGCTTGTCCTCTTTTCCCTCTCTGTCTCCCTCTCCCACTGCCCAAAAAGAAACCATCCCCCGAACAAATTGAGTCTCTTCCTGGTCTTATCCCATCCCTCTTTTCTTCTTTTCCCTGTCCTCATCTCTTTCCCGTCCGATCCCTTAAACAATAAAATAAAGTAAGTGAAAATACATACAATAAATATCCTCTTCCTTGCACCCCTCCCTCTGTCGGCGACGACCTGGCCTGGCCTGTACTGTATTTTAGCTCAGCTGCTCGTTTGTTTCTTTTTTCTTTTTCCTTTTTCGCTCTCTTTTTTTCTTTTTCTTCCCCATCTGCTCCCCTCTGCCCATTGTTATTAAAACGACAACAGGAGCCAGCAAGTTTTGCGGATGCAGTGCTTCCAGTCGTAGTTGGCACCACCACCACCACCACCACCCAGCAGCAGCGCCGGCACACCAGCACCGCCATTTCTAGGCGTGGTCTCCACCTTGCCCTTCCCCAGCGTCCCCAGCGTCCCCAGCATCCCCAGCATCCTGCTCCTGCTCTGGCGTTTGCTGCTTCCACCTTGTTGTTCTGCTTCTCTTCACTCTCAGCTTCTTCTTCTTCTGCTACTATTGCTACTACTGCTGCTGCTGCCGCACCACACCCATACATGTCCCCTGTCCATTACTACTATCTTCCCTTGGTATCCTTCCCTTCCCCCTCACCCTCACCCTCACCTTCGCCGTCTCAACCCCCCTCCCAGCCTCCACTTTTCACTTACATGATCTCCTGCTAGGTTGGACCGGGAGCAAGGGATGTAAGGCCGATCTCCACCCACTCTGCTCTCAATTTTTTTTCTGCTCTGTTCTGGCTGCCACTCTTGCCCGCCCGCTCTCTCCGCTTTCCTTTTCTCTCTCATCTTCCTGTTTTCTCCTCCCAACCAACCTCCTCCCGTCCGTCCTTATTTTGAATTTATACGTCCATTCCCTCTCTCTTCTCTGCTCGATTTCCCCGTCCCGGTACTCGGGCCACTCTGGGCATAGCAAAGCCTGATTTATGATCCCTCCGTCCCCTCTCGGATTGGTGTGCTGACTGTATCCTCGCTGCATTCTCCGCAATAGATCGCACACATCCCCTCGCCCACATTTCATTCTCTTCACCTTTGACGAAAAGGAAAATCAAAGAGAGAAGGGGGGAAAAAAGAGAAAATAAAAGAAAATAACGATTAGAGAGACGTTGCTGAAAAGTCCTACGCAAATAATAATAATTAATAGAAGGACAGAAACGACCAAAAAATATTCGACAAGAGGAATCCCAAAGAAAAACAAAAGAAGAAAAAAATCCAATCCTTCTACGGCCTGCAACGAATGTTACGATAGCTACGAGAACGACCAATTCCCCCTTCATCCCTCTGTTACGTTCTGTCTGCGTTTTTTCGCATGCTCGTCCTGTTGTCCTGCAAATATTTCATCCCGCGGTCTGCACCCGTTTAGACGCTCGAACTCCGTTGCACAACGATTTCTCAAATCTTGCCAGCATCTCCCGATACTCCCTGACCGTTCGTTATATTTGCCTGAGATTTTATGCTCAAGTACTCCCGCTATCGCGATCCTCCCGTTTCTAGCTTAATATTTTGTTTCGTGGCCGAGCTTCTAACAGCCTCCAAGCTCCCGTCCCGTCGCCTTCTTTAAAACATCCACGCCGGACGAAAATACCCCCCCTCATGTTTCAATTCTGAGCCTGCAGTTTCCTTTTATATCGCCACACTTTGCCTCAGCTTCAAGATACCCACTTCGCGAGAGAAACTGCGCAAAAGTGTCGAAATCAAGAGAGATAAAAAAAGAAAAGAAGCCATTCTCTGTTAGAATTGCTCTCGAGACTCGTCTGCATTTGACGTTTTGTTTTTCACGATCATTTTTTCAACACGCCCTCGTCACTCGTAATCTTTAGCAACCTCTGATAGCTTTTGTCTGCCATCATTTTAGTGCTATATAACCTAGTCTGTTCTTATTCTGCTCGTTTATTTGATAAAAAAAGACTTAACGACGTCAAGATTCAACGAAACCCAACTCAAAGCACGACCCTCTGAACAGCTTGTTCCCTCCATATAATCCTCGAAACTACCCAGCGGCCGTTTGTTTTTCTCATGAAATAGCTTTTCTCGGTTACTTTGATCAGAAAACACCCTTTGAACCCACCCGGAGCTTGCTCTCTATAGACTTTTCTACCCTTTTTGATCCTGCTCCGCTCAACTCCCAAAATTCCAAGTCTACGTTGAGCCCCTATCATAACGTAGGAGACACTAATTGATCTCCTTACCCCCGGCCGAAACAATCGACACATTTTGGCTGCGAAAGTCCCGTCGCAATCGGCGTGACATCCAATTTTCCTCTTACAGGATCCTCTCGTCCTGTTTTAACCCGTGTGGTCTAATACCGAAAAGCTGGAGCTACCGTCGATCTCCCAGGTTCACACTCGACTCCCCACTGACATCCCCTGGTATAATCATCACGCCGCAGAACGACCTTTGATAAACGGTGACCGATTACCTGCGCTGTCCCTCTCTCACGCACAGCAATCCTCCTCTTCGGGTCGAATAGGCTCTCAAGACTCGTCGATATCAACTGTCTCATCGACTGGCTCGACCAGCGCCAGCTCCGTGCCCAGTTATACGGCGTTTCCTCACGCCCCCGCGGGCGAGGCCAAGAACCCTCCTCCATCGTCTGGTGACGGGGCTGGCGGGGTTCCTTCCCGGTATTCCCTGGAGTCCACTAACCAGCCGGATTATCTCGCTGGAGGAACTGTGAGTGAGGGGTATAGCCATACCCAAACAACACTTGGAAGCATGAATCAAACACAGCCTTACCTGGATGTACATGCATCACATTTGCCATCCGCACAGCCATACTCATCCCATAGCACGTCAGCTTCCGGTATTCCGCCTTACCAGTATTCCCAACCTCCAGTCCTGCAGCCCGGGTCGTCTTATAGCTCAAGTGGCGCCTCGTCGTACCCTTCTTATGGGTATCCCAATGGCGTTACCTCTCCACAATCTGCAACTCAAGCGGTTACAAATACCATGTCCTCCCATGTACCCGCTCAAATTCTTCCCTTACCTGGTAAGTTTTCCAATTATTTGTTTGTTACTATTTTTTTTTAGCTTGGTCATTACTCTGGGAGAGAAAGAAACCTCACTTGGTCTGGAACTACGCTAATCATATCTGGTTCAGCAATGACCGCAACAACTCCAAGCCCCCATTCATATATGCCAAGCCATGTCAGCCACGCCCAACCATATGTTCCACATACATTTGATACCACTGGTCAAATACCACCACCTGGTGCGAAACCGAGGGTTACGGCTACGTTGTGGGAAGATGAAGGAAGCTTGTGTTTTCAGGTGGAAGCTAAGGGTGTTTGTGTTGCGCGCCGGGAAGGTTCATACATCCTTATTTCATTTACCAACCAATTTATCCTTTTTTTAGCTGACCATTTATTTCATAGATAACCACATGATCAACGGAACAAAGTTGCTCAATGTTGCCGGCATGACAAGAGGACGACGGGACGGTATTCTGAAGAGCGAAAAAGTGCGCAATGTCGTCAAAATAGGGCCGATGCATCTCAAAGGCGTTTGGTATATATATATACATTTCACTTCATGGGTGTTGATATGTCAGAAGATTCCTCGCTAACTTGGTGATTAGGATCCCATTTGAACGGGCACTTGAATTCGCCAACAAGGAAAAGATCACAGAAGAACTTTATCCATTGTTTGTGCATGATATCGGAGCCCTACTATACCATCCCACCAACCCATCTAATAATAGAAGCGGCGCCCTTGCAGCAAGGAACGATCAGAGGCGCTTTGAAGCAAGTCAGGCTTCTCGATCGTCACAAGCTGGACAACCCCCACCTCTGCATCATCATCATTCAATGCATAACCCTCTTACATCCCACCTATCCCAACCTCCTCATTCCATGGGCTCCCATTCTGGGCATCCTCGCCCTGGGTTAGATCGTTCACACACATTCCCCACACCCCCGACCAGCGCATCCGGTCTGATGGGCATCGGAAGCCAAGGTGGATCTTATGAATGGTCTGGCCAAAATATGGGGACTGGCGTTCAGGGCTCACAGGCTCTTTCGATCGACACGGGTTTAACAAGTGCCAGATCGATGCCGACAACACCCGCCACCACACCCCCCGGAACCAGCCTGCAGAACATGCAGTCATATCAAAGCCAACCAAGCTATGACAGTTCGAAGTCATACTATTCCGCAGCCCCTACGTCTCAAGCGCAATATGCGCCACATAATACCATAACCCAACAGAGTAATACGTCGAGGTATGGACAGACAATATCCACGAACCCTTATGTCAAAAATACAATGGGACCTCCGTCAGGGCGGACGGGAGTGCCAACTACACCAAACTCCAGTGAAACCAAGGCTGACCAATATTCTCACAGCCAGGGAAACGGACAAGTGAGCCATGGACCGGGTGAGGGAGAGGCAGATCATGATAATGAACCCGAGTATATCAACGACACAAATGCTTCTTACAGTGCCAACCGTGGCTCATATGCGTACACCATCAGCACCGGCGCAGGCAATCTCAATGGAGAGCACTCTCACCTTTCCTCCGAGATAACTGATTCTTCCTCCCATCCAAACGGCTCTGATAGCAGGGTCACTCCTCGGACCAGTAGCCAATCGCAATGGACATCAGTATACCCTACCCCATCACGACCTGCAGCGCCTTCCAGCAATCTCTACAGTGTGATGAGCGATACTCGTGGTACCGCCACTAATGGAACGACAGGGGACTCTTATTCCACCTCTTCAAATGGTCCATCAGCTTACTCGTCAATGAATGGCTCTGGGAAACGTATGCGCGACGATGACAGTCAAGATCAAACTTCTCTGTCCGATACCCAGAATGGTGACAGCACCTACGAGCATAAACGTCGGAAAACGCTGGTTGACGGCGTTGGAGGCCCTGTCGGTGGCACACCACTTGGTATGCCGAAAGCGACTCCTGTCTCCCGCCGTCGATAGTCTCCGTTCTCTTTCTCTTTAGAAGCCACTATACGATTGATAACGTTCCCATGAGACATTGGTGAAAATAGAAGGTCTTTCTTTTCCTTTCCTTTGGGACGAGGAGGATATCATCAGCGCCGTGGAGTCGACCCACCAGCCGAGAATCTGGCTTTGTGGGTTTGAACGAGTTTTCGTTCTCATACAGTTTCTTCTTACTCAATGAACTTTCATTACTATGCAGATATCTACTCTGTCTTTTTTCCTTCATTCCTTCCTACCTTTTATTTTATTCCATTTTTTATTCAAACTTCATCTTTTGAACCAGACAAAGAGCCGCCATGATTCTCCTTTATTTTATTTTTTTCCCCTCTGATTTTTTGTATGAGTTTCAAAACGCTTTATACCTGATTGTAATGATTTGCTTACTATCACGAGATGCGTTTAGAAAAGAAGATTACGACACTCTACGCAGCGAATCAATTTTGTTTTGTGTCCCTCCTTTTTCCGTTTTAACTGCTTTTGCCGGTTGTGTTATTTTACGTGGGAAATGTCTACACCAATCTTATCCGCCCGATTAGCACGGTCCATCGAGAGGAATTTCACAATATTCTCTCTCACTAGATACGGAGATGGATATGGCTATCTCCCTTGGGTTGTGTATTGTTTTCATCGAAATGCGGTCGTCCTACACTCCTTCACTTTTACCCTTGCCATTTCTGCACATGGCCTTCTTTTATCATCTTTTCATCACCCTGCTTAATGCTCTCGGCTTACAGTTGTTTCCCCATCTTCAACTCTCTCCTCCATACTCTACCTTCCCGTCGTGACTTGGCAGGATAAAACTGTGTGATACATCTTCTATAATGACACACATGTGAAAAAGCAGAAAGGGGAATAAGGAAAACGAAAACGAAACGAAAAGAAATGGGAAGAAACCCTCTCAAGCAAATCCATGGCTTTTCGTCCCCTGGTTTACATTTGATATTTTTACTTTTTATTTTTATCACTTTAGTTTTTATTTTATTTTTTATTTCTATCTCCTCATTAAACATTTAGGCTTATCTTATTTATTTGCATTTGGTTTCACTTTCTGTCTCTCTTCTTTCTCTTCTTTAAATCTCTGTTCGCCTAATCGTGCTTTATTTTTCGCTTTACTACTCTTGTTTCTTGATTGTTTTGTGTTGTCTTCGCCTTCTCTGCGTGTGTTGGCCTTTTGGAAACAGGTTGAGTTACTTTTCTCCTCTCTCCACAGACCCCTTTTTTGAAAAGATAAAATCGCCAACGTCTTATGAAATGAATGATCTCGCAAACCTCATTTTTACTGTTAATGTGACTTTTGTTAACTGTTTTGTTATCCATATTTCGTATCGCTATTTCATTTTGTTTCACTTCATTTCTGCTCTTCCATCTCCCACAAAAAATTATTACCGTGTTTATTCCGTTTTCTTTTTTTTATCATTACTATTTATTTTAACGACTGTTATGACACGAATCTCCTTGGAAATTTAAATATCATTTTTGTGTCTTTTTTGTCTGTCCGTTTTTGATACAAGTTTGTGTTTGGGTTGTCTTCCAGCCACCCCAATCCTTTTTATAAAGCAATATAATGAATGATAGTGATATTAGAGATGTCCCAGTCAGGAAGAATGAACTCTCAGCTCATTTATATGTATTTCTTTGTCCTGCAAAATAATAAATCTGCTTCTAGCCTTCACTTCATTTTGACAACCTATCCACACTGTAGAGAAGGCGAAATTATCTGTTTAATTTTTACTGACCAAAGAAAGGAGTAACCAAATAGCTCCTTGGTTTTTTTCAAATGTTATTATTCTTAATTTTTAGAAATCGTTTTCCACCCCGAAGCTGCATATTCTCCTTTCTCCTTTCTACGTTTTCTCGTACCTTTTCTTTCCTCTCGCATTTATTTATTTATTGTCTACTTCAATATCATCCATCACCGTTCCATCTGATTAATTGAGGTTATATACCAAATTTAGTACTTTTTTTTTTTTTTTTTTTTTTTTGGGTAGGGGGAGATTACGGGGCGAAATGCGCTCTCTCCATGTGCTGGACAAATACATGTACAGTAAGTACTGTACACTGTGTACAGCATCTCGTGCACCCCAGCTAGCGGGCTGTTCGTTTCACATTGATCGATCGGGCTGCGGCAAATGCCCAAGCCAAAGAAAGAGGGTGCGGATGGGATGGGATCTACCGTACATGAAGTTGTGGTTGGGTGTGGATGTGGATGTGGACGTGGCGGTTGGTTTGGACAGTTGCATTCTTCTCAACAGTTCAGTTTGAAATTGCTTTGTTTGGCCTCTGTTGGAATGGTTGACAACCAACTCAAACAACCTCAACTTTTTATGTTGGTTTTTTTTAATGTAATTCTGTTTTTCAAGAGAATGGGGAATAAAGTTAATGAGAAAGCGACAGACCTCAACAATGGGTTTTCTTCATTAATTAATGCACACACACACACACACACATATGGTACGAATGCCAGCCAGATAGAGAAGGCTACACGTAGCAGGGCGGAAAGCTGCTTTGCCGTACTAAAAATTGAAGTCTTCCCCCTTCCCTCCCCCTCCTCTGCATATTTTTATCCCCGTATTTTTCTCTTTTCGCCCTCTCAATCGAAAACAGGAGAGGAAAGGAGAGGAGCTCCAGAAAAGATATCCTTTTCTTGATCCAGATTATTGAATATTTCATTTTATCCATCTCCTTTGTTTGATTTACATACAATACAATAAATACGACAGGACGATGGGGGTGGGTTGATATATACATATATACATATATAATGCCGATGTGTGCAAGAAGATGCGAGAGTAGGAATGAATAAAAATGACATGCAGTGGGAAGATGGAAAAATGATGATAACCCATCCATCCACCTGCCCCTGCCTCTGCCTATCCGTGTTTTCATCTGTTATATGATGTGTGTCGACAATGCATGGGGTAAAAGGGAAGGAGGGAGGCCCGGGGAAAAGGATACTAATCATATCAAACCAACCGCGCGACTAAGTAAATATATATATACATATTATGTGTATGGCTGTATGTGAGGAGGGAAGGGGAGTGTTGATGTGGAAAAAGCACTAGTTCAAGAAAACTGTTTTCCGTTTTCCATTCATTCCCTCCCTTTCCTTTCAAGGTTCAATCAATCAAACTCACAAATCAATCCCAATCGAGTCGATTTCCCCTCCTCTCATCATTATTCCCGTCCTCTGTCCTCCTCATCATAATCGTCATCGTCACCACCATTATTACCCATCTGCACCACCCCTTTCCCTTTCCCTTTCCCCTTCTCGTTCCCTGTCCCTTGCTCGGTCGCGCCTACGCCAACACCCACAGCGGCGGCGGAAGTGATACTAGACCCCCTCCGCCCCTGGCGCATCCTTCGCTCCCGCCGCTCCCGCCTCTCATTCTCCGCGCTCATACTTGATGCGAGAGACGTTGCGGATGATGCTGGAAGGGGTAGCGATGGGATATACGCTGATGCCGCGCGGGAGGAGGGTGAAGGGTGTGTGGAGAAGGGGAGTGGTGGAGCCTTTTCGGGAGTGTTTGGGAATGCGTATGGGTGTCTAGAATGTGATTCGGTGGGGAGGGAGGGAAGGGGGTGAAGTTGTTGTTGTTGAGATGCCATCACTGCCGTAGCTGTAGCTGTAGCTGTTGTTGAAAGAGTTGCTGAGTGGGATGGGATATGTGGGAGGGAGCGCGAATGGGGCGGTGGTGAGGGCGCTTTGATCTCAGCTATTGTATCGTCGTATTTTGGTGGTTGTGAGTGGGCCGGAAGAGTGGGCTGTCCATGGTGGAGCGACTCCAGGTAGTTCGAAGAAGCAATAGTGGCCGTTGCATCTTCTCTGTCTTGTGAAAGCATTCGTGTATTGTGTGGCTTGTATTCAGTTCTTGATTCTGTGGTAGAAGCACTTGATGTTGATGGAGATCGACTGGGGGGTTGTTGATATTCTGCCCGGAGCATGTCGCTTTGAATCGCTTGCTTATCAAACGTTGGAGTCGTAGGTGTAGGTGTGGGTGAATAGTCATGGAATTGCGTCTGCCCTTTTAACTGGGAACTGTCTCCCTTCACAAGGCCGAGGGATTCTTCCTCCGTGCCGTCTCTCATCATACTACGTTTTTGCTCGTTTTGGTGATGATTCCGCGACGAAATGTGGCCAAACGCAAAAAGACGATTTCCTGGAGAGGTAGAATGTTCTGCCGTGTTACCACCACCATTATCGTGCGGTGGCTCGTTAGACATCCGTCGACTAAAAAAGTTAGAGAATGAGAACTGTCGACTTGGCGCATGATGCTGGACTTGTTCTGGAAGAGTATTGCTACGATTGGGCGACTGTGGGTTGGAAGAGCCACCGGATTTGACACTACTCGCCCATTGAATCGTCTGCACTGTTCCGCTTCGGTTCCGGCGATGGTTATGTTGAAACGCTTCACCAAGAGAGCCGGATGCCTCGGCTTCAGTCATACCAGAATGTAAATCACCTTTTTCATCCGTCTCACTTGCGATCGTGGTTAGCATCGGCCGGATCGGGCTATGCATCCCCTGGGATGAATGATTTGGTCTCCAGTGGGGATGCAGCCCACTGGATGTGCGACTGCGAGCAAAGAACGAACTTTTGCCACTCCCTTTGGTGCTAGGTCTGTGGTGGGGAAGCTCTTCATCAACAAAATCAGGGAATTTCGACATGCCCAGAGGCGGGTGACGGTTCGTTATCCGGCGTGAAGGGATACTTAGGGGGCTTTCTCCGACAACAGTCCTACGTCTCCGTAGCCCGTCCCATTCGATCACTTCTCCTTCCCGCGGTGGCTCCAATTCATCAATTTTTCTCTCCTCATAGTATCTCCTAGCTTCCTCCTCCTCCATCCTCTGTCTTGCACTCGATATCCGACGAATAATGGCAGCTGTGCCACGAATGGCGTCGGCCTTTGGTTCAGATTCCGGTTGCTCCTGCTCAGCAACTTCGCGTACCTGGTCTAAATCGCCTTTGAAAATAGCAGTATCCGGAACGTCCTTGGCGGATTTTGAGAGCTGTAATAAGACAACGCCAGAACAAATTTGAAGAAAACCCATGACAACTGTAGTAATGTTAATTGCAGTCCCCTTGAATCCTTGAAACAGAATTGCAGACGTAACGATCGTAGCACTCGTAAAAAAGACGTAGTATGTAGGGGTAACCAACGCCGCATTAAAAATATTCAACGCTTTCTGTAAGAAAAAAAAGACATCAGAAACATGTATGTGATTAGATAGACCGGGGAGCGGTGGATGGAATGCACGGATAAGATAGCAACTTACATTTAAATAAATGATCTCAGTCAACAGCGTCCCAATAACAAATACCAACAAAACATACAGAAACCACTCCTTAAATTGAGATATACCCTGGATCTGAGAGATGATAGCAGCTCCCAGCCCCTGAGTCGCGACAACGCTCAGGCCACCGATGAGACTGCAGATGCTGAGATAGACAAACATGCTCTTGTTGCCATACCGGGGGCCTGCCCAGAGTGCAACAAAGGTGCATCCCACAATAATGAGACCAGCCCAAGTGAGAAAACCGGGAGCGATGACGAAATGTTTCATGTCCTGGATGGTCGCGACGGACGACTGAGAGGGGGCATTCATGGCGATGACGACGGAGCCGATGATGCAATTGAAACAGCCTACTTTGCCCACGAAACTCAGGCGTTCCTTGAGGAAGATAGCAGAAAGGATGGTGGTGACGACAACGGAAAGGGCACCAAGGGGTGTCACTAAAATTGCGTCGACAAAGGCATACGCGACGAAGTTGAATATTTCCCCGATAATCATTCTGATTACGTTAGTTTGTTTTCCTTTTTGACATCCACACACGCTCATCCATATATTGATATATTGATATACCCCCACAATATCGGAGCTGCGGCTGTGAAACAAAGACGAAAACCAACTTACAACGTCATCCCGCCCCACCACCACCACACCTTCAAATACCCCATCCCCTCTCCAGGATCCTCATTATACTTGACATTTGCCTTGAGCAAGCCGACCTTTTTCAGCACAAAGGAGACGCCGATGAAAAGTCCCGAACCGACAGCCAGAGAGATCCCAACGGCCTTGAAAGCGGGAGGCCTGCCATCTGGGCCACCGAGCGCGCCACCGCCAGACCGCGCATAAATTGAATGAACATCTGTGGTGTCAAGCATGATAAATATATATATAAATATATATATATTGGTGATGGAGAAAGGGTGAAATAGAACCTCAATTTTATTCGGTGGGAAAAAGACACCCGAGAGAGCCACTGAGGTTTTATTCTACCACTCCTAAGTTCGGGCTGGTGTATGTGGGATCACGGTTCCTTCTCTCAACTGGAGGTCAAGCTTATGCTGGGTATTATTTGGCGAGAAGTTAAAAATCGAGGGGGATGCGGTCGAGGGAGGGATGAGAGGGAAGAGAGAGAGACAGAGAGAGAGAAATTTAAACTGTCTAGTCTAGGCCATTGCTCTCAGCGATATTTGTTCGAGAGTCTCGTCGCAGCAGCGGATTGTGGGGTGTCGTGGATGGAATGAATTCGGAGGTTGGTCAGAAAGGAGAAATATCAAGGAACAATATTTCGACAAACGACATCAGCAGCTGAGAAGTGGCGAGGATCGGTATATTATTAGGAAGACAGGTTTGCTGCAACGATCAGCGGTTCAGTTCAATCCATGCAATGCGGCCCGTCGAGGGTTGGCAGCCAGTCAACAACTATGCGGTGCCAAGCTGGTGAGTCTATCCTCTTGGTGCGGCACATACCTGAGATATATAAATTGATACGGCTTCGACTGATACAGATGTTTAACAAACGACCAGAGGCCGAGTCTAAAGCGGAGGAAGAAGAGGAAGAAAGCGAAGTGAGGAAAAGGAGAAGTACTGCACCCCCTGGGCAATCCTAGGAATCAGCAACGGACTGCAATATCGCCGAAAATAGTTCTGTTTCGCTTGGTGGGGAGTTTGGATGTAAAATGTGTTTCTGTTGCTTTTCGCCCAACCGCGCCTTGACGATGAGACTATTGATGTGTCCAGCAGATCAGATCGGTGTTCTTCCGCATGTTTTGAAACACAATAAATAGCAATCCGCGAAGGAATAGAAACCTCGATTCTTCCTCGAAACGCCCAAACCCTGTCAACAAAAAGGGTTCAGTCCAGGTTGTTGGTTGGTTGCTGGAGAGATGGCTGGCTTAGTCAGCAACCATTGTTGAAGGGCGACATGTAACTATGAAATGGTTGAAGTAGTTTTCTGTTTTCATTTATCATTTATCATTTATCATTTTTCCAATCCCATATCATCTCGTCTCATCTCATTATCGTCTTCATGATCGTGCCGAAATAGTCTCTCTGTTATATACAAACATCAAAAAGGAAGGTTGTCCCCGCCATCACCAACCTCAAAAACAAACAAAAAGATAAATACAATATATATAAAGCCCTCCATACCAATACCCAAAGCCTTGTATTATCATATCACATCACATCGTGAAACTTATATATATTATAAATATGTAGAAGGCAAAGCAAACAATGAACATGGAAAATCCCAGGCAGAACGAATATGAGGCCTCACTCTATGCAGCTGCAGCTGCAGCTGCAGCCTCTCATCCCTCTCTCCCCAGAGGGTTTCTTTTACTCCTTTTCACCGCCGAGTGTAGGTCGGCTTCCGCGCCTTATTGACTAACGGCGGTGGCCCATCACTAGGGTACGGCAACTTCCAAGCACCGTTTCCAATACCGGCCCCGGGTCCATTACCGACGCCGACGCCACTTTGCAAACTCCCGTAATAATTGCTATTCGGCCTATTCGGCGCCCGCGGCGGGATCGGCATGGCCGCCGGTGCATAGCCATGCGAGCCAGCACCAGTACCAGGATCAGCGCCGGAAGGGGGACTGAGTCCATAGCCATTTTCGGGGTACGGTATGGGGGTTTTAGGAGGTAGCGGTGGTGGAGGTGGTGGATGGCTTGGTGGTGGGCTGAGGGGCGGTGTGTGGGAGTGGAGGACGGAGACGTGATTATGGTTCAGGTTCTGGTGGCTGCTTTGTGGCCGGGTCGTTAATGCCTGTGGGAGGGGGTTTGTGAACATTTCAGAGCTGATGCGGGGAGAAGAGGAGGAGGGATTGTTGTAACTGCTTCGTGGGCGGCTATTGATGCTTTGTTGGTTTTGTTTATCGTTGTTGTTTAGACGGGTTTGAGAGGTAAAGGGGGATGATTGATTGTGGGTAGGTGAGGATGGGGCTAGGATCGGGATCGAGGTCTTGCGGCTAAAGTTGAGGGGTTGCGGGTGATCATCGGATGTGAGGACAGTGTAATTTTCTGGTGAGATTGCGCTCGGGATTTGTGAGTAGCTGGAACTTGGGAAACGTGGAGGGTTGGAATTAAACGTATTATTCGCGGACGAAAACGGGATAAAGTCTTCACCGGGGAGTTCGACTGCGTCTGGGAATTCAATAGCGGATGGCTGTGAAGAGCGGGGCGGGATCGTTTGCGGTGAGGAGAGGGACATCGGGATAGGCGGAACCGGTCGGTGGAACTGCCGTTGGAATACGTCCCCGTCCTCTAAGCCTTCTTCAAAACTGTTGGAATCAGCAGGCCAGTCCATTCCTCCATTGCCCGCTGCCAGCCTACGATGAATAAAATGGATCTTGGCCAACTTGGCAGCTACATCCTGGTTCATCTTCTGCACATCGCTCCGGGAGAGATAATTCCGAGTGCTTGTGCTAATTTCCGCCAGGCGATTCCATTCATTCATACCAAACTCGCCCACGCCAACTTCAACGTTGAGACGGACGTAATTTTCTAGCGGGACGTTGCGTTTTCTGAGATGTTCTTTCAGCATGTATTGGTGAGTCTTTTCGCAGCCTTCGATTTTCGCAATCAGACGTCTTCGGGCCTCAGCGAAATTGCCCAGGGACTCAGCAAAAACATCCTCCCACCACTCGTGTTGGATATGACTTGTTCCGGGAGGCCTTTTGCCTGTTCCAACGCTGACGAAAAGACCTACTTCTCTGCCTGGCCATTCATTTACAGCAGCTTCATCGAGAATCATCGGTGCGGGATTATATTTACCAGCACCCTCGTCAATGAAAACATGTTGTCCTACTAGGATAGGTTTGAAGGCCAGCCCTGTTGCGCATGTAGCCCGTCCAGCTTGCCAGATTGTACAGTTGAATTCTGGTGGAGGCTCCTTTCGCGAATCGTATGATCGTAGCAAAGTTGGAGTTCCGTTCATCGGGGTCCCCTTGTAGACTGCCACGACCGCGCTGATGGAACGTCAGAGATTTATAGACACATATATAAATATATACAGAGCAAAAATGAGAAATAAAAAGAAAGAAAGAAATTAAAAAAGAAAGAATGGAAGAAGGAAGGAAACCAACGTCTTCGTCCTATTTTCCCTCTTATCATAGAGCATTGCATCCGCATTCCCCCAGCTCGGCCCATGGATTCCCATAGACCCGCGCGAACTCACTGGCGACCGGACTGGCGATGCACCAATCGTATTAACACTCGACCGACTTGTCCGTCGCTGCAGCGTGTGAGAGGACTGCGGGCGCGGTACCGGGCCATGCAGAGAGACGGGCTTTGCAGGCATGGGCGAGCCATCATTTCCCTCATCTGCAGCAACAGTATGTTCCCATACGCACTGGCGGATGGCCTCTTCCAGCTTTGAGGCCTTGAAGAGAGTTGACCGATAGGGAATGCCGGCAATGGTCTTATCGGTCTCGAAGACCCGCCTGGTCATGCGCACGTATACATCCTTGCACGTCTCCAGATCCAGCCGCAACCGACCAAGCATGAGCGCTATGAGTCCTCCCGTGCCAGTGCCGGCAATGAGGTCGAAATGGTCGCATGGCTTCGGGATTTGGTTACGCGAGGGGGCTTTGCCCTCGCATTCGACGTAGGTGCGGTGCATGAGTTCTTGGAGGAGGATGAGCATTGAGTATCCACGGATGCCACCGCCATCTACATATGTTTCACACAAAAAGATTTCATTGTAAGTAAATTGATTTCTCCGGCAGAGCCATTTGGCATGATTTGGATACACATTGTAGGTCGTCAGGAGACCAGCATACCTAGTGATAGAACCCGTAGTGGGGGACCTCTGGTGGTATCCTTGCGACGGAGATGTAAAGTATCCATGATAATGTCTTGAGACTGGGAGTACAACAGGAACGCGGGACCTCCCCCCGCGATCCACGGCGCCGGAAAGGCTATTAAAACGGGAAGCCAAAGGTTTATTGTATGTGGATATGTGCAAATTCGTTTGCAGCGGTAAATACCGTTTGCTTAATGTTTGTAGGTGTGCCGGAGGAGAAGGACAGAGGGAGCACAAGGCAGAGGTGTGGGAAAACGCACACACGCACTACAGTTGACGGGGATAGAAATCAGGGGCAAACGAGAAGTGGTGGGGGTGAGATTGGGGGTAATATTCGGACTTCGCAGGCTAGTTGGGGGTCCGTGTAATGTGCGTGAAGGTGAGCTTTTGGACGATGGACGGACGATGATGGTGGTCGTGGTGGTGGTGAGGCTGAGCAAAGCCGCGGCTAATCCCTGCGGCTGCTCCTGCCAACGACGTAATCCATTCAAATCACTCAAAGTACCGTCAATGTCTTGTCAGGCCGGAGTTCCACACACGCACCCATCCAGGATACTTGTGATTGTATTGGCCTTACTATGTGCCGGCCAGATATGTTTTATAAGTTGAAGGCTATTTCCCTGCTCCTTACAGATGGAAATACATAAACGAAAATTCAATCCTCGACAGGACCATGGAAACTCTCACGGGCCAAAATGGAGGACCATGGATACCGAGATCTCCTTTCCTTCCATGTTTTAGACCCAAGACCATGGATTTGGCGAATCCGATCTGTAATTGTCGAGTTCGCTTTCTCATAAGTGGACAGTCTTCCACCCACAACTGGGAGATGGATTTTCGATATCAGGGCAAACATTCTGACTATGACGACACTTTCGCAAAAAAACGCTCAGACCCTACGTCGTCGATCCGTTGGCTAGGTCTTAGGTTTCCCTCAATCAATGACGGTGATGAGTTTGTCCATGCAACGACGCCAGACCTACTCTAAACCTACTTTCAGCCCTCCCGCAAACAATGTCATGCATTGTCAGCCTTTGGATTGTGACAGGTGTGGCGGTGCAGAGACAGGTGACTATTTCAAGTTCGCCCCTTGGACATTTGTTCGAGTGGTCCAGAGCATCTGTGCTGACAGAGGAGGGGCAAATTCCAAGATTTGTCCGACCGTCTACCTTCCTACAGACAGACGGCTATGATCGCCTCACTCCACCCATTGCCACGTTTAAGAACGATTTAGGGAGTTAGTTTGGCAGGAAGAACAGTACGGAGGTGTGGATGGTAAGCATCTTACACGCCCCTAAACGGTTGGGGGTAGGTTTAGAGGTTAGAGGCCTAAAACTTGATTATCAAATCAGCATGAAGAACCCATAACCACTTCTGTGAGGACTGGCTTCAATCTCTAGTGTGGGCAAACCTTTTTTTTCCACGCCTACTTAGAGCTCTAACTTGTAGTTGTGCGTATCTGCAGGAACAAGGGCCGCCCAGCTAGCGATTGCCGATGCTATTCTCCGCAATTCAATGATTTGCTTTCTCTCCTCATCTCGTCTGGCCATCTGCCACAAGTAGCGGCTTCAAGCCACAGTATCAAGCTAATGGGGGATCATCAAATCCTTGAGCAAAACAAGGAGATAGAGTCCCATCCACCCTTAATTTCTTTTGCTTCTTTTTCCCTGGTGGGAAAGAAAACAAGAACTTAGGGTTGCAATGGGAGAATCTCTCAGAATGAGAAGCCAGTTTAACCTCCCCCTTATAAGGACGGAAATGCTAAATTTGTACCCTAGCCACCATTGATCAAGATTCAAGAGAATACTTTATTTTCAGAAAAAACCATCGCAATTTTCATGCTTCTTATATCATCTTTCGTATAAAATGTGGAATTCTTTTTCTATGATTATATACTCTTCATCCTACGTAGATATAGAGACAAATTATGTGGACTGATGGACAGAACATCTACAACAATTGCCTCCTCAAACAGCATATCTTGGCAAGGTGATCACAGAATTTTCGGATGCGTTGGAGAAGCACACTCGAAACAAACATAGGGAGCTTCGCGTTGACATTCCCAAGCCCAGCGTAAGAAAGAGACTCCCTCGAGTTCAAAAAGGTCTCAAACAAGTATCTCTCAGAGATTCCGCTTTGCTTTTGCACCTTTGATTCACCATGAATAACTCCAAAATACCATCCTCTGTCCCGTGAGAGCTACTTGTCCACACGCTTCAAACACGATTTTGGTGAGTATATATGACACTCGGTGCGATGCCGGCGGTTTTCCCCATGGAGATGGGTATCTATGCCATCGCTTGTCCCGCACATTGGCGGTCAACTGGGTGCGTGTAGACTTTGTTCGTGTTCTGACTTCCTGAGATGGTATGAACGGACATCCAGGTTAGAAACAGGCAAAGGTTCGTGAATGTTTATTGCCAAATCCCCTGTTGACCAGGAATGATGGCATCGCCCTGAGGCTGTGGGGAACAAAGGAATGATTCACTAGCAAGCATCCCGAAGTCAGTTTTGTCTTGGATAAAGTATCGCAGTTAGATGTCCAGACGCGCCCAAACAAAAGGTTCCGTACTATTCATCAGTCAGTTCAGAAATAAGAATTGCAGCTGTTCGCTGTATCTCCTATGCTGAACACAGCTCATGAGTTTCAATCGTCGTGAATGTGTTGAGACTACCCCACTCGCCTTTCAACCCTGTCGAAAGGATATCACTGTGATACTGGCCTCAGGTCAGAATTTTCTGATGCTCCGTTTCAAAGAAAGCAAGAAATCCTTCCAATAATGAAATTACGAGGTCTAAATTGGGACTCAGATACGAGATGGAACATCCGATGAACGACTCGGCGCTACTCAGCAATCTCCAAACAACACGGGACGGGCAATGCTAAATAAAATACGAGATGGAGACTCCTGTGGTGTCCACTACAAATGTATATAAAAGTGAACGGCATCTCGATAAAGGGTCCATCTACAAAATGCCATTTATCAACAAAAAACTCTCTCTCAACGTTTATATCCAATTTCTCACAAAAATGGACTTCTTCAGCCTCTTCGTCACTTTACTCTGGTGCCTCCCCTTTCTCTCCACAGCTTTCCCCGTCGCAGACCCTGTGGCAGAGCCTGAAATGCATCTAGAGAAACGCAAATCGGCGCAAACCTGCAAGATAGTCAATCTCAACAAAGGCCAATACGTTAACTGTCGATACGGGGCGACCACGAAGGCGGGAAATATCTTTGCATTCAGCAAGGGCGACAAACTTATCTTCTCCTGCAAAAAGAAAGGGCAATGTGTGAAGGGTAATTGGTAAGTTCCAGAGAAAGAGAGAGGGAAAAAAAAGGGGTGGAATGAGGCAAAGGAATAGAAGAAGGAAGCTAAGAACTGCAGTACCTGGGATCGAGTAACCCTGTACGGGACTACATGTTATGTCAATGGATATTTCACGGATAATAACTGCTCCAGTAGTATGTTTCCCGTTCTTCCCTCCTGCAAGACAACAGAACTAACGATGACCTTAGAAAAACTCCCAAAGTGTTAGAACGCTTTCAGGATACTCAACTCGATCGGTACGCATATCCGAACCCCGTGGCTGATGCAAGTTGACGGAGAAGCGATATTGTCGTGTATATTGTTATATTGTCAGTCATATTTGTATATATAGTGATTTCTCAGGCCTGAGGTTTGTTTTTTGCATTCCAGACAACTGTGAAGCATCTTGAATACTAGCATAAACTATGTAATTTGACTTAGGAAGGCAAATATTAAATTTCTGTAAAAAAGAGATATTTTCCGTCCATGATCATTTTATCATCTTCGGCATTTTTCCCCATGTTTGTTAGGTAGGGGAGGGAGATCCTAGTTCGAAATATTGAAAATCTAGGCAAATTTAGGCGATAGATGCCTAGAACTTGGCTGGCTGATTAGGCCTCCACTCTTTCCTCGCTTCCCAAGTGCAAGCGTACAGTCTGTGTGCAGGTCCAAAACCATTAGTGATGCCCTCCCGTTCGGTGGAGACGATTACGGGGACCTTCGACAGGACCTGGCAGATCTGAATGTATCTGTGATGGCTGAATTCCAACATTTGTTGCAGCAGAAAGCCATGTCATTTCATGAGCGAGTCTTAGCTTGGATGCTTGCACGAAATGGATATTCCGCATCGTGACCCCTTTCCACAAAATATCATGGGGTCGAGCAATCGATGTACAGTACGTTTCTTGTTGATTTCAACTCAACAAGGTTGTAAACATCACAGTCTTCTTTATCTGGCACAAAAAGAAAGACTTTGAGAAATTTAAGAACGGTCAGGACAGGAGCAGTTGTTTGAGCTCCGCTTGTTTCGTCTTCAGAATGTAAGAATTATCCACTCCCTCTGGCCCGTTTGCGAGTGGATATGAAGCTTATTCCTGCTATATCAGTTGAATCGACACGAAGAATTGACATTTGGTTCTGCTTAAATAAGGAAGAAGCGTTTGGGTGCGCTATAGATTCCTGGGAAACTGAATTTACCCAGTAATCAGGTGAAAGGCTTCGATCATCTCCGCAGATGTACATATTGTTTGGCTGCTTGAGGGTGCTTTACGAAGTGCATGTCTGACTTCAATACTGTTTGCAAGGGCTATTTACTGTGAGGAGGAATGATCATGAGGTGAGGAACAAGATGTCATTTCTGACCAGGACATATCTAAGGATGCCCTAGGATACTATAGCAGTGATCAAGCTGGAATAGATAGACAGATTGCATCCATTTTTCAATCAGGTCTACTTGCTGTCTTTCAAATGGCAGTGACAATCTCCTCTCTGAAGACCATGATATAACTAGTAAATGAATCCCTTTGAAGGAAAATGTTCCAAGCTTGGTTAGGCGCCGAGCCTGAATACCCATGAGCCCACGTAGCTCAATGGTCAGAGCGTGCGGCTTTTAACCGCAAGGCTGCGAGTTCGACCCTCGCCGTGGGCTTATTTCGATCTTCCTTTTTTCTTGCTCTCCTCCCTGTTCCTTTTAATGGTGCAGAATTGGCTTTCACTGTTCACATGAATGAACATTCTGTTGGGACAAAGGAGGAGGATGACATGGCGAACAAGAACAACATGGGGCACGTTTCCAGCATCGTTGATTCCTCTTGCTCTACTTCTGAACCGCGGCATTTGCTGAGGCAGTCATTTGTGGCATGATGTGTATGTATGTATGTTGTATGAAACCGAAAGCTTTCCACGAGACTGAAATGAAACGTTTCCGATGAGTACTACCGGGAACAGTTTGCAAGAACCATATGTATGCACATGTACAGTACATGTTCCCTCCAGCAGGGTGCGAGCGTTGATGGCTTCCTCCTGCGGCGTCGACAGATTGGGGAAAGGGGGAAAGCGTTACTTTTGAAGCTGATCAGGATGTATATCGAAGGGCGATTGGGGTTATTGGTATCCCATGTCGAACTTGATTGAACAGACGAGGTTTGTGCGGACCGAACAGTCATAGAGTCAACAGTGCAAATCAAACTGGAATACTAAGGCTTTCCTTGAGTGAAGGCTACCTACCCCGCCTACCTGCGCCCTATGATTGACATTTCTCTTGTTTTATACGGGGACAGCAAAGTGCGTTTTGCTTGAAGAGGAGAAAAAGGAACGGCCAACACCAAGCACTGCAGTCCTGAAATAGAGCTGCAAATCTATGATGCTATGTTGAAGGAAGACGTTTGGTGCTTCGTATTGGCCCTGGCTGGATTATTTCGGGTCTTTCGGAGCTCGCTCTCTCATCGACTCTCATCTCTCAAAGCAGAGAGGAAAACGTTTGAAATTTTAAGGAAATACAAAGACGAATCTTGATCTAAGATTTCGAACATGAAGATAACCCAGGTAAGTTTGAAGTTTTTACAGATATTATTTTATTATGTTTTTAAAACAAATAATAATCCACGTCTATTCTGTGGACGGATGATTTAACAATACCAATCTGAACATAAAATATCTATCCATCCTCGAAAATGCAGGCAACATGATAGCTAAAGAAGAAATTTTTATCTTGAGTCTACCACAGACAAAAATTATATATACGTATACTCATCTAACGCCCCCCAACAGCTCTATATCTATCCCATAAAATCCCTCCGCCCCACCGCACTTGTCCGGTCCCGCGTCACTCGCCATGGCCTGGCCTATGACCGCCACTTCATGCTGCTCAGAGTCCAGCCTGACAAAAGCCTGAAAAACATGCAGGTCTGCAACATCCAGCAAATGGCCCTGTTCTCCACAGATGTGGTATTCCCCGGCGAGTCTGTGGATGGAGTCGCCACGGAGGAAGGCAAGATCTTGGTCAGATATCAAGCGCCCATGGGGCATCCTGACCGGGATGCTATCAAGGAGTTGGAGATTCCCCTAGAGCCGACAGACCTCCAGGGCCTAAGGGTCCTGGAGGTCGATATGTACAACAGCAGGACTCAAGCTTACGAGATGGACAAGAAATATTCGGACTGGTTCTCTGAGTGGTTTGGGTTCGAGGTTTTGTTGGTGTATCTGGGCGGGAACCGGAGGCCTGTACTAGGTAATGTACCTCCCAACGCTGCGACGAAGAGAGCAGTAGCAGGTGCATCTCAGCCTGCCTCGAAGAATGCAGGCGGTGGCTGGATATCGAATATCGCCAAGTCTCTGTTGTATCTCGGAAGCGCCACTCCCTTTGCAAAAAGGGAGGGTGACGAAACCGACGAGTGGATCACCTTCGCAGATATGGCGCCGTACCTCGTCGTTTCGGAAACATCTCTGGAGGAAGTATCCGACCGGCTTCCCGAGGGCGATACGATGGACGTGACCAAATTCCGCCCAAATATCGTCATATCCGGCGCCGAGGAGGCGTACGAGGAGGACTTCTGGGGGGAGATCACAGTCCAGGCTGATGTCAATCTCATCCTAACAGCCAACTGTGGGAGGTGTGTTAGTATCAACGTCGACTATGACACCGGCGCACCGGGCAGCGGCGAGGCGGGAACCATGCTTAAGAAATTGATGAAAGATCGTCGAGTTGATAAGGGGCATAAATATAGCCCTGTCTTTGGGAGGTACGGGTTTATAGACAAGGGAGCTGATGGTTCGCATATAGAAGTGGGCGATGAGGTGGTTGTGTCACGGAGGAACAAGGAGCGGACGACTTTTTGTAAGTTTGCTCCTTCGTATTCGTTTTCTTTTCTTGAGGCTCGTGGATGGAATAGGATGAAGGCAAGCTAATCCCGTTGTCCAGTTTGGCCAATGTAGTGGATTTCATTGTTTCCTTTCTGGACAGAGTCTGGACATGTAGGTGTTGATGCATTGCTTTTCTTTTTCAACCAGGAGACATGGCGCACTGACCTATATGCTCTCTTCAACATTTCAACAACCCAACCAACACTGGCACTCCGTCAAAGGAAGAGCTGAACTGTTCAGCAGAATTGGGATTCATTTTGAGTTTTGGCGTTCGGTTTTTCTTCACTTGTGTATATCCTTCCCGAATCCTAGCTTTTGCTGCGCGGGGGAGGAAAAGTGCATTCAATGTATGTACAGTACAGGACAATTATTTATGAGCTTTCCATCTATATACATACGCCTTTGCCACTCAAATGCGGAGTCTATATCGATATCCACGTAGGCGAATATAGTCCTTTCTTGCCTTTTGTCCGTTTGCGGGAAAAAAAAAAAAAAAAAAAAGTTGTTGGGACCGTCGTCCCGTGTGCGAGCCGTGTTGAGATGAGAGGCAAAAATGTACAGTACACGCATGTTTTCGCGAGGGAGTAGATGTGCTGAAGTTGCGAGAGGTGTATATGGAAGTGGCTGAGGAAATAATCGACATTAATGCGAACTAGATGTAGCTGTCCCTTATTCTTGAGGTGCTTTGATTTCGTCTTTTCTTTTTCTTTCATTTTTTTTCTTTCGGGCGCCAAGGACCAAGTCTTTGGGAACAAGGAATGATGGTAGTTTTCATTCAAATTGGTAGAGCGGATGGAGTTCCTTGTAGCGAGCGGAGTAATAGCGTATAGATTTTTGTGTGGAATTCGGGGAATGAAATTGGCATACAAAAGGCGACGAGCGCCGCTGAACAGAAAATCATAAAGCAGAATCCATATCGTTAAGAAGTGAAACTAGAAGAGGGGTGGAAAAGGTAAACCCAAAAGGGGGAAAAACAGGGGGCGATGAGTTGGACTGGAAAAGCGTTGAGGCATTTCTGTGTTTTAACATTTCCTTCTCCATTTACAGACGGTCACACACAGACATATATACCGAGGCATATGTACGTACATCATAATATACATGGGCAACTCACATTAGCTCTCTTCATCCGCCCACGGTAGACTGAATGTCCCTACCCAATCCTCAACCTCCTGTCTCAACGTCGTGATCTCAGGAATCGCCTGTCCTTCGCCCAGATACTCCAGGAACGCTTTCACGCTGCCAGGGTTCTTCTTCTTCTTTGCCTCCGCATCCGCCTTGGCGGTCTTATCCAGCTTCTGCGTAATCGTCACCGCACGGTCGACGATGTCCGCAACTCGCACAAAGTCCTCTGGCCCGAAGCCACGCGATGTCATCGCCGGTGTCCCGATTCGTAGGCCGCCGGGTTTCATCGCAGACTTATCACCGGGCACGGTGTTTTTGTTGCTCGCCACGCCGCACAGCTCGAGCACCCGCTCCACACGCGCCCCGTCCACGCCGCGGTTCTTCAGATCGACGAGCACGAGATGGTTGTCTGTGCCGCCGGAAACGATGTTGTAGCCCAGCCCACCGCTGTTGGTGGGCTTGCCAAGCCGGTCCGCCAGTGCTTTGGCGTTCTCAAGAACGGTTTCTTGGTAAGTTTTGAATTCTGGGGTGGTCGCCTGCTGCAGGGCTACAGCGAGTGCGCTAATGGTGTGGTTGTGGGGCCCGCCCTGGTGACCGGGGAAAACGGACGCATTGATGGGGTTCTCGAGGTCATACATCACTGGGTTGCCCTTGGCGTCAGTGTGGCGGACTCCCTTGCGGAAGAAAATCATGGCGCCACGGGGTCCTCGGAGGGATTTATGGGTTGTAGTTGTAACGACGTCCGAGTGTGCAAATGGCGAGGGTATAACGCCAGCAGCAACTAATCCGGAAATATGGGCCATATCACAGAGTAGGTAAGCACCGACGCTATCAGCAATTTTGCGCATGCGCGGGTAATCGATGAGTCTGCTATATGCGGATGTGCCAGCGATGATGAGCTTTGGTCGATAGAGCTGGGCCAAGTCTGCTAGTTTGTCATAGTCGATGAGACCGGTTGATTCATCTAATCTATATGGGAGTGTCTCGAAATATTTAGACACAGCGGAAATTTTCTTCGTTGGGGTTTGATATCCGTGGGAAAGATGGCCGCCGTGGGGAAGATCCAAGCCCATGATACGGTCATGGGTATTAAGGAGTGCGGAATATGCGTAGAGGTTCGCCGGAGAACCAGAGAGTGCTATATCCAGCGCGTTAGATTGCTGTTTGTGGCGGGGAGTTGAAGGGAGTGGAAAGTAGACTCACGTTGCACGTTGACCCCCCATTCCTCTTCCTTGAGACCGAACGCCTTGAGAGCCCGCTGCTGACACAGTCTCTCCGCCTGGTCAATGAACTGGTTACCACCATAATACCGTGCTCCAGGGTAACCTTCTGAATATTTATCTGCGAAGGCCAAGTTAGGTTATTAGTAATATAACATGAAAAGGGAGAGAAGGGCATACTCTGCATGACACTTCCCAAGGCATCGAGAACCGCCTGGGACGTGAAGTTCTCGGATGGGATCAAATTGATAAAATGTTTTTGCCGGCTTTTCTCCTATGGAAGATATGGGTAAGCGGAAATGGCTGTACGAGATTGGAGTTAAGAGATTCATACTTGCTGGATAATTTTGTAAACGGCGGGGTCGGCCTCTTTGAGGTTCTCGGATAGGATCTAGATATGCGACCACGAGCATAAGCACAATGTTCTTGACAAGAAAAGCGGCAATTGGCGATAACACGGCCATTCCCAAAAAAAAAAAAAAAAAAAAAAAAAAAAAAAAAAAAAAAAGAAGGCGATAAAACCTTTGGATGTCCATCAGAGTGAGCAGAGGAGACGCCACGGCAAAGGATTGGCAGCAATCCGGCGGGATGATTCGCATGGCCGAGGCGAGTTCTGGAGCTCCCCGCAAGAGGAAGAAGTCGGCTGCTGGCCCGTCTGGAGCAGATATTGAGCGACATTGTTGCCGGGACTGACCAAATGCCGCAATTGAAGAAAGTGGGCAGCTGCTCAACCAGGCGCACGAGCACAATGCAATGAGAGACAACAATGAATGGGATAGCGCTGCAGACGTTGCGTCTTCCCGAGGCTGACGGCGGAGGGTTGATTATGTAATGCGGCAGATAGGCTGGCCCGAGGAACATAGTTTATCCATGCCGTCCATCACGTGTGTTTCCTCACCGCCGGCTTTTCTCCTCGTCACTTTCTCCTTTCTCTTTTGTTTCCTTTTCTCTTCTCTTCCTCACACAACTACATCCAAAATGACGAGTTGGCTTGATTTGCCGCTTCAGCTCTCGCGCGTGCCTGGCAGCGCCGCCTGCTGGGCGCGGCGGGCGATGCGGACATGTTCTGGGCCCCTTTCACCATCCATTCAAGAACAGTGTGACCGCTTCTGATTGGACGTTGTGTTCGATTGCTTCAGGTTGTTACGGGTGAGCAGCGTGGAATAATCCCTTAATTCATCCGAAGTATCTATTGCTTCCCCCTCTCTCTTTAGCTTTAGTTTTTTCTTCAGGAGTTCAAGTGGAGGATTCTTGTATTTGTAAACTGAGTTATCTTCTCCCTGACAGAGGAATTGGCAATGGACTACTCTGTACTTTGCCAAAAGCACCATTCTCAGGGATATATGCTCCATGCAATGGACAAACATGGCACTCCTGAGCATGGTTTTTATCATCGCCAACCAGTGGAGATATGAACACAGCAAACGCTCTTCGTGACGGGGATATTTTCAAAACAGCAAGTTGCATGTGCATGTTAATGTGCAGTACATACATGTGGGTGGACATGAACATACAGTACATACATACATATTGATTGTATCTAAATCATTTACGTAGGAATTTCACTTGGTAATCATGATTCTCAGCAAATTCCTCTCCCGAGTTCTTATATCTGGAGTAGGTCTCAGCCAGGTGTGGGCGAAATGTTCTACATTTGCTCAACTACTCGTATCGCAGGCGCTTTAAAGAGCGGATGGTCTACTGGTTACATTGAGAGAGAACTGGCTGCTTGCTCCTTACTTCTGACCAGGAGAAAAGGGGAACCTCCACCACCACTGGTTACATACAATATCAGATGATGTTGCCCCAGTTCCCCAGTGGGCATGATTCCCTATTTGTTTCTCGGCTCCCTTTTGCTTTTGGCTTTGCATTCCTCCCCCCCCCCCCCCCTCCTCCCCCCTGGCCCCCAATTTAAGCCGGCCACTGGCGGGAAATAATGGGCGGCCATACACAGAGTAATGATGCACATCCGAAACGTAGATAAACCTACCTTTCCCTCCACACTCGGGCGGCGCTGTGACGGTTCTACCCTAACATAAGCCCCTAGACCGAATGAATGGCCTTGGAGGACAAATAGGATAGTGGCAGAACAAATCAAGCGTACGATCAACATATCCACCCCTCATCATCATCATCATCATCACCACCTTGTATAGATATATATACATTGAGGTAAAAATCATACAAACCAGAGAAAGGGTTCATACAAACTTACAGAGACGGTTGGTTGGTTGGTTGGCTGGTTCATCGAAAAAGACAAACCTCACAATTTCGCCCTCCCCTCCATCTTCGCCCTCCCCTCCCTCTCCATAAAATACTCCCTAACCCTCGCCCTCGCAATCTCCACAACCTCCATATCCTCCACCGTCGCGGGCACATTAACCGCCCGCTCGAAGTCCCCCTTCTCAACCGCATTCTCAACAAGCTCCCTCAGAACCCTCCGAAGCGTCTTTCCGCTCCTCGTCTTCGGAATCATGCCTTTGCCCTCACCGCCGCTCTGGATCATACCGCCCAACGACGCAATGGCGCCGATCTGCTCGCGGACGAGGCCGTTGACGGAATTGAAGAAGGCCTGCGGGGGTGTGGCGGGAATAGAACCTGGGGATGGGGAATGGGGTGGTGAGGAAGGGAAGGAGGTTTTGCGAAGTTGCACGAAGGCGAAGGGGAGGTGGCCCTTGAGAGCGTCGGGGATGCCGACGACGCTTGCCTCGGAGATGTCTGGGTGGGAGAGGATGGCTTGTTCGATTGCCCCTGGATTTTATCGTATCAGACGTCAGTATTGGAAGAAGAATAAGTAATAATAATGAAGAAAAAAAAAAGAGAAGGATGAGGATGAGAAAAAGGAAGCAAAGGAAGGAAAGCCAGGGGTTTGTAATAAGAACGACTGTAAAACGGATGAGTACACGAACCAGTACTAAACCGATGCGCCGCCACGTTAATAATATCATCGCTCCGCGCCATAACATGCACATAGCCCTCCTCATCCACCATTCCCGTGTCCCCTGTGTCCACCCACCGCCCGCCAAACCGCTTCAGATACCCCTTATAGAACCGCTCGTCGTCGTTAAATAGCGTCGTGAACGCTGTGGGTGCCAACGGCATCGCCAACACGATATTCCCCATCGTGCCACGCGGCACCTCATCCCCTTCATCATTGACGATGCGCACGTCGAAGCCCGGCATCGGCTTGCCTGCCGACCCGGCTTTGACAGGGAACGGTTTATGCACGTCTCTGCTTCCATGTTCCAAACCAATGCCACTGCGCAGCGCGAGACCTGTCATTGGCGACCCGGACTCCGACGACCACCAGTTATCAATAACCATAGCGCCGGGGGCGGCGTACTTATTGAGCAAACTCTGATAGGCGCGGATGATGCTGGGTTCGCTCCTTTCGCCAGCAAGGAACAAGCCGCGCAGGTGCTTCAGGCCGCCGCGGCTCCCGACCTGTTCGAAGTAGCTGCCCTCTGGGTCCTCTTTGCGGATTGCTCGGAGCGCAGTGGGCGCTGTGAAGAAAGTGTTTACCCTGTGCTCTTCAATTATGCGCCAGAAGCTGCCCGCGTCAGGCGTGCCAACGGGTTTGCCCTCGTAGAGTACTGTAGTGGCCCCGGCGAGGAGTGGTGCGTAGAGAATGTAGGAGTGCCCTACTACCCAACCGATATCTGAGGCGCAGAACATGACGTCTCCGGGGCCTTTGATGTCGAAGAGGTATTTCATGGAGAGATTGAGGCCAACGGCGTGACCACCAGCTTCCCGGATGACACCTTTCGGCAGGCCGGTTGTTCCTGTGGAATAATAAACCATCAAAATCGACCCAGCTCCCTGTTAAACATGGAGCAGGGGAAGAACATACCGCTGGTATAAATGATATACAACATGTCGTTGCTTTTCACGGGAACAGCTGCAGCTCTGATATTCCTCGCCCTCCCACTCTTCACAATCCGCTGCCAGTTCCGCTGACCCTCCAGTTTCAACATGGGTTTCCAACGAAACTGGTCCCGCTGCCAGACAATGATTTTCTGTGGCTTCCAAGCGCTCTTGCCTATGGCTCCCTCGACCAAAGGTTTGTAATCCACTACGCCCTTAGTTCCCTCAATGCCGCAGGAAGCGGTCATGATTGCGCGTGGTTTCGAGGCCTCGATGCGCTGAGCTAATGACGTTGCCGCAAACCCGCCAAAGACGGCTGCATGGACGGCGCCGAGCCGAGCTATGGCGAGCGCCGCGAAGAGAGCAGCAGGAACCATTGGCACTGTCGTAAAGAGTTGTTTTATTTTTAGAAATTAGCAGGCGGGCATGATGCCTGCAGCACTGGCATATCACAATAATATAAATGTATCTCCAGCGCAAAAGGACAAGAACACAGACCAAATGAAAAAAGAGAGAGGGAGAGAGAGAGATGCGAAAAAAAACATACTATAAATCAACACGACATCCCCCTTCCTAATGCCCTCCTCCCTCAACACGCCGGCCAACACCTCGACCTCGTCCAGCAGCTGCGCATACGTATACCGTTCCCTCACACCCGTCACGGGCGACTCGTAGATTATGGCCACGTCGTCTCCATGCCCGCTGAGCACATGTCTGTCGACGCAGTTGTAGGTGGTGGAGATCTCGCCGTCCGGGAACCAGGACCAGTGCTCGTGGGTGACGCCGCTGGCAGGAAGCGTCTTGCTGCTCCGGCACAGGCTGGCGGAAGGGGGCTTGTGCCAGTGGAGTTGGGCGGCATGGTGCGACCAGAATTCCTCAAGGGAGCGGAGAGAGAGAGAAAGGGTTCTATCTTGGGGATGGGAGGGCATGGTGAGAGAATTATGTTGTTGTCTTGACAGCGGGAGCGACACGAGAGAAGGGGGTTGCGGCAGGGCGGGTATATCGACAGCACACAGATTCCTCCGCCTGGTTTCAGTTTCAAGCGGCTGTATTGTGACTTAGCCCCAGCGCAGGAAGCCCCATTACGAGATGTCTATACCAGAGCAAATGCTCGGTGCTTCGGCCGCGGTGTGGGGTTACCAGCGGGCCAGCGGAGGCCGCACTACAGCCAATGTGGTGTAGTGTATGTATAGCCGCGGGCTGCCACCGAGTTTCAGCAGATGGACGACTTTAGTCGGCTTGCCACTCACGTATGAAAGTTATTTATGGAAGGTTTTATTCTTCTTTTTTGATTTTTGATTGGTTGCTAGCTGTAGTGGTTGCAAATCCTCAGTGCTCGAATACAGACCGGGGGGTTTCTCGTTATTCGCTGGGTGGGTGGGTATATGTTGTTTCTGTGCACAAATAATATATTGTCTCCCCCGGCACACTCATACAACGCTCACTGGCCCTCCCCTCACATCCCCTGTCCCCGACAATTCGTATCCGTAATTGTAACATTCGTTTTCCCCCTCGAAGAACAAACAAACGAAATAAAGGTATTAAATAAATTCATTTCAAAGGTATGACAGGGTTGGGGAAGAAAATCTTGGGAGGCGTGAGGACGAGGGTGACTTGTTGCTGGCGGTTGATTGGCTAACAGTCAAGCAAAAGAAACGAAAAGAAAGCAGATACACATCAAAAAGAAAAAGAAAAAGCGGAATATCTTCTATCATTGCGGTTTGGTGAAATGAAATTTGCCCTCTTCCCCAGCTCCTCGAACGCACAAGGAAAGGGAGACGAAGAAAGAGAGAGAACAGGGGGATTAAACAAATCAACAAAAACACCGAAGGAATTCACACTGAAGTGAAGGCAGGGGGTCCCCAGGAAAACGAAAATAAATAAAGGGAAATAACTGGAAGAAGACCTAGAAGATGACCTAGAAGATGAACGTCAACGTGAGATTTCCTTAAAATGCCGGCCGGTAACACCCTAGCTGCAGAAATAATAAGAACCAGCATATTACAAAACACACGCACACGCCCACGCACACACCCGCGCACACAAAACGCGGACGTTCCCATAAAAAGCCACGAATCCCTGGTCGACGAATAGCCGCGAAGATTTTTTGTTATAAAGTTCGTTCGTTCGGTGTTCGGTCGGACATGTAAAATCATTGCTCCGAAGCGATGAGAAACCAGTAAAATTCAAAGAAGTAGAAGACAGAGGAGGGGGGGGAGAAATGACATGAAAAGGAAAAGGGGAAAGGGGGGTTGGGGGAAGAAGGGGTAAAAAAACAATATGAGAGAACAGATTTGGCCTATTCCGTCCAGGAGTCAAGGCGCTGGATAAAATGAACGAAGAAAAAGGAGGGCAAAAGGAAAGAGCACGAAGGATGGGCGACTCAGAAGAGGTAAAGCAAAGCCCAGTGGAGAAGGGACGGGAGGAGAGTTCGTGCTTCCGTGACTCCATATGTAGTAGTGCATGTCATGGTAGAGTCATCCATGCTGCGCATGCGCAACGAAAGAGAGGCTGCTGTAGGGCTGTATGGAGGAGGAGTGTGTCATTGTGAGCAAAATATTAAATGGAGCATGTAGAAGATAAACAAGGGGTTAAACATAGCCGTAAAGCGTGGAAAAATAAAGTAGTATACGTGCGTCTGCATTCAACGCAATCCACCCACCCACGCAGCAATGGTTGAAACGGGCAGTAGAAAATCCCAGCTATCGGCTTTTTCCCACCATTCCTCTCTTTTTTGGTAATTCCGTCATGCATCGCTTTTTGTGGACATGGTTTCCTGGATTTCTGATTCCTTTGTTTTTGATTTTTTTTTTCCCTTCCCATTTCTTGCTTCAGAGGATTAGGCATTTTATTCCGCGGCCATGTCCTCTTTGCCGATCGTTTCGGAATCTTGCAGGGTGGTCTGGCCCGTTCTCCCCCCGCTGAGTACCAGGCGCTCTATTAAGTGGTTGTCGAACGCCTTGTTGCTGCCGTTGCTGCCTGAGCAGGCGAACTACATCATAAAATGCTTTCTCAACATTGATGCAGTTTTTAGCTGAAGCTTCGACGAAATCGCATCCAAGCTCCTTAGCCAGCGCGGAGCCTTCTTGTGAAGAAACCGCTCGTTCGATAGCCTTGTCGCTTTTATTCCCCACCAGCATTACCGGAACTTTCATCCCGGGAGACGGGGCGGTTATGGGAGAACCGAGATAGCTGGCGCCTGTTGGTGATCCAGAGCTCGCGGATTCTTTGACAAGTTGAATCTGATGGTGAAATTTTTGTATCCGGGTGAACGAAGATCGTGACGTAATGCTATAGACCAGGACAAAACCCTCGCCATCCCTAATCCACTGGTCCCTCAAGGCAGTGTATTCTTCCTGTCCCGCAGTATCCAGCACTTCCAGCATGCATGCCTGTTGGTCGATAACAACTTGCTTGCGATAAGAATCTTCAATGGTAGGATCGTATGTCTCAACGAAATGGTTTAAGCACAGCTAATCATAGTGTAAGCGTCTTGTAACACAAAAACGTCACCTGTTTTTAATTAACAGGAAAATGAAAATGGCTTTGCGGGACGAACCTGAATAGTAAGGGCGGTCTTGCCTACACCTCCATCTCCCAACACCACTAGCTTGTACAGCTTCATTTTTCCCGCCATTTTTGCTGAAATTCTGACGCGAAGTCACCCAATTGCCTAGTCCTCCGATAAAATAAATGCCTTGCTAGCAGGAGCAGGGCAAATTGAAGAAGAAAAAAAGAAATCGAAGAAAATATTAGAAAAACCGGCACAGGTGCGCTAAGCCCGGTGGAACCCTGGCAGGCTGTTTCTATTCGGGCAGGACGGTACGAGTTGCAACGATAACGACTTTCCACCGGTCGATAACGATAAGAACGTGAAATGGTATAGCCAGGCAGTTGCCAGAATGCCAAGATCTGAGTAGAAATAAAACGCGGAGAGGGCGGGCCACAACAGGTCTTTTAGACGGGGTTTCCTTTGATTCTGGAGACGAGAGGCATCAGAAATCCACTTGATGGCAGTAGTAGCAGTAGGAGTTAGCGAAAGGAATTTTTATAGGCCAGCTTAAGGTCAAGAGGAGAAATAAATAATAATGTATTTTGAAAATCCGGAGAAGGGGGAGTCGTCAAGGGAAAGCAGATCCAAGATCAGATAACCACGCGCAAGGAATGCGACACAGCGATAGGCTTCGACGCTGTACAGCGTTAGATGAGAAGAAGCTTACCTCTCGTGCCAATGACTGGATAAGAACCACGGACGGTTGTTACACACTGACAAGCAGAGGCGTTGTGGAAGCGGAGAGGAGATGGTAGAACTAAAGGTGTCCCCGGTGCACTTTATCCGAGGTAGCACACAGAGCCAGCTTGCTATTGAGAAGATGCAAAATACCACAGGCAGCAGAGATCGAGGAGCAAGGGCATCAGGGTAGAAGATGGAATGTGAGATCGACCTGACTTCTCTCGAACTGACAAGCACAAGGAGCACAGGAGAGCTGAGAGGTGACGGTTGAGGTTGTGAGGCGGCGGCGACGGCGGCGTTGGGTTCGGAGGAGAGCCAGCGCCAGCACGTGAGGGACCCAGCAGCAGAATCCAGACAGAAATGCCCTAAAAATGCCCTAAAAATGCCCCGGAATATGAGAAAACGATAGGCTGACAGCGGCGGGATGCTAATCCTAAATTCTATTTCCTGCGGATTTACGCAGGTATAATGATATAATTTATAGGGATAACTAGTTAGTTATACTAACTACCACTCCCAATGCCATAAATAGAAATTTAACTCCAAATATATAACCATCAATTCCGTCTAATTACAAAACAAAGAGCCAATTTTTCGGGGGGGCATACGGCGCACCCTTCGGTTAAAACCGTCCTCCGGCTGTAGTTAAAAACGAGCCCCCAATAGCCCCCAATAGCCCCCACTAGCCCCCAATCGTCCCCATACGATGCAGACCGGTAGCCCCTAGAGGCGAGCGCTGTTCAGCATCGAACTCACTGGCTCCAGCACACAGAACCCAGCGAAGGGGGGCGGGGAATTTAAAACATTTGGGGGGCGCTTTTACTAACCTTATTTCAGCTAGTTATTTGGCTTTTCCAGCTCACCCATCGTCCAGCTCCTCTTCTTGCTCTCCTCCGTATTGCTAGCCCATTTATTGAACTTCTCCAATGTGGCATACCGATAAGACGATAAATGGATACCAAAGAGCAAAACCACGTGCGTTTTATCAACTCCAATCCCTCGCCTTCTTTTTTTAGGGGGTGGGATATGAGGGATCTAGAAACGGGAAGCGGTCGCGATCAAATCCAGCCATCATGTTCATTCTGCACCCAAGAAACGGCTAGATTTCGCTATTCTTCTGACAGCTGGTCAGGAGTGAGCGAGGGGAAGCCAGTCATCTTACCACTAGCCTGCTCCATCCACAGTTTTTTTAATTTTTTTCAACTTGTCTATTATTTTCTTTTTCTCGATTCTTTGCGCAGTATCCATCGACTGCGGACTGCGCGAGCCTGCATGAACTAACTAAAAACCTTAATTACTAATAAATATTTTCTCTCCACCTATTTTTTTTCATCTGAATATGCAGAAGAAAAAAACTTGCTTTCTCTGTCGCGGAGTTAAAATCGATGGTTGTTTTAGGAAAATCAATTCAAGAACCAGCGTCATCTTTCTAACCTTATTGCAGCCTTTCCCTTTGTCCTTTCCCTCGTTTGGCTTCCAGATGAGAATAGTATGGAAATCATGAAAATTAAAATCCTCCAGAGTCCATCTGTGCACACTAGCCTTCAGTAACAAGTCCTTTGAACCTGACTGAAGACTTCTGAAGTTCTGATCAAGGCCTTTTTTTTCTCGCTCCACAATAAATAATGGAATCAACGAATGGCCAGCTGCTGTCTGTTCAGCATTTTGTTTCTCTCTGTTTCTCCACCCTTAGCTCGTGGGCCAAGCGGCACAGGGTCTCCAGTCCGCCCGAGTAGTCCGCTCGCCAGCTGCCAGCAACGAGTTGACGATGGCCTCTGGAGCTTGGGCGCACGCACCGTCCTGCTGACAGGTTATGAGTTGCAAGATACAGACGAGAACTAAAACCCACTTTCCTCGGTCTGGGGAGCCAGATGAGGTCCCTGCTGCCAAACCCGCCCACTAGCGCTTTTTGTTGGATTTGAATCTCACTTCTTTTCTCGTTTGTCTTTTTTTTGGTGGTGGGGGAGAGGGATCTTTAGAGGAGATGAACCAATATACATAAGATCGTGAGCTGGGAAGCTTCGTGAGAGCTGCGCACTTTTAATTGGGGTGCCTTTCTGCGAGATCAAGATGAATGAATAAAAATGGCTTTCTCCACATCCCTCCCCACATCTGGCTGGCCATTCCTCAGGAGTGGAAATGGATGGACTGGACAAAAGCGCCGTCTGCAGTATCATGTTGATCAATGGCGTTATTGTTTGCTTGGCTCAGTTACATTAGTGCTGTCAGCACCATCATTTCTACTTATCTCCGTTAACTGCTCATGGGACGCTCTATTTTGGGGGGAGGTGTTGAAACTTTTACCGTCATGGAAGCATTCTTGAACAGGAAGAATTATGCTCCATCCTGTCGTTTTTTTCAAAACGTATATCGTGTAGGCACGGTGGGTTTGGCTCCATTCAGCTGATTGGCACTGTTGGAAGACACAATTCTAACCCTGGCAGCGGGGAGGTGTTGGACAGTGCACACTCCCCTCCCTCCATCTGCTGGCTCGAAGCTATTCGAAGCTATTCGAAGCTATTCTTCAGAGTCTCCACAGTCAGCGTCAAGCACCTCGGAGTGGGTAAGTTTATTCCAGAAAAGGTAAAGGTAAGAAGAAGGAATGGAAAATGATGGGTTTCTTTTGAAAAGTGACAGCCGCTCCGAAGTTGGCCCTCAGATGTTTTGCACGAATATACAAGAGAGTTTTTCTTTGCGCGAGGTTTTACTGTGGAGATTTCGAGCTGTTCCAACCGTTTGTTGAATAATATGAAACGCTAACTATCACATTTGATTGTTCCCGTATCTCGGTCGCTAAGAGGCAATCTCTCCTCTGCTTTGTAGTTGTCAAGACCGCGTATATCACATCATATTCATTTGCTACCGGAACGAGCCGTCCCGCCTGTTGCCCATTTGGAGGCCAATGCCATTCATGATGGCTCATCAATACAGGAGGCGAAACCAGAGGGTAAGGAGATAAAATGGACATATCAACTATTTTCTGTCACTTCACACTTTATACTTTTACCAACAGCCAGGTTAATAGGATGATGTTGGCTGCCATTCTCGGCTCGAAAGGTACACTGCTTGATTATCCTCTTTGGGGCAAGGATATCTTTGTCAGTTCATTTACTTCCATCCCTGGACAAGGGTAGGGTGCAGTGAAGAAGCCTTCCGATGGTCAAGAGATTCCCCCATTCTTCGACCTGCATAATTGACGGTGTTTAGCCTGATTTCTTTTCGTATATTTTGCAGAGCAGAATTATGGTACAATGCCGCCATCTCATTCAACTACCCTACTCTCTTGAGGTGCTTTGGTCTTGCAGTTCACCTGCCATATGGATATGCCACGACGGGCAACCATCGATTCTTTCGAAGAGGTAATCCGATATTATACCTCCAGAACGCCTAGCAAAATCCGGCGCGTCTTCTAATATGGCAGATATGACGTGTATACGACCACTGACTGTCCTTGAATATGGGGAATAACAGTCTAGGAATTATTAGGCCTTTTGCAGATATCAGATATCAGAATTGGGAGAGCTATCAGAAAGATGGGAAAAGGCCTCCATCGTTCCCCTGTCTTGAACGTGTCTCTACACTGAATAACAGCAGCACTTGCAAGGAGCATCACAGGCATCAACTGATTGATCAATTGGACATTAAGTGGCTGCAGAATGCAACCTTGGAACAACCTCAAAAAACAAAAAGGGGGTGGGCGAATGACTTGTCATCCCGGATACTCGATGTATCTCCCTGTGCTCCAGACAAGGTCCCTTTGAACAGGGGGATAATCGAAAGTTCTGAGGCTTGCTAATCAGTGGTTTTTAAAGCAACGGAAGGGTTCACTATTCCGGGAGAATCGAATTTCGTTTCTACAAAGCCCATCAACGGGCCTGTTTTCCTTTGGGGATACATTCTAGCAGGCATTGAGATTTTTGTTTCCCGATCATGGCTACTAGGGAGACATACCGACCGCCGTAGACTGCTTGGAAAGAGTTGCACCCTTGTCGCAGGACGAGCGACTTTTTTGATTGCCGCTGGCTTCGGTCAATAAATCTGCAAATAAGCCCGAAGCTTGACTCGGAAAACGGCTATGAAAAACGCAGCAACCCCCCAGACCCCCGCGTGTCATCATTCGCTTCTGGAAACTGTTATCATTTCTTCGCCCTGCCGGAAGAGGAAAATGCTGTGTATGTTGTTCCGTTATCCCGTTAGCCTTGTCACCTTTGGGTAGTTTTCTGAGCGCTGGCATCATGAATCGGTTGAATGCCACTTGTCTTGCAGGTGGACTTCATAGTGTATGCCAATGTTTGGCCCAGCAAAAGCATGCGGGTCAGCACTTAACAAATCCCACACCCATGGATACAGTAATACCACGGCGGTAAGTGGTTGAACATAATCCATGTCGGCTTTCCTTGGTCGTCTGTTGGCGGGCTGACTCTACAGGGGGTAAATCCACCCGCACGGCTAACTCTGGCTGGATAATTCGTCTTGAGCACACCCCCGGTTTGATGTGAACGGGAGCATTCCAGAGGTGGAACCGTGGAAGCTTCCCTCGCGAACACCCAAAGGCTAGGTGCGAGAAACAGGTCGACTAAACCACCCTTTAATCCCAGCGAGGTAAATGTAGAATATAAGAAACAGGCGAGCAGCAAGTAAGCAAAATCTTCCGAAGGCACCTCCATCAAAAGGGATCGCAGGCGCAGGCGCCGGAAATAATACTTGCGTGCTACTACTATCTCCATCACTCTAATACGACATTCGCTGCTCGTGTTATGTCCCATTATCCTAATCAAACCCGATTGTTTTTCCTGCTGGGATTTTAAAATCCATCCCCGATTTATTATTGCTTTTCGGCGGCCCTTGTCTATTGGCGGACTGGAGAACGGTATACAACTCTCCGCTCAGTCGATGGCACCCTCTCACCCGGTTATGCGGTTAGTTGGAGATCCCCTGCTGGAAATAAATTAATTAAGCGGCCTTCCCAGGGATATAAAATATGTTGGCAGCTCACGTCCTATCAAAAAGACAGGGCTTTTTTCTCTTTTCTTTTTCTTTTCCTTCCAGCTGCTCGTTATGGCCGCAAACATCGGCCGGTTCGTCGGCCTTCTGCCGGTCTGCCATTTTTTCTTTTCTTCCTTTCCCTTAGATATTTATATAAATTATTGGATTGGATAGACCCCTGGCCTGGGCCCTTTTAAAGCGAAATAGTTTTTTCAACATGATAATTTATCTCTATTCTCTTTTCCTTTTCCTTGGTTAATCAGCGCTGGTAGCATTTTTTCCCCGCAAGGTAAACCAGCCACTAGCATGATTACTTCCAATTAGACATCTTATCCCGAAGTCAATTCGTCCTTGTTGTGATAGGCTTGATGTCCAATGTCCCATCTCTTTCAATGATCAATATTTCCCTACAGCGATACTAAACCCACTCAGGTTGTATTTTCAAGAACAATCCCGCCTCATCCCCGGTCCGCTCGACAGGGTCCTGCCATTCTTATCATTATGATCTCTGAAGCCCATGATCTTCAAAGAATTGCCCCTTTCACCACCTCAGGGAGCTCGGGGACGGCGAGGTCCGGGAGCCAAAACTCGTCCCTCCCCCTTGTCGGGAAGATACCCACTTCCTTCCGGAGGAATGGATTTCCGCCGTTCTTCCACGCGGCTACGGAGCTTCTTTGCAGCACAAGCCTCTCCTGGCTTTCGACTATCACACCTCACCCCCATGCTTCGTGGAAGGTGCTTTACTTGGTTAGTTGGTGCCGCCCGCGGGGGATGGATTGCCAAGTAATGAGACTATGGGTGTGCTCCATTTTTCCCCTTCGGAATCAGTCCACGGCAATTGCCATGTGGCTCGCTTTCGGTCTTCCCGGGTCCTCAACTAATTATCCCCAATTATGGCGCGGGATGTAAATTGGCACGGCAGGGGGCGGGAAAGGGAGTTCAAGCCGCCGCTAGCGCCAAAACTCGGCTGAGATGTCATTGAGCATGCCAAGGGCTTGTTCGGATTAGTGCATGCTGTGTTGACTTGTAACTATTCAAAAGCTCCAGGAATAAAGAGTTCATCGGCAAATCATATTGACGTAGATACTCGGTACATGATAGATATGATATCTCAATGTCGACATGTGTTTGCATCTTCAGCAACGAAAGCCACACGAGTTGTATGTCTCAAATCAGTCGATTAACATGTTCATGTATGCACTGTACATGTATTATCGCAAGGGCACAACATCGAACATTGCTCTCATCGACATTGGACATAACTGAGGGCTAGAAAACCGCACGCTTTGGCCGATCATAGATCACTCTTCAATGGAAAAATATCAGGGGACGGCCCAGCAGGCACGAGCTTGTCGGTACTACCCATTTTAACTTGCAAGGATGAAAGATATGCAGGTTTATACTGATTGAACAGGGACAGAAAATTATCCAGTTAGCTTTTCCCATTCCGAAATGAAAGATTCTAAAAGAAAGAAGGAATGGAAAAAGAAGGGAAAACAAAAACAGGTTGCATCCTCAAACCAGCACTGTTCCACAAGAACCATTTGAAGGAGGCCATTTGAGAAACGAAACAACAATGGGAAATGAAAGATGAAAGGGTTTCACTCACCACATTAAAATGCGTCGTTTTCTTAAACGCCCCCCCGCAAGTCCTCTCCGATTCATCCCAATACAGCGTCCTCAGCCACCTATGAATCCGGGGATAGTCGTGCCGAATCATCTTCAAGTTACACTTGAAAATCCCATGGTACGCCACATCAAAGCGGATCATGGTTGTATACAACCTGATATCCGCCTCGGTGATATTTTCGCCGAACAAATATGGCTGATGGTCCACCTGGCCCAGATGCTCTTCAATGCGATCCAACGACGCAAATAGAAGGTAAACGCTCTTGTTATACGCCTCCTGTGACCTCGCAAAACCACATCGATATACCCCGTTATTCACTGTCTCATACACCCACTCATTCATCTCATCAATCTTTGCCCGCAGGTGCTCTGGGTATAACCCGCCGCCGGCGCTGTTAACCTCGCGCAACGCCTCCTGCTCATCAACCAGCAGCTCATCAAACTCCTCATACATGAACCGGATAATGTCCCCACTCTCATTGCTCACGATCGTCTCCTTCTTCTTATCCCACAGCACAGGAACTGTGTAGTTGCCCACATACCCGGGGTCAGCTTTGAGGTACAACTCCTTCAGATGGGTGAAGCCGTACAACGGATCCGCGACTGCGCTGCCGTATTCTCCTGAGAAATACCAGCCGTCGGGAGTCAGGCATGGGTCTAAGACTACGCACTCGATTATGGATTCTAGCCCCTTTAGTGTGCGCACGATATTGGTACGGTGCGCCCAGGGACAACTGGTGTTTATGTACAGGACATATCGGTCCCGTTCGGCGGGGAATGGCGCGGTTGGGGAGTGCGAGATGCTGGAGCGGAAGGCAGATGGTGCTCGCTCGAATTGGCCGTCCGGATTGGGTGCGTTCTGGGCCATGATCAGCAATGGATTTGCTATTTATTCGAACAACATGTAGTTACGCATATGGATTCGATAATTATACAAAGGAATATTTACCGTAATATCTGTCATTCTGCTTGCCGAATAGTCTAAAGAAATAATAGAGTTAGATGAGGTTCAATTTGGGTAATCAATAAGATAATCGTAATTGCACACCTCTTTATCTTTCTGAAGCGTGGATTGGCTGTCTCTATAAAATATTTTATCTTTCCTCATTCTTCCCCTCCTTACCAAGTCAAAATGATGTGACAGATAAACGCCACAGCGGGACCCCGCTGGATACACGGAATTCCAAAACCTAACTAACTACCTGCCACCCGTTGACAAATCTCTCTCACCTCGAGCAGAAAGGAAATCCTGGATATGGCTGGTTGGTGAGATGATCAGTCTCTCTCTCTGGTACGTTTCGGGAGTCATTTACAAGAACAAGACGGAGCAGATAATTAATTAGTCGAGGGCGACGCGATGATATCATCGTCTCAACGCCCTTTTTGGGAAGGCAACGATTGTTCATTCTGTATCTCTAACTAACTATGGCTCTGCTGTTTGAATAATATTCAAGAGATAGACGGTCTGAAGAACCAGTTCGTGATGATATTTTCTCATCCATGTTGATGGATTGTCCATAGGACCTACCGATGAGGCGTCAGTGTCTCACAAAGCCTACTTCTCAACCCTCATCACAATCTCAAATTGTCTTTCCCCTTCTCTCCCTTCCCTATATAGTAGTCTCACCGGGCATGGATTGCGTTTACAATATATCTCTTCACTTGCCTCACCTTGTATGCGATCAGTTGCGCCCGTTTCCCCCGAGGCCCGTGAGCAGGAGAAAAAAGATGGGTAGAATCCGAAACAAATATACCGGTCGGACACTGTCTCTTCAGGGTGCTTTGTATGCTGGAGACGTTGCAGTAGCTGGACTGGATAGCAGAGCTGAGAAACCAAATCTATATGACCGATTGTCTGACTGATGTTGCTGCGAGAGCGGTTGTACTGCGGATGAACTGAGGGGAAGATAAATTTCTGCAGCCCACTTCTTTCGTATTTATTTATTTTTATCTTCCTTTTGCTTGATTATTCTATTTTCTGTATAGAATGGGGGTGGGTAATTAAATACAGAAACAAATTTTTATGGGCGCTTTGAAGATATGTGATCCCAAGACAGCATCTGCGCTGTCTACCTGATGATGAGAGGACAAAATTGAGACAAGATGGATAGGCGCATTGCATTGAGAAGACTTGGCGTATCGATAAATAGTATGTATGCATGAATTGTCCTTCATTTTCAAAGAAATCAGAGATGATATTACTTCTTCTTGAGCACTAGTTAAGGGGTACGTGATAATAGAAGTGACATGAAATTATAACGTGAAAACGCAGAAAATATCACCAGCGCAGACGTAAAGGAAATAGAAAATCGGAGTGAAATAAATTAGACCCTCTTTGTACAGCACGTCATTTGAATTTGGCTTTACAATGAGAACGATATATACATTGTACATGTACATATATGTATATCAATATATATATTCGTTATCCACCGTGAGGCAGGAAACCCACAGTGCCATTGCTAACAGGTAGAGACAAAACACAAGATCTGTATGAAGAAATCGCACCAGCCAAACAAAGAGATGGCTGAGTCGAAGCATCAACCGAGTTTTGTGTTTTCCATAAGGAGAGAGTAGTGAGTAGAGCGTCCACTGCTGAGTGGAAGCAATCCACGCCATCCACGTTTCTCATCTGATATTCTCCGGTCAAAACCCACACTCTCCTGGTAAGAAAAGACATATTGCATATGTTTCGAATTTGGTATTCTCGCAAAGTAAACGACAGTGTGAATATGTTTCACAGCCGTGATTTTGGAATCGCAACCCCCTGCCTCCTTAGCATCATATTCGGGATTAAAGGGTTCCAGCGGATGCATGGAAATACCAACTGTGATAGAGTCAGTCCCGTTTGGTTTTGCATGTTGGGAGGAGGAGAGGGCGGGGGGATTATGCTCTCGCACATATTATGAGTTAACCGTATGTTTTATAAAGGTGGTTGGACATTGGAGATGTTGGAGCGTATTTTCAATTCTGCCTTCCCTGTTTTAGCTCCGATTCCCAAATTGTCAACTCCAATTTCACATTTAATACTGGAAATGTTTCTCTTTCTTTTCTTTCTTTCTCTTTCTTCTTTTTCCTTCTTTTTTCTTTGCCAGTTCCATTGTTGCTCGTTTTTAACAAAATTGATTGTACAGGGGAGGATATTGTCCCAACTTCACATGAAAGAGAGTCTCCTTGTGGCCTGAGCTAAACTGAGAAGAGGACGTCCCCCTCTCCCCCGTTGGGGATGGAGAATGGAAGATGGCGTCGTGTGCTAGCCATACTGCAGGAGGTAACGGGTGATGGAAAGGGGAGTTCACATTTCCGTCGTATTTCACCATGTTCGTTAGCCACCAGCCTCCAAGTCTGTGGTAGTTGTTTTTTTTTCAGCCTTTGGGCACGAAAAGGCCATATTTTGGGAAATTTGATTTATTGAGAGGCAGAAAATAGAATGGGGCACTCCATTCTTTGTGACATAAGGAAAACGAGACAAAAGAGATTTGGATATACATAGATTGAAGAGGCGGAAAGTGTTGTGTCCGTTCAGAGTGTTAACCGACAGGGAAAATCACTCACTCTATCTAAATGTTTGAGCGAGGATGCTGTCAACATTACGGGTAACATGGCCAAATTTTGAAGAACCATATTCTTCTTTCTCTTTTCGTGTTTCATGGAAAAGAATGCGCCCTGCACAAACACACCCGCGTGCATGAAAGGAGACAGACAATGAACCTTTAACAGACACATGAGACTAAAGGGAGGAGAAGAATTACATAGTATGCCTATCTCGGCTCTTCTCAACCGATAATCTCGCCGGCACACACGTCCGCTTGTCGAGACTGGATCATGGATCCTGCTGAAGGACGATCGGAAGGTCCACAGCCTCCGATGGCACGGAGCACATCCCCCCGATCCAGGGGAACCCAGCGGGATTTTTGCATGGATGTGGATATGTGTATCCCTGCAGCGTCAGCGAAAGATAAAGATATGACTCTGTTCCATCACAGTTCCATCACAGTTCCATCACAATCACATTCACGAACGCCTTTTCCTTTCTGGGTATTTGTTTCTTTGGTAGCTGGGGGAAAGTATTATCTCTCTGGAAGACATTGAGGAAATGCCAGCGTGAGTGAGAGTGTGAGATGTATATACGTATTTGGTATCAATGAATAACAATCGGCAAGCAGATGCGCAATACGAGTATGGATGGAGAAATACATTGATGCTCAGGTACGGAGAAACTTCCAATTTGGTGGATATAAAAATACTCCTAGGCGCAAGCATAGTCTACTGAAAATAAAATACCTGCCAGAAAGTTAAGCAAACATGTTATCCATCCCTTCGCGGACTTATTATTGTTGCCAAAGGGCTCCTTTAATCCTTGGTCCATCAATTTCTACTAGCTGGACGGAGACACCGAGTTCCAAGAATTGGACCAAAAAGGGCGTATGCAACCGTTGACCTTTTGCTTTGTTAGTTTCTTGGGAATCTGGAAGTGCTCCCAGTAGGAATACGGTTTCTATCTATGAAGTAGGATCTATTCAGGCTGGGGTTTACAAAGTAGATCTGGGATACCTCCTCCTCCTCTGGCTGCTCCTTCTAACAGGAACGCTGTCGAAGCCGAGACACAAAGCGAAGAATGAGGATACCGGGCACTCTGGGCCGTTGTGTCCCGTCTCCAAGTAAGACAGAAGAATAAAAGAACAATGAGAGGAGCTGCCAACTCAAGCCTGAAACACGTCCATCTCTTGGCTTGTCTCTCCCTGTTCCTCTTGTCATTTGTCACTGGCTGTTGGCGTCATCAGTTTCCATATTGCATTTTTCTCCATAGGTTGACTTGACTGACTGACTGGCTGGCTGTCAATCGGCCGCTTCTACTCATTCGATATGAATGCACGAGGCCAGTAGCAACGCTACAATGAGAGAGAAGAAGGGGAAAGGAGAGTGTGGGGAAAATGGCTGAAATTGTGAAAAGTGGGAGGGGAAAAAAAAGAAAAAGCAAAAAGAAAAGAGAGAGGAGAAAGAATTGTTGTTTCACTCAGTATCATTCTGGTGTCTGCTGGGGAGTTTGAGACTGACAAACTCGTATAATTGAGGATTTTAAATCTCTTGATATAAAACCTTCTGCTGCAAAGTTAGTTGACGGTGCCATCGACAAGACAAATTTCCACATGCCCCTGAGTTCCAATGCCCTTGAAACGCGCCAGTGGCAGCTGCATATCTGCCACTAACAAACGACGCTACCAACGCTACCGAGCTAGCCCCGCAGCCCAACCAGATACCCGGCTTCGCTTGACAGCTGCCAATTGGATGGCAGGCCAGAAAAAAGGGATTTTCGTGCTCAAACATGTTGGTAGCAAATGTTGCGGATTCGGGGAGTCCGGCAGCCAGCCAGCACCTGCGATGATTACAGGCTAACTGCGGGCTATGAAGGGACGCTGCGCACGGAGAGACATGGAACAGGAACAACAGCCCATTGGCCCTCGCTCGAAATTTAAATGGAAATTTCAATACCAGTGCTGGTGGAAGTGTCCGGGGCTGGAATACCTCAATTGGCGACCGAACTTTCGGCATCAAGTCCCTACCTGGGTAGCCGAACCCAAAGTCTTTAGGGGCAATATCTTGGAACAGGGTTACCATATAAATTCCTAGCGTTGTGCCACAGCTTTTTGTTCCCACGTCTCCATGTACCAGCCAAAGGCACAGCGCATTGATCGATTTGAAGGTCGAACAACGTGGTATCCCCAGCCCTACTTCGCGAGGAAATTGATACAACCAATAACCTACTGCGTGTATACTGTATTTTGTTGACAATTGATAGCTTCTCTTGAGCTTCTTTGCCAAGTTGTATGTGGATATGCAGCAACTTCTGCGCCTAACTTTTTCGTCAACCCAGCGCATCATGTTGCCATATATCCGCTTACTTGGACGTCCTGCATGCACAACCCTGTCGAGCTCGGATCAATATTTGTATCAGGGGATGATGATGATGATCATGACGGATTGGTGCAGAAGACCGAGGGGAGAGACCGTTATCTACCTCGCAAGCTCCAGAGGATGCTATATTCCCTTCAAGCAGCTCTCATTCGTAAGTAAATAAACCTCAAAGGATTCATGGAATGGTTGGTTCGATTGATTCCATACAACCCATAAAAAACAAAACAAAAAAACAGTTGATTAGACAAGCCATCCTCCCGGACCGCTGGGGAACGCCGGCAACACACTGGTCCCATTGGGGATGGCGCCGCCGAGCCGTTGGAACGCGTTCGCGGAAGCTTCGAGGATGAAGGGGACCAAAAAAAGGTTTTTAGCTTGGAGGAGCCTCGCCCCCTTTTTTGACTCTCTCAGGGTTTTAGCCTTGTTTTTGGGGCCTGGAAGGGTTCCTTGGTACGCTTCCCGTGTCTGGTTGAAGCTTGAAAGGTTGGTAGGTTTCGGAACCAACGTCGACCACAAACATATCCATCCAATGTACAGATCTGTACATAGTAAAGAAACGACCGTGTAAGGTGTAGATGTAGATGGTCACGGATCGATGATAGATAGGGCAGACGATGGAGAGCGCTGCAGGAGCTGGAAGAATAGGCAATAGGCAACAAGATGCTCCGCACACGATAAAAGTATATATAAAAATACACACAGAACAAGCCCTTCCAGCCCCTATTCCCGCCCCCGGCCAGGCCAGGCCAGCCAGGCTAGTCGTGCACCTTATGCACGCCCGATCTCATCCTGCACCAGGGCTTGCTGCTGCCGCCGTCACTCGCTCGCGACAGCCATGGCATGGCATGTCACCGTCGCCGTCCGTCGCTGAGTTCTTTGCGGCGTGGGAGCAACTCTCGCTCCCGGACGGGCTGAATACACAATACCACATACCACACTCGTCTATCTCTTCTATCTCTTTTTGACGGTGACAGCGAGATTCACTAACTGCTGCTCCTTTTCTCGCTCTTTCTTCTCTCTTTTCCCCTTCGCCATCTACATCTCAAACACCCAATCTATCTATCGAGCCGTGCTCCACGAAGCTACCGTCCTCCACCTGACAAAGCTTCCATTTCGTCCCTTTTCCTCTGCCACCACCACTCCGCAGCTACCTCCACGACAACGGCAGCTACCACTACTGCTCACGTTCGTTTTCTGTTCTTGGAGAGGAAATGAGAAATAGAAGGGCCTGACGAAGACAGGAAGGTCATTTATGCTTCTGCATCCTCCGGTTTACTCACTCACCCGGCCCCTTTCGCGACGACACATCCTGATGTAGCTTCCCACACGCCTGATTTACACCTCGCGGCCACGCACCACCACCACCACCATTACTCCTACTCCTACTTCTCAATTGACGTTTATCTGTTTGATAAATAGATCAAATACTCGACATTGTCTATACATACCTCAATGGCTGGACCTTGACCTATATACAATTCAGCACATACCTTGCCGGGCCGATCCTCCTTCACCACCCAGTTTCTCCTGCTTACATAGAGACATCCGATAGTTACATCGACTACTCGCCGTTCGTCAGTTCTCCCCCTTCTGTTCTCCAAGTTCCGAAATACAAGACACAAAGATGTACATACTGAATGCAGTGCAGTGGGTCCTTTACTGTGAAATTTCCTTGCCAGGCTAGCGGCTAACGTCATGTATAGCTTCAGGTAGTGAAGAGACCTTGAGAGACGAGCATTCTATTCCCGTGCGAACAACAACACAACAGAGCACGATACAACACGACATACCTGACAATCCTTCCACGAGAATTTCTAGAGACAAATTTCCTACCTGCATAGATATAACACTCCACATCGGGCTCCTTGAATTTTGTCGGAAGTTTGTTCGTTCGTTCGTTCTCCTTTTTTCCGCCCCTGGAATTTCTTTTCTAAAAGGATAAATTCCCCCTTCACCACCACCAACCAGCTCTGGCCGTTGTTGCGGAATAGATTGATTTTATGCACATGACTTACCGTTGAAGTGTAAATGCTATAAATAAATACGAAAACAAATATATGAGTGAGACGGGGAATTAACCTACCCACTACCAACTTACCTCGATTCCTCAATCCCCCGCCAACCGTTGAGCCTTGGACAGAACAAACTGAAACACTTCCTTGATATTACGAAATTGTCCAACCTTAACTCACTCATTCAATCCCAACCCCCCTCACTAAACCCTGGGCAACGAGGGCATCAAATTGTTTGTTTATTTTTTCCCCCTCCTGGCGTCTATCACACCCAATCTCGTATTGGCGGCGGTTGTCTTTTCGTTTGTTTATCGCAACGAGTTCTTCATATAGTCATGCACGTATGACAGCAGTAACTGGAACTGAAGGATACACCCATACCCATCACTACCCACTCACCCACATATATCCACAATGCCTTCCGACTTTGAAAATGACTATACATACCTGGGAACGTCCCTACCCACGGGTAAGGACAAGAAGCCCTACCGGACCCCCTCAAACCCAATGTCGCGCCGCCCATCGCTCCACCGCAGAGATTCGTCTCCAGGACCCTCCTCCTCCCCTCCGCGCTTCAACTCCGACAACCGGTACGAATCCGATGGCCCTGTCAGCCCAATTGACCCCGCAAATGACGAGACAATATCTCCCCTAGATCCTCGACGGTTCACCCCAACCTTACATGCCTCCCTCGTTTCCGAGATCTTGTCCCTGCGCCGCGACATGGAGGCGAAAGCGAAGGCAATTGATTCTCTTGAGATGACCCTGGAAACGGCAAAGTCGGAAGCGGAGTCTTTGAGCGAGACACTCTCAAGGAGCTCCAAGGAGAACCGTTCATTGAAAAAGCAGATACAGCTTCTTGAGGGTGGTTCCATGTCTGCTATGACAGAATTGTCCAAGGAGCGTGATGATGCTTTAGAGAACATTGCGGATTTCCGCAAAAGACTTGAGCAGTCACAGAAAAGAGCGCGTACTCAGGAAGAAGAAATTGAACGGACCCAAAGGCTGTGGGAGCGGGATAAGCAGAATTGGGAGGAAGAGCGGAGGAACTGGGAACGGAAAGTCCATGTCGTCGAGGGACGTCTGAAAGTTGTTCTCAACGAGGTTGCAGCAGCTCAGGCAGCGGGTTCATTTCCTCGTGGTGTTGATGGAGACTTTGATGATTCTGTTCGTGATGGCATGACGGCAAAGGGTAGTGACACCTACAGCATCCGTTCGGGCAGTGTCATGGGACGGCGACGTACGAGTACTGCAAGCGTAAGTACCCATGACGGCGATCTGCATAATGTAAGGTACTCCGTCATGAGTTTTGCCAATGGTCATGGACACAAGGTGGACGGCTTGAACCTAGCAGACGAACTCGCATTTGACGAGGAAGAGGAAGACACGTTGGGTCTAGATGACCGACCTGATTCGAGATGCACGGTTCCTGACCACGAAAGGCCCATATCAATGCAATCGCGACGGATGAGCAGCAGGATGGCCCGGCGTACGTTCGATATGCCACTTGACGGGCATGAAAGGTTCGGCACTCCCGATGTGCTTGATCATCCAAAAAATCTGAATGTGATTCCGGATGTCGAACAAAATGAAAAGAGGGCCACCGCTGTACCACAATTGGAATATAGAGACATCGGAATCCAATATACTCCACCTCCATCCCCTAAGGTTGTACTGGAACCCGATCAAGTCGTTGTCGATGAGGCTCCTCCGGTGAATGGCGCGAGCAATGAAAATCAAGAGAAAAGTCAAATGTCTTCCAGTACAGAATCAATGCCTGTATACGAATCGAAGGACAGTAGCACCGTCACTGCGCCTGTCCTCACCACCTCTTCTGCATGCCAGACAACCGGAGAGCCTCCAAGCCCTCCTTCAACCCCAACAGTTGAAGAAACTCCATCAGAGGAGTCCACACCCATAGCTTCTCCGGCTCCCGTGACTGAAATTCCAGTGGTAGCAACGGTTTCCATCTCAACTCAAACCGATGATGTAATTATCAAGGACAGAGAAACCCGAAACCTAGAACAAATAATCCGACAGGCAATGCCAATCCCCATGATCACTATCGAACCCCCCGGCTCAAACCCCCCATCCGCCAGGAACAGCGTTGTATTGCCCCCACAAACCAAGAGTGTATCATGCCAGACATATATCGAACCACTCGCCGACGTCCGGTCATGTGGCATGCAAACAGAAGAGATTCGCGTTGATAAACGTAGTGCCAAGCTACCCTCAAAACTCCTCCCATCCGCGATTATGGACCAGCCAATGAGTCCAGAATCCATTGATCTACCTTCACCACCACCCATCCAACAATTTCACGTGCCCCCGAAATCTGCAAAAAGGAGACTTCGAAACCCTCCCTCAGTTGAGCCTGCGCCGCTCACACGGCCTTCCTCAAAAGATAAAGAACCCGAAAAGTTGCAAGCATATCCAGGAAATAATGACAATGGTCCCCTTTCTGAGGATACGAAATTGGAACTTCGACGGCCGTTCAGGACCAGCAGTTTATTTGCTGGCTTTGAACATGTTAGTGATGACGAATGGCCAGAGCCACAGGAGGATCTGTTTAGCGATGACGAGCTCTTCAATCGACCCCTCGCATCTTATACACTGAGAGCTGGCAAGCTCGTTACAAAGCCGGCGCCCTCAATACTGGACGACAACCCTCTCGCGGAGCGTGAGGAACACCCAGAAGAAGTGGATGAACCACATTCGCCGAAATCAATAGTTGAAACAAAAGCTCCCAATGGCCCTCAGCCCCGTGTTGTGCCCGGTGGGAAATTGCCATCTGCTAAACGACCGCCCAGACCTTTGAAATTAGGCAATGTCGCGAAGCAACCCGATATTCGCCGCACTGCCATGATTTCCAGCTCTACTGCCGCACACCAGGCGTACAGGCCTCGCAGCCCCAGTGCACCTAGCATCGGCAGCAGCGCTGCCTCGACCAGCACCGCAGCCAAACCTCCTTTCCCCGTTCCGGTGAGATTGAGCTCGCGCAAAATCCCTGTCAGTGCGAGCGAGGGCGCTCAGAGTCCGACGCCGTACAGCAACGGAAATTTCCCGGAGCGGGGCTTTCTATTAAGAGAGCCTCCACTTCGCAAAGTTCGCTCGGCCGCTGTGGTGGCTGGGATGCATCGTCCCGATCGGCAGCAAAGCCATTCTCCACCAACAATGTCGACATCATCAACCTGCCCCGAAAGCCCACACCTCCCACCCATGCCTGTTGACGAAATAACAGCCCCCCGGCGAAAGCGATCTGGTAAACTGCATTCAAATCGACAAGTCCCGCCCCCTGCCAGGTCTCACCGGAGAAACGAGTCAGTCAATACCAACACAAGCGTACAGCAGACTAGTGTCGTTGATGCGATCGCACAGACCATGGTGGGCGAATGGATGTGGAAGTATGTTCGTAGACGAAAGTCATTTGGTATGACGGAAAGTAATAAAGACGGATGGGAGCTAGGCAAAACCACCGAAGAAGTTTCTGCAAACATCACTGGGACCAGCGTTAGACATAAGAGATGGGTATGGCTGGCACCATATGAGCGCGCAGTTATGTGGAGCAGTAAACAGCCCACCAGCGGGTCTGCCTTGCTGGGTAAGAGTGGTCGAAAGCGTGAGTATTGTCCTGTCCAAGGAGCAAGATGCCCTGAATAAAAATAACCTTTGTGAAAAAAGGAAGCATTTTTCTTTGGCTGACTGGCATTTTCCCCAAAGTAATGATTCAATCGGTCCTTGATGTCAAGGATGACAATCCGCTTCCCAAGGGCTCCGGCCCTGGTAGCCATTTTAACCGGTCGATTTTGATCCTCACCCCACAGCGAGCTCTGAAGTTCACAGCCATGACATTGGAACGCCATTTTGTCTGGTTAACCGCGCTGTCGTTCTTAAGCCACTCTTCGATGGGCGCTAACGATCTTGCTTCCCTACCCCCCGTTCCGCACGAAGAGTATCGCCCGCCCCCAGGTAGTATGCTAAGGCGCAACCCAATCCGCGACTCAATTCGCATCGCGAAGGGAAAGGTTAAACCAACACCGTCCAGCTCCAACCGCTCATTTGTATCGCATCCATCTGCCGTCCCTGAGCTACCTTTCGATGAAGCCAATGGAACCGAAGCCATCAACGACATCGCTGATCCCCCAAATGTCCCAAGATTCTCCTCCCATTCACGCAAGAGAAGTAACACCGCACCACGCATACCGCCAAGTGCATTCAGAAGTTTCTCCAACCACACCACCGCGCCGTCCACACACAGCACCACAACTGCAGGGTCGTCCGATATCTACTCTCCCTCAATCATCGGGCCATCAGGTGTACAGAGCGGCCAAAGCAGCTTTAGCCACCGTACGTCCGAAGCCAGTGGCCCATCTAGTGTTGGCATGAGCAATTTCTTCGAGGCAGTTGGTACGGTGCGGATGGAGGCGTTTGTGGACCGGAGTGAATATCCCCGTCAACGAATTGGTGGGCGTAGTCATAGATCGAGACACGGCGGTGCTGGAGGTAGTCGAAAAGGACGGAATGCGCATTACTGGCCCCCGAATAGCCCTGACACTGAGTTTTATGGGTCTGAGGATGGGGATGTTCTGTTTCGAAATGAGGATCCCTTTCGAGGGTTCTAGACCGGTTGTTCAAACACTGAAACCGGAAAGACGTGGCGAAGTATTCCGGTTCTTATCATTGATATGAATCAGGCCGGCATATTTCTATTTGTACCGCCTGTGTTTTGAAGATTTGTTGTGTGGATTTGGTTTCCTCGTCAAAAGAAAAGGTTGGGGGAACTCTGAGTGATGCGGAGAAAGGTAAGCAGGAGATGGACATAGAGGAAGAAGAGCCATCAATTGATACGATACCACTGTACAAATAACTGTTCGGAGAAAAAACCAACAACCCCAGTTTCTTCATTCCTTTTTCCTTTGATGTATTTCTTTGTTGTATTGTTGTGAGCTTTTCATCTTTCATTTCTTGTTTTATTTGTGTGGTCCACCTCTTCGGCAGAAGCTATCACCGGTGTTTCATTTTCATTATTTGCCTCTTGACTCTCCATCAATCTGCTCGTTTTTATCAAACGGTGGCGCCCGATGGATATGGATCTTTTCATCCTCTCATTTTCTCTCTGATCTTGTCATCATGTTATATATCTTGGTTATATTGATTGTAAAACCTTCCCACTTTTGTTAATATGTATTGCAGCGGAAATTCGACACCTGATTGTAGGGTGTTTTGATCAATCATCCTATCAGATAGTGATATATTCGTTCCCTTTTTGTTGTATATTTATTGTATATCTGGCTAGGAAGAAGTCAATGTCCGGTTTGTCTCATTTTGTGTCAGTGTGAAGGAATTCACAATAGGAATAGGAACAGCAGACTTGAACCCAAATCAGGCAGGCAGCAGGGGAATAAATAGATATATACAACAACTAGACGATGCAATCGAGTCTTAATATATCTCATACCCAAGTCTGAGGCTCGTGGCGATGTCGTTTCTTGTGCATTGATACAGTTCCTTCGTTCAGCTATGATGATCGAATCTGAATACTAACAGGGATAAAAAGGCTCATTATAGGACTCGGAGACAAAATCGAAGTCGACAGGGTCTGCTAGTTGTTTCCTTGGCTTCATGGGCATTGCGAATCAAACGTCGAAGGAATGGGAGAAAGGGGACGGGAGCGAGGAGTGGCCTTGAGCCGGCCGGCGAATCTCTCATCCCTCTGTATATGAATGAGAACATGACACCGAAGACGCAAAGGCTTAGCAGTAGTCAATCAGAATGCTGGAGGGAAACACACAAGAACAAAAGAGACTGGGAAACGGAGGGAGGCAAGATGGCGAGGAAGCAGCCTGCCTGTATCCATCCATCTCCCTGCCTCTTTCTCAGAAGCGTTCCACTGCCTTTCAATATTTCCCCCTCTTCCCGTGTAGGACAAGACAACATCTCACAGCTGGTTCGGAATGCGACGGCCCAGCGCGCAAGCCAGCAGCGAGCAGCCAGCCTTCTTGGATTCCGTTTGTCACGGTTCCTATTGTTGGTTCAGAATGGAACTGGTTGTGCAGTGAGCCGTTGTACCCAGATACTGTACAGCACTTGTGCCTGCGGTGGATCTCCCAGATATGCAGCTCAACAACTCAACCCGGTTCAGTTTACATTGCTGTCCCTTTTGCAACGAGCACGAACGGAGCAGGTTTTTGAATAGTTCGTCCCAATAGTGCTGGGCTAGGTGTAATCATTTGGGAGGTCAGATTGGGGGGACTGTGAGCAGAGCTGAGTGCCAGACTGGGCATCGTGTTACATATATATCGCAGTTGTGTGCCTCCTTTGATTCATCTCCTGATTCTGGTTATCCTTTCATTGTCTTTTCCCCTCTTTGTATGCAGGTGTGCATGCAGCTAGTAACTTCGCTGGCTTTGAGTAGTACATAAACAGGAATTGAACGCGGGAAACAAGGTTTCAAGAGAAGCGAGCAAGCCATCTCATCATTGATCAGGAACTTATGCAGGAACCAGTATGGAACGGTGAAGAAAAGCTATTGAACAGTCTTTCGTTTTCCATTGCCCTGCATCCTGCATGCAGGGCTGGCATGCAGAGCGAAGAACTGGTGGAATCTTGCGGGTTTGACAAATATTCTTCCTGCTTCTTCCTTGTCCAACTTAATAGATTGTCTGCGTAGACAAGATCTCTCCCGAATACACATCTTATCCTTTTGTTTTTTACTCACAACAGTTTATTGATGACTGGAGAGGAGAAGTGATCCCTCAGAGACCTAATCCTTCTTCTCCCTTCCCTCCCTCACAGCATCCCTCCCCACTTCATCTGCCCCAATAACCCTGGCCACATCCTCTGGCAAAACATACTCCTCCTCCACTGGCATCCTCCTCTTCGCCTCCTCCAGCTGCCCCTCACTCACCAACCTCCCCACGTCCTGCATTAACCCCGTCACATCCTTGATCCCCACAATCCACTCATCTATATACCTATCCACCGCCTCCCCCTTCAACCCAACCTGCAGTGACCGATACTCCAGCGGCCGGAACTCAAAATCCCTCTCAGGATCCCACTGCACGCGTACCGGACTTGAGTCCTTCTGCTTCTCCCACGTCGCCTGGTCCACATATAGGCGTGGCGAGGGGTGGCTGAGGCATGCGTGCGCCAACGCCCAATGAAATCCTTCGCGTGTGATTTCTACGGCCAGCACGCGCTCCTGGTTTTTCTTGCTCGCCCAGCCGCAGCGGTAGGCCATCCAGAGAAATGAGGGCTTGATCCAGGTCATGCGCCCGCGCCTGAAAGGGGGCACAAATTTCCCTGCGGCCACTGCGGCGTTGGCGATGGCGGGCGAATAGGCTTGGTAAACCGTGATAGTCGTTGGAGTGTATTGAGCTCGGATGGCGTATTTGGATGGGGATGTTTTTGGCTGCTCCATTGCTTTCGATTAGTGGGGGTGTTTTCAAAGGGTATGTATGTGTGGATGCTGCGATTCTGAGTTCGTGGAATAATTGCTCGTTGGAGGAGGAGTTGACCAGGGAATGTTCGGGAGTTCGCAATATATGAATGGACCCGATTCAAATGCTCTCGTTGACAGTTTTCAAGAGCACAATTCACGGCATCCTCCTAGAGTTTGTGGCAGCCATTTATGTTTCTGGAGGCTTGAAGAATAGCACCTATTGATCTGGGGCTGTTGCACTAAGCCACGCTGCGCAAAAAAATGTGGACAGATGCATTGGACGCCTTGAAATCAATTTCCCCTTCGCGAGAAGGGTGGAGGAGGCGCAAGGAGGCTGCTTGTTTTAACCAGTTATACATCCAGCTTAACGGCGTAGGCAAGGTCGTATATCTGGCCCGATTTACTCCCCGCGCTGGGTTAGTTCCCCGACAACGCGGGGTTCGTAATTCTGCCGAAGGCTCCATCATCTGAGTCATATACAGACGCATTGCCACAGTTTGGAGAGAACGCCAAAGATGGGGAAGCAGATGCTATCTTTTGCTCCATGTTCTATTTCGAGCGACGACTGCAAAGCGCTTCAAGGATTGTTATGTGACGAGGAGCATTAAAGCATAAAAACAAGAAATTTAACTACTAGTACCTAGTTAAAATCTTGAACTCAGAATGGAAAAATAAAACCAGTGCTCAAAGAGATGAGAGTAAACTGAATGAAAAGCATGCAAGAGCCAGCGGTGAGCCAGTAGTGGCCATCCCGCCCCGCCCCGCCCCGCCGAACCTCTCCGCATACGCCTATGCAGGACTCCCAAAAGCACCCTGAATATTTTTGCTCTCCACTTCCTTGCTCAACATGATGATGCCACCTCGCTGCTCCCATTTCTTAGTGCACATAAGACTTTTACCTAGAAATACTGTGCCGCCCGGAACTAACAATGACTGAGAGCAAAGGTATGTTTCCGATCTATTTCCAAAATACAAGGATATATCCGATGTACTGTACAAGGCTTCCCTTTCTTTTCACATTTTATATGTTCCACCCAGAGAGCAGTCATTGCTGTGTGAGAATTCCCACCCCTACGTTGGAGTATGATCGGTAATGGAATAACAAAAAGGTTAAGCAGAACGAAGGAAGAAGAATGGAGAGTAAGAACAGAGAAGGAGAAAACGGTATCAGGCTTGTATTGTATCCGGTATCCAGATAGGAGATAATATAAATATATAAATATATGAATATATAAAAATACATACGTCAAGGAGGAACAGGCTGGAGATGGAACGATATTCTTAGAGAGAGGGCGAAAGAAAACAACGTCCGCATCCATTTCATAGCTTCGCAGCCTCCTTGACCTCGCCGATCTTCAGCTTGCCGCCGTACTTCTTTAGCACACCTTCATTGTGATACTGTTTGCGCAAACAATAGTTGCTGGAGTTAGCCAAAAAATTGTGCCTTGGGTGGAAGACGAAAAGAACGGGAAGTGGATTGGGGTAGATATATATAAAATAGGTAATATGAGATATATTCCCAACGAACCTTCCAAAACTGTTTCGAGGCATCCTTGCCCGCAACCCGCTTCAGAATCTTTGCGCCACCGGGATGCTCGTCTAGAAAATCGGTGATATTGTAGACGGATGAATCGATGATGATATACATGCCGTTCTCGGCCTTGTTGTGCTGGGCGACCTCAGCGGTTGTGAAGGGTTTCGACATTGCTACGGTGTATGTTGACTGGGAAAGTCAATAGGAAACGTCTGCAAATATGGAGACAAGCTCCCCGCTGGGATTATTGCCGGGGTGTATGCGTTTCGTGGAGAGCGCCAGGAGGAAAGGATAGCCTTGGTAATCACGAGCTTGATGGAGCTTGGAGTCCAAAGGGATAGCGGATTGACAACCAGGGACAATTTCCTAGGGGTTGAAGTGTAAATGATATCAAAACCGTAACCTTCTGAGGTGCATCCGGTTATTTTTATAGGTGCGATAATGACGACTTCTGCGGTCTTTAGATGGTTTACTCTTGCTGTATCTCGGCGATGAGCCTGGAAGAGCCGAGGTTACCCTTGCGGTGAAGGCTAGTCCTATTTAGGCATGGCGCAACCGAGGCAGCCCTCGTCAGCTGGAACTTTCACGTGCTGATTGGCCAGCTCCAGGGTCTGTATGAGAGATCGTGGCTTGCCAGTTTGTATTTTCTACATAGAGAGGAGAAAATCGCAGATGCAGATATATAATACGAAATACATCTCTTCCGCCGAATAGCTATCTAAATGCATCGTCTTCATCGCTGGCATCCGCATCGTCAGTATCATATCTTACTTTTCTCTCCCGTCGCCCCCTGCCCCTTTGGCACTTTTCTATCAATCCCCAACGTCTCCAGATCCTTCTTCTTATGATAATGCGGGGCCACCTCTACCAGCCACTCGGGCTGCAGAGGCATGTTGCTTCGCATATACTCCTTGCTCGTCAGTACCAGTTCATAATATATTACCCACTTCGGGTTCACCTCGAACAGCGTGCTAGACGGGTGTAGGTACACCGTCTGCCCATTTTTGACCGTCCGATACGAATCGCCACCACGTTGTAGACGCGCCGCATTGGGGAAGAACCCGGCCGTGATGGCCTTTTGGATGGGGGCGAGATTATTAGACCCGGCAGAGGTAATGGTAACCTCCACTCGATCGCAGAGCTTGGCGAGCTGATCGCGCACATCACGAGCACGCGTTAAGCTTCGTTGCTGGAGGAAATTCTCACGGGCCCAAACATAACTGAAGTCGGAATCGACCCACTGGTTCCACACGTTTAGAAGCGAGAAGTGGTCGCCTCCATCTTTGATCGTGAAACGCGCACGAGCACTATCTGCGTGGATCTTTTTGTCTTTAGGCCGGAAGAATAAGGCGCTAGCTTCACCCAGCATGGCGATTATCGAAAGCACCTCTTCGACGCAACCATATTTATCCGCCGCGAGGATAGCCTTGGCAAGCATTGGATCGGTAGGGAACTCGGCCATCTGCCTTCCAACCTTGGTCAAGTCTCCATGGTCATTGAGCGCACCGAGCGCGTATAACTGTTCGAGAGCACGGATAAGCGTTTCTGCAGGCGGTGGGTCCATGAAATCGAAATCAAGAAGTTGGTCGATCCCGAGAGATTTCAACATCAAGACGACTCCGTTGAGGTTTGTCCGTTGGATTTCTGGCGTAGTATTTTCTTCTAGCTCGTTGTAGAATGCCCATTTTGTATATAACCGGAAACATTTGCCCGGGCCAACACGGCCTGCTCTCCCCGCTCTTTGGCCTGCAGATGCGCGCGAGCAGGGGGTAACGACAAGGCTCTCCATTCCAGTACGAGGGTTGAACACGTTTTCTTTCACAAAGCCTGGGTCAATCACGTACACGATTCCGTCAATGGTCAGACTGGTCTCTGCAATGTTTGTAGCAAGGACCACTTTTCGCGCTCCGGGGGGCGTAGGTTCAAAGATTTTGGCTTGAAGTTCCGAAGGCAAGTTCGCGTAGATGGGACATATTATCAGTTCCGGTATCTTGGATCCTAGTTTCCGAGCCGTTTCTTGTATACTCTGTTCTGCAGCTTCAATCTCCTCTTGGCCCGTGAGAAAGACCAAGACGTCACCAGCTCCCTGACTGATGTGGATGTGGAACACGGTAGTGATCGCTGCGGCAAGATAATTTGCCTCTGGCTGCGACGTATAGTGTATGTCAACAGGATATCTCCGGCCAGGAATGTTGAAAATTGGCGCATCATCAAAATATTTCTGAAATTTTTGAGCATCAATCGTCGCTGACGAGATAAGTAATTTCAGATCAGGTCTTGCCTTGGCAATGTCCTTTAGCAGGCCACACGCAATGTCCGTGGATACGGTTCTCTCGTGAGCTTCATCAATCATTAGTGCAGAATATCCCCCAAGGTCAGGCTCCGTGAGCAGTTCACGCAGCAGCATACCATCAGTCATATATTTGAGCACTGTTTTGTCGCTGGTAGCATCCTCAAACCGGATGGCATATCCAACTTCATTCCCAACTTTAACACCCATCTCCTCAGCGACACGCGCAGCAACGCTCATCGCTGCAACTCGCCTAGGTTGTGTGCAACCAATCTTCATCCCCCCTTTAGTATAACCCGCCTCGTGCAAATACTGAGGAATCTGAGTAGTTTTCCCACTACCAGTTTCTCCAACGATGATAATAACCTGATGATCCGCAACAGCTTGTATAATTTCCTCTCTGAATCGGTAGATAGGTAAACTCTTCCTTGTCTCTTCAATGGAAGCTGCTTTCTGCTCCGCCGCATCTAGCTTCTGCTGGAACAGTAGCTGGTCCTTTGTTAACGGCTTTCGGTCCCCTTCCAACTTCGAATCCATGATGAAATTTATTTTCTGCGCATCGTCAAACACATATTCGTAGTCCCCTTCATCAACAAACTCCGCCCTTTGAATTTGCGCTTTCGCCTTGGCCGTCTGCTCATTCTCCCACTCCTCATGCTCGGTAATGAATCGCTCATGCCCATGCTCGTCCCGGTCAACATATCGCTTGTAAAGCGCTTCTTCTTTCCGTTTTCGATCAATCTTGCCTTTTTCCGTGATATAATCTTCCGGCAACGCATAGCCATCCCGATAATCGTCAATCCGCAGTCTTTCCTCCGCTAACCGAAGAACTTCTCTATTTTTCGCAAACTCTTCTTTTTCCCGACGCGTCAAGTTTGGATTCTCGCGAAGCTCAGCGGTTTCCTCCGCCACTTGCTTGCGCAGCAGAGCCAACCGCTCCGCTTCACGTTTCTTGAGATATTCCTGCCGCGAGCGAAGCCGCAGATCTGGCATCGCCGCCGACCTCGCTGCAGCGTCATCAGCCAGCGCACGACGTCGGGCAGCCTGTGAGTCCTTAGTAGACGACCGATCTTCAACGATCTTCTTCGACTTCGACTCGTCCTTTTTCGCAAGGCGTTTCGCGAATTCATCTCGTTCCTTGAGGTCGCGCTGTCTGGCTCGCTCTGCTTTGGTCTCAGGATCTATATCCGAAGCGGGAGAAGAGGATCGAGGGCTTCGAGAGTGTTGTCGTGGTTCCCTTTCTTCATGCTGATATCCTTCATCTTGTAGTCGTTCATCATGCATCTCAGCTTCATCCCCGGGTATATCTTCATCGCCCCACTGGTCCTCGAAGTCCCTATCATCCCTTCTGCGCACCTTCTTCGACCGATGCCGACCATCACGATCATTGTCGCCCTCTCGCCCTCGCTTCCGCTCCCCTCTCGCATCGCGATGCGCACGCTTGCGCCTCGAATCATCATCGCGATCCCGACTCTCTCCACTCTCCCCGTTCTCCTTCGCCTTCCTTCTTAACTTCCCCGCCTCCGTACTCTGCAGCGGCGCCAATCCAGCATTAACATCCACATCCTCCTCTTCCATATCAACCAATTTGTATCTTTTCTTCAACCCATCCCCTCCCTTTTCCTTGCTGGCCTTTTTGCCGCCATCCTCCGCACTAGAACCGCCACGCACCCGTTTCCAGAGCTCAGCGCAGAACGAATGGATATCACCCTCATCTCCGTCCAGGAACGGTCCTAGCTTTTCGTGTAAGGAGCCGGCTGATTTTGCAGAGCTTGTGGTGGCGAGGATGTAATCGATGACTGTCGCGTCCGACGCACCCGTTAGCCGTAGGAGGGAGTCAGAGATATATGTCCGGATATCCATGGCGGTGATTGCCGTTGCTTACTGCCGCGCGTTTTGGGACAGGTGGATATATCTAAGATAGCTGTGGTGTCTGTTCGGACTGTGAATGTGAAAAGGCAAACGGTCAAGAATGGGCAGCTGGCGATTGGGGCATGGGAAGTGGATCTGGGGCTTCGGAGCTGGCTGGCTTGTCGGGATAGCTACACCATTCCATTTCACTCTATCCCCTCCGAATTTCAACTAGCGAAACTAGAGGAGAATGGAGAAGGCTGCTAAAAACGAGTTGTTATTCCGGAGGTAGCTATCGTGCTCTGCAGTACGCCGTAGTAAAGTGTGTTGATGTCGCGGGAACAGAAGATAGGTAAACAATACAGAGCTCAAAACCGGGGACGAAAGGAATGTATCATTCCCCCCGAGACTTGATTCTGAGACTTCAATTAAAATGTTGTTGTAAACCCGCGTGTCGGATGGGATAGTTAGCTAATGCACATTACCACACTTGGTTACGGACTCATCGCATGCCAAGACTGAAAACACATAAACCACGTGATCGAGAACTATATCTAAATTGTGAACTCAAGAGTCAAGACTATGTAATTAGGGGAATTCTCCTTTTGACCCAGTGATGAAAGTTCAATTTTATAACTAGTACTCAGATCCGCACCTCATGGTGCTATTATTGAAGCAGAGAAAGCTCATTTGTTTCATTTATCAAGAAAAAAGTTCAAACAGTTAACTCACTCATAATTCTATATCTTTATATGAATTCACCATGTTTAATTGGTAAAAGGGGAACATACCAAGCCGTTGCATATGAGAGTGAAAACAGAAAAATAAATACATCAAAAGATCAAAAGAAAAGGGAAATTAGGGAATTGTCTCTAGGAATTTTCAAATAATAATAATAATAATGGAAAGGAAAAAAAAAAAAAAAAAAAAGAAAACCCACACAGATATGCTAGTAGAAACCAGGTAATTGAAATAATATAAAGCGTTTTCAATTCTAAAACTATCTATACATCTCTAAATCTATCCAGCCTCACTCTGACAGTGCTAACAGAAGCTGAGCAAACAAACATAAAATGATTAGTGGTGGAAAAAAAGACAGAAGAGTAGAGAAGAGAATAAAATGAACAAGGAATATAATAATGATAAGAATAAAGAAAATTCTAAATCATTTCAAGAGTGAGCTATATTACATCAAAAACAAGCAAAAGGCTAGAAAGGGATAAAAAAAAAGAGCAAAAAAAAAAGGGAGCAAAAAATAGAAAAGAAAAAAGGACAGAAGGAAGGGAAAAAACAAAATGAACTCCTCAATATGGTAGTCAGTCATAATAACAGCCAGTCAGAAATGAAGGGTATGATGATATCAAAATGCAACAATCAGAAGCAACAAAAATATATCAAAGCAAAAAGAATTAAACTTCCCCCTTAGCAGTCAGGTGTTTTCTTCCCCCCTGTGTGGACAAAATTCAACTAAGTGCTGTTGTCCCTTTCCCGTATTCCGCTCCGCATTCCGTATTCCATATTCCAGTTCCAGTTCCAGTTCCACGTCTTTTTCGCCTTTCTTTTCTTTCCATACTTTTGAAATCCGAAATTTTCCCTTCACAAACTTCCCAGTAACATTGCGTATACTTTTCGGGTATGCTCTATCCGCCCTTCCAAATAAAATATGAATATGGCAACGGCTCCAGCCCAATTATCAAACAAATGACTTGCAGGTCCCATGGTGAGCGGCCGCGTTCGCTCACCCATTGATTTAAAAAGGAAAGAAAGCAAGAAAAAAAATTACTGAAAAGAAATTGAATGAAAGCCCATAAGTTAAGAAAGGATAAATCCTCCCCTCTCCCAACACCAAACAGGACAGAACTGTCTCGTACCCGTTTCAAATCCCAATTCCAACTCCGTAGTTCTAGCCCTCGAGCTTCTCAAGAAAACAAGAAAAAAAAAGCAAAAAAAAAAAAAAAAAAAAAAAGGAAACAAAAGGCATGCAAACCCCATTGAAAAATATGTATATGAAGAAAGAAGAAAACATAATATGTCGAAACCAGTCGTTAATTAATAAATGTATTTTTTCTTTTCCTTGCCTTTTATGTATGTTGATGTAGAAAATCAAACGTCAATCATCTCCGCATCTTCCGCCAGAACTTCATCCGCAGGACCCCAGTTCCCTTCATAGATGGTAGCTCCAGCTCGGCGCCGCCGTTCAGCCCATTGTACACCGAACGTTTGGATAATTTGGTCCGCAATGGGCCGATCGGCCGGATCGGGCGATATCATCCATCGAACGATGGTGTCTAGTGCCTGCTCATTCGTGGCGTCGATCATAAAATCTGGAGGCTCAGCGAGCTCACCGCGTCGAACGTATGAGAAGGGTTGCTTTCCACACGAACCAAATGGGCTAAGGTCATTGCCATTGATGCTGTTGTGTCCAATGACAGAGTGCGAGTCGGTAAAGTGTTGTTGTTCGTCAGAGTCGGATGCACACAGCTGCTCAAAGGTGCAATTGTTGTCGGGGAGTGGGTTTCCAGAGGCATCGCGGAGTATTTTGCTAGTTTCTAGGCTCCACGTTAAACTAGGAACATCACTCATGTCGCCGTTGCGAAGCTTTTGCCATGATACGCCGTTGTCGGGAAGCTCCACGTTCCCTGCTATTTCAAACATGATCAATCCCAAGGCAAATATATCAGCAGGCTTGTCATAACATCCCATAAGGACTTCAGGGCCGATATATTCACGATCCCCTTCGCCCTCAATACCAGCAGCAGCCGGCCAACGGCTTGCCATTCCAAAATCCGCGATCTTGAGGACACCTTCAAAGGTTATTAAAACATTCGCCGGTTTCAAATCCAGGTGGATGAACCCAGAATCATGGACGTGTTTGAGGCCCTATGGGACGTAACTTAGCAAATAGACCGGAGGGAAAATGAATAGAATTTGATGGTTAGACGCATTGCTTACCAACGACAACTCAAGCAGTATTTTCCAAATTCTAAAATCATCAAGCCTGGCCTTAAGTCCCACCTGTGACAGGAACAAGTCTAGGCTCCCTTCTTCGCAAAATTCCGTCTGGATATATAGGATATTGTTGTATTCCCAGCTGTCGGCGTAGGAAATGATATAGTCGCAATTAGCCAGCGCTTTCAAGGCGACAACTTCATTGTTCCGGCGTTCTCGATCCTTTGGACCCGTACACGGTTGATTAGACTTTTTCACAGCCCACACCCGTTCAGCACGAGTTACTGCTGTTGTTTTGTTTTGTTTTTCATGGGTTTGCGAGAAGGAGGTCGGCTGGAATGGTGATCCAAATGGTGTCGTTGATTGCGGTTCAGTGACGCGATATACCTGCGAGAATTCCCCTGTCCCCACTAATTCAACCTTCTCAAAACGAGACGTAAGGCTTGGGTCTATATCTGGTGCGTTGTAACCGCCCAGAGAAAGACTTGCTTTTTTCCCAACTGGTGCAAAGTACTCGCGTGGAGCAGTTGGCGTTGCTGGTAGCACTGATGAACGATGATCTTGCGGGTTGGATCTCCGGTCGCCTTGGGCTGATATCGATAAGCCGCTTGGATCGGGGGGCAAAATGTGTTCTTGTGGGGTGTGGGGGGAGTCTCGTCCCAATGATTTATTTCCAAGAGGGCTTGCTATTGAGTTGGGATTAAACTTAGTATTTCCGAACTGAGAAATTTTGAGAGGAGAGAGGGTATGGAATAGGTTCTTTGGACTCGGAGAAGGAGAATTTAGATTCTGCACGAGGCGCGATCTGGGAAGAGAAGAGGAAACGGGAAAGGGACGTTGGCTCAATTTATGGGTTAAAGCCGCAGACGGGGAGTCATCCATGTCGCTATCACTTTCTACATCCATATTGGGCGATGAATGTTCAACAGAAGACAACTTACAACAGGGTCCGGAAGGGCCACATAACGAATCGAATGAAGGTGTTTGACTGTGGGTAGGGCGATGAGGGCGTGATTTAGAGAAATGGCTGCCACTGGGGAAAAATGTTTGTTTTGTGGGGGTAGGGGGCAGTTCGGTATCGTTGGTTGACTGGGAATCATTTTTCCTAGAAGGCGATTGAGACTGGGAAAGGTCGTCTCCATCCACACTGATGAAGCTACCACGACGCGAGATAGTTGACTTTGCATAGAAATTGCCAAAAATGCTCATGCCTTTGGAAAAGGGACCCGGGTGAGGAGATGCGGTAGAATGTTGCTGAGTGAAAGGTGTCCAAGGGGTTCCAGATGAAGGGCCATTCGATCTCGTCTTTTCGGTTGCTGACTGGGGTAATGGCTTATGAACACCTGGAAACATATTGAGTGGCCGTTTACATGGGGTGTCGGGCATATTTTTGCTGGTAATAGATACGTTATGGACATCATCCACGTTGCGGTTTTTCTTGGAGATGAGACCCGTGGACATAAAAGCCGCTGGGAGGGGTTTCACAAGCTTATAGTTTTCAGGCGTCGCGAATGACTCCGTAGATGTGTCTGGATTCTCCTGACTTAGTTGACTGGGCCCAACTGGCCGTGTCGAACCAGTCGGAAGCGACTTGGAGAAATTCAGGATGGGCCTTGGCTTTTCAAACCTGTTGATCGGCCCATGTGTTGGCGAATCGTCAACGAGGCTAGAACTAGACGAAGACTGTGTAATGGTTCTCGAGAGTGGATGGGGAGCAGGATGCGGAGTCTGAGTTGATTTGTGGTTCGCGTGTGATGAAAAAAGTGTGGCAGAAGGATTGGAAAAAATATGACTGGAGGAAGAGCCGTCACGAGGCACGGAGAAAAAGAGGTGGCCATCAAAGGATTTCGGTTGGTTGCTCCGTAGAAAAATCGGGCTGTTTGGAATGGATTCGGTGTCATTCTCAGTACCCGCTCTAGCACGAGAAAACAGGGACCGCTCCGATTGCCGTTGTTGGAGAGTAGATTTCCTGAGAGACGATGAGCGTTTCGGGATCACAGAAACGTTGGACGATACTTGAGAGAGATTCGAGATGGCAGGATCGCTTTCGGTTTGATTTGGTTGTTTATCTGGTGTGCTTCCTATGCTGTTTTCAGCTTCAAACAGGTTAAAGTCTGAGGTGAAGCTGGCACCATGCACGCTACGTCGCTTGGCCGAAGGGCTTCGAAGAGGCGTTTGGTCAAGATTCATAACAACATCGCTGCGCTTCAACGGACTGGATGTCGAAGGGAACGGCCTAAATGTTCCACTCCGTCGTTTTTCCACTCTCGAAACAGGCATTTGTGCAAAGGAGCTATCTGCTGGCTGATTGAGTGTGCTGTCACCGCAGGCAAGTTCAGGGGTACTAGTGATTTCCGTAGGCGAAAGCTGGAGAGGAGGCACTGGTTCCTCGGA